TAGAAATATTAGAAAAAGGAATATAAATCTTATTCATTTATTGAATCAAAAAGGATTATGTTTTTCTTTTTTATTTATATCTTTTTTTTTATATAAAAGAAATATATCGCCTTTGTATTATCAATTAATCTTAAATAAAACTAAAATATCTTCTCTTTTCAGTATCTCTTTTTTTCTAATTCTTTCTTATATATTCTATTATTTCTTTCCAATATAAAATAAAGAAACCAGTATTTAAACAGCATCAATAATATTATAATTATAAATATAATATAAAAAAGAAATTCTAATTATAAGAAAACAAATAAAAAATTGATTCTTTATATTATAAAAGTAATAAATCAAGACATATATATTCTAATAACATATTATTTATGGAAAAACAAGATTTATAATAATTTTAAAATTAAAATTATATAATTTTAGATATATATATATAGAAAATTGATTATTTTTCAAAAGAAAAACAAAACTTTCTTTTATATCTAATTATAAAAATTATTTAATTATTTAACTAAAAACCTTTATATATATAATCTATAATTTTAGTTTTTTTATAATATAAATTTGTTTGAATTATATATATAAAGTATTAATCTGTTGAAATATGATCAAAATAAATAAATAATATTTATATATACTTTTTTAAAAAAATATCTTTCTTTAAAGATTTTATTTAGAATTAAAAATTTTCCCTTATACTTCTTTACTTATTTGCTTTTTAAATCTATCTAATATCTTTATTGTCGGCTTGCCGACACTATAACCTTGCTGTATGCGAGGTTTACCCGGTGTAGGTCGTAGAAAATGAGGTTCGCTTAAGGTTGCGATATGATTGGTCGAGAAATGAGTCGCGATCCTGACAATCTGATTGGTCTAAAATACCGGTAAAAATCTAAAAAGCTTGGCATAAGCCTTACAACCTGAGGCAAATCTGACTTAGAACTTTTTTCAATTCAACTCATTCAATTCATCTTATTCAATTCAAAATAATAATAATAATAATAATAATAATAATAATAATAATAATAATAATAATAATAATAATATAAATAATATAAAATCTTGTTATTATTATTTTTAATATTGAGAATAATAATATTAAATAATAATATAATAATATTAAATAATATTGTTATAAATATTATTATTATTATAAATAATAGTATTAAATCATATTATAATTATTATTTTTGAATAAAATAATTTGATTTTCAATTATTAAAAAAACAAGCTGATATTCTGTCTGCACCCTGATATATATTTAATATTGAATTTATTATAAATTTTTTAAACCTTAAATTTTCATTAAACTGTCTCGAAAAGCCTAGGGTCCGGAGGGCGCAGGCCCCTGGTTATTAATTGTTTTATATTCTCGAATTATAATAATAATGATATTATTATTTTTATTATTATTAATATATATTATATTCTACAATTTGTATATTATTCTATATTACTTTATTAAATATCTTTATATAATAAAATCAATTATATTTTATAAACTTTATTATATTTGGGTTTCTAATTAAACAAATTAAATAAAATATTTTTAATTCATTAATCAAAATATAACTTGTAAAATCTTTTTTCTTAATATATAATTATAATTAATAATATAAAGAATTAAAATATATATATTATAAAATAATATTTATTAGAATTTATTTACTATTATAATATTTATTAAATATTTTATATAAAAATAAAATTTATATAAAAATTCTTTTATTTGAAATTCTTTTATTATTCTAAACATTTTAAAATTTATTCATGATATATCATTTAAATATATAATAAAATCTTTACAAAACTTATAATTTTTATATGAAATCAACTATCAAATAATTTTTCAACATTTAATCAAAGTTTTAAATTTTTTTTAAAAATATGTTAATTTGAATTTTCAAAATTTCAAATATTCTATTTAATTTTTCTAATATTTTATATAATTCTATTTTTATAAGAAATATAAATATTTAATATATACTATTAAAATTAAAAAATAAATAAAAATCAATTTTTGATATAATTTTATTTAATATAAGAGCTTAAAATAAATTATTTATAGAACTTTTATATTTAATATTATATATTTATAATCATTCCTTCGATATTATATGCTATATACCAGGGGCCTGCGACCCCTGGCTTTTCGACATAGTCTAATGAAAATTTAAGGTTTGAAAAGTTTATAATAGATTAAATATTAAATATATATCAGAGTGCAGACAGAATATCGACTTGTTTTTGTTAATTGAAAATTAAATTATTTTATTTAAAAATAATATTTATAATAATACTATTTAATATTATTATTTATGATATTTAGAATAATAATAATATTTTATATTATTTATATTATTATTATTTATTATTATTATTATTATTTTGAATTGAATAAGTCGAATGATTTTAATAGAATTGTATGATTTCAATTGAGTTGAGTTGAAAGAAGCTTTAAATCAGATTTGTTTAAGGTTGTAAGGTTTATATTAAACTTTTTATCAGATTATTTACTGGAGTATTTACTAGGGTATTTATCAAGGTATTTTAGATCAATCAGATTGTCAGGATCGTAACTCATTTAAGCGAGTTTCTTATTTTCCATCATCCATCAGGTAATTCTTATATACAGCAAGGTTATAGTGCCGGCAAGCCGACAATTATATATTTTATATTTTCAATTTACAAATTAAATTTCTATTTTTATTTTTTATTCTTATCCTTCCCTTTATTTCTTTTAATATCCTTTCTTTTCTCCTTTTTTCCTTTCTTCTCTTTCTAAATCTAATACTCTACTTTTGAACCATCTCTTTTTTGGATCATTTTTTTATATCAAAAATAACGATTTTCATTTACTGAAAACCTACACCCCTCAAACCCCTAGCTTTTCGAGAAAGTCCAATAAAAATTTAATTTTCAAAAAGTTTTTAATAAATTTAAATATTGAATTGAATATATATCAAAGTGTAAATAGAATATCGATTTATTTTGATAATTGAAAATTCAATTTTTTTCTTTTAAAAATAATATTTATAATAATAATAATTTATATTATTTGCTGTATTATTTTTTATTATTTATAACAATTATATTATTTTATATTATTATTATTATGAGATGAATTAAATGAATAGAGTTGAATTGAATTGAATGAAGAAAGTTAAATTGAATGATTTGAATGATTTGAATGATTTGAATGATTTGAATGATTTCAATTGAATTGTGAATTGAGTTTAATGATTTCAATTGAGTTAAATTGAAAAAAGCTTTAAATCAGATTTGTATAAAGTTTTAAAGCTTATATCAAACTTTTTGTTAGGTTATTTATCAGGGTATTTTAGACCAATCAGATTATCAGGATCATAATTTACTTAAGCGACTTTCTTATTTTCTATAATCTATATCAAGTAAATTGCAGTATATTATATATATAATAAGATTTTAATATTGATAAATTGATAATAATAATAATAATAATTAATATTATATTATTATTTTTAAATCAAAAATTTTAATTTTCAATTTTCAATTATCAAAAACAAGTTAATATTTTATTTGTATTTTGATCTATATTTAATATTTTAATTTATTATAAACTTTTAAAATTTAAATTTTCATTAGACTTTCTTGAAAAGCCAGGGGTCCGAGGGCGCAGGCCCTGGTTAATAATTTTTGTATATGTTTTGAAATCTAAAAATATAATTTTAAAAGATAAATTTATTTATTTTCAAAAATTTAAAATTTTGATTATCTTTTAATTTCAATTTTAATAATTTATAAAAATAAAATTGAAAGCTAACATTTTAATTATTATATATCTCAAATTTCAATAAATAAAATTTAAAGATTAAAAAGTTATTAAAATTTAAAATAAATTAGAAAATTATAATATTATTTAATTCAATTTAACAATTTTTATATATTATTCAATCAAATTATATAAATTATAAATTATATAAATTATAAATTATATATAAATAAATAATATTATAAAACTTTATAGAATTTCATTAAAGATTCAAACAGTTATTAATGTTTTGATTTTGTTTATATATCTTTAAAAATTTCGTTAAGAATTTACACTTATTAAGCTTAGTTCAGTCATAAGTTTACCAGACATATTTAATCCTTATTTATTTCATCGCGTTCGCACTTTACCCTCGTCGATATACTCTCGCGCTTTACCTCCATCCCCGCTTCAATTACTGATTCGAAAATGCTCCGTTATATTTGATGCGTATTGGTTTTCGCATAGCAGCCGAGGACAGTAGGAAGCTGAAGATCTCAAGCTAGCAAATATACTTCCTCCGAGCGACTTTATTGCATGGCGGATATACGACAGATCCGAAAAAGAATCCTATGCATTTCAGTCTACAAGTTCCAGAAAATCTTATTTCAATGAATACTTCAAATGATAATCCAACAAGATTTCATCGGGTTTTTCGTTTATCATCAAGTGTCAAACAGTTAAGTTAACATATATTCAGCTTTTGGTGGCCCAGCTAGCGAAATCAATATGGTTTAGATATTTATTCTATAAGCAAATACGCATCAGACATACGACAAAACTTCTGAAAGGCCTAGTGTGTATATGTCTGAAGTAGTTGGGATGAATGGGAGGAATTTCATACGACTTCTAAAATCTTCACATTCCGACCAACTGAACCCTAAATCACTAGTACAAGTAGTAGGTAATATGTACGTATAATTTCCATCATTCAATCTTTCAGCTAGGTATCGCGCCCAAAAATTGTCCAGTCTAATTTGCTCCGCCGCGCCACGCCAAATGAGGGGAAAAGCAAGAATGATATCATCCAAACCTCTATTTTGTGCATGTAAAACAATTTGACACAACAATTCACTTCTAAATCATCGTCTGACGGAGCACCACCTACTCATCCGAAAATTCCACTGCCACACTGGTATCCAAATCGCTCATCGTCCCCTCTCTTTCGCCACCTGAATCCCCGTCGGCACTTTTCCCATCAAGTTCCCTACACAACCTCCCGAGTAATACCTCCACCCTCCCCATACACTCCTCCATTTCCCAGCCGCACCCGGATATGTTCTCCCTCCTCATCACTACTCCCCTCGTTCAACAAATCCCTCAAATGTTTTGGGATACTCATGCCTGCAAAGGGTGCTACGGAATCTCTTCTGATCCTCTTGGAACTACTAGCTGTATCTCTCCTCTTCATGTTTTCTCTTGGATTAACATTTTTCTGTCCAGGTCGCAAATTCGATTTCGTCGATGCATTAAATTCCTGCGCAAACTCATTTTCGAAAAAGTTTTGATCGTGCGGAACGTCATTAGCCGCCTCGATTTCGATTTCATTTGCGATATCACTAGGAGGCTCCGCTTCAAAGACTGCTTGTAAATCGCCATGAACGCTGAAGCCTCTTGAGAAATCCCAAAGTCGGGGACGAGGTGGGACATGGGGCAATTGCTCTGCTTCTTTTTGACGACGGGGGCCGGCCCATAGCTGACGGCGCTCTAAATAGCCAATGAGGAGTAAGAGCGGAGCATTGAGGAAACGCACGGCTGCTACGTTGATCTTATGGAACCAGCGAGGTGTTAGGACGAATTTGAGGGGCATGAGGACGAAGAGGGCGAGGATGTTGAAAGGAGGGAAGTAGGCAAATAGGGAGTCTGATTTCACTCCTTCGAGGGTGAGGACAGCACGACGGAACTGGATTTCTGCGGTGGCGTTGGAGACGATGGCTGAGAAGGTTGTCGAGAGCATGGACACGAGAATCGTGAGGAAGAGGGTATTGCCAAGAAATGCGAAGGTAACCATGAGGATGGGCCCGAGAAGCCAATGAAACTGAGCAGATGTTGTGATTCCTGTGCCGTCAAGTCCAAACCATATCCAGAGCATCCATTTGGAGACAGTAATTGGTTCGTGAATACCATTGCCAAGCCATATCATGGAAAGCAGAAATCCGGCAAAGCACCATACAGCTAAAATGGTCAGGACAGTGAAATCGCGCATCATGGCTCGGAGAGAGATAAAGAGCATGTTTTCGGACATGAGGTTGAATGCTAGACGTGGAACGAGGACGGGGGCTCCCAAGGCGAGGACATCCAGAGCTTGTTGACCAGTGCCAATGTTATCAGTGCGCCAGCCCCTCAAGCGTAGTACGAGATAAAACCCGAAGATTGCGGCGAATGTGACATCAAGGAACGACCAGAGATTCTGGGTGTACACGTGCCATCCGTGTTCCAGAATAGAGCAACTACATCTGACGTTAACAAGGGTTGTCAGATTCGACTGGAATGTACCAAGGAACTCACAATTGATCCAAAGACCAACCTGATGTGTAGATAATGAAGAATAATTCCATCCCACCAAATGTTGCTGGATCACGGTCTGCCATTACATACAAATAGAAAACCAACAGTAGCAAAAAGTGACACACTTCCAGGTAATTCCTCGTGCGAGGAACTATAAGTCTATATTGGTTAAACAATGGCGCCTCCCTCGGATTGTACAAGGAGATAGGCTTGTTTTTGTAGTGATCGGGCAGGATATCCATGAACGCCGTTGGCGTATATATGACTCTACCTTCATATATTGCGCTTATTACTTTTTGACATGCCGACGAACTGAGGAAAGCTTTGCTTTGAGATATAATGGCGATTTCTAGGGCTGGTAGTCTTCGATTGGCACCTGTGCGGGAGTGGACGGCCCAACCAAAGTTACTGCTTTCCCGAATGACATTATTCGGAGCACCTTGGAAGGGATCAAAACCTCCTACGAGGATACGAGAAAGGAGAAGTAAACCTTCTGAGCCGGTATAGTCCTCGTGGAAACGGCGAAGAACTCGATTGGCAACTATTTCGCATAGATGGGCACGTGTGGTGCAAATGCTTTGTTGATGTGGGAGGGCCACCTGTTCACGTTGAAATTGTGTCTTATTGACGAGAAGACAGTAGACTGGGGTGCATTAGCATTCAAAACTACGTGTCAATCTAGAAGCAACAATAGAGACTGTGGAGGGATGCTAAGGATGGGATCGAACAGGCCTCCGAGGACTACTCGGAGCATCATCCAAATTTCACCATTTCCTTATTCCAAGGCTCCTCCAGACATCAGTCCGCCGGCTGTTATTCTAGTCTCCCTGAGAAAGGTACGCAATCAATTTCTTCCAAGCATAAGATGGTTTCAAGGATGAAGATAGCAACATACCGACCGACAAATCGTCCAAATCATACAGCCTATCCACCAAGGGTCTAACCACCGAAACATTAAGCCTCGGATCCCTGAGTTGTTCTAAACTATATGGGTCATCTATCTCCCCCATCAGCCAAACTGGTACTTTCAAAGTTTCAATCTATTTCCCTCCATCAAACTCACCAATCGCCGCAATAATATCTCTTCTTATCCTAATCACCCATCAGCATTACTTCCAGCCAAAAAGCAAGTTGGAGTGGGAGACGAACCGATGAATTGTCTTGTAGACCGGTAAATCCCCAAATTCATCCTGGGGATAACATATATCGCCAATGGCATGAGGGTGAAAACATGCATGGCCATCATGCCTTCCTCTAAGGGTACTCCTATTTTTGTTTCCATTCTCCCTCGTATCTTCGTCGTTATCCTCTAGATCTACCTCCGGCTCAGGTGTCAACAACTGTGTGGTCTCCGTACTGGTATATCTCTCATCTTCATTTCCACGGGAATTTCTAGGATAATTTCTAGGTTTCAAAGGTCTAGGAGAAATGGAAGAAGAAGAAGAAGAAGAAGAAGAAGACTGACCCATCGCCCTAACGGACATGCCCAGACGTTCTAGGTCGATGAATGTGGTAATGAATAATGGTACCTAAGTAGTATTTATTGATAATACAAATTCTTGGAATTCTCCACGGGGCAGGATCCAGCGCCCGTTTAATCATTTTATACCATGACGCAAGCGTGAGATAATGTGAGTGGGTTCTAAGGTACACTGGTGTACCCATTTTTGAATGGCTAAGAGGGGTTGTGTGCGTTGTACGATAAAGGATTGAAAACAAACCTTAAAGCGGCGAGGATGGAGAGAGCGAATAAAACAGATTTCTTGATGGGATATGAGTGAGTAAATAAATAATCTTAGGTACATAAAAGAAATTATTCATAAATCGCCATCAATACAGCATGGTTATTATTTCGAGTTAGATAGTTAACTGAATAAATGGGGAAATTTCTCTTCATTCCATTGTTCTAATTATTCTATTATTCTCTGATCTTGTCATTTTGCTGTTCCCGAGGTCCCCTAACGTTTCATCCCCGTCTCCTAAAAACCAACACAAAAATGTGACCATCTCCTCCTCCCAAACACGCTACAAACTTGTTTACAGCGTTCCCCTATCTCACCTGTCTGCGACGAAAGATGCGATATTTGCTGCCGGGACCGGTGCCTAACATCAATGTGTCTTTCAAGCTCCCAGGGTTTGGGCAGTTTTCCCGGGTAGTTGAGAAGGAAGCTGTGCCTTACACAGGGAAAGAGGGAGTTCTGGAACGAACAGAAGAAGGAATTGGGTGCATATGTTGTGTACCCGAAGGAAGTGACGAGAAAAGCGGCAGAGGGGTTGAAGAGTTATGTTTATTTGTTTGTGTGTTTTGAGGAAGATGGGAGGGCTGGCTAAGGAGGAAAGAGTTGATTTTAGAGTATAGAACACATCAGTATGAGCAGCGATGGATGCGTATCATTATGATATGATTTAAGAGAGGGTCATCCGTTAAATGAAAAGACGAAAAGCGAAAATCGAAAATCAAAAAAGTGAAAAGGTGAAAAGACAAAAAGATAAAATAAATAAAATTAAAAAAGAAGAAAAGATTAATTTAAATTTTTTAATTGATTAATTATCAATTTGTCGATATTAAAATCTTATTATATATATAATATATTATAATTTGTCTAGTGTAAGTTATAGAAAATGAAAAACTTGTTTAAGTGAATTACGATCCTGACAATTTGATTGGTTTAAAGTACCCCGGTGTTACAAGGTAACAGTCAACCTGTCCACATGAGCTTAGGCCTCATTGAAAAGCAAAGCAATTTGTATACAAATTTCTATGGTAAGCGCTTCATGTGGTCTCCCCACCCTCAGCAAGCTCGGACATATAGTCTGATCCTAGAGATCACGTGATGGACCCTACATATACAAGGATACGAATCGTAGGTCTATACGAATCTACAGGATACGAAGATCTATATAAACCAGAGGGGTTTCCTGTATATAGGAGCTTCGTGCTCAAGATCAATCATTTAGTATACTCTACTATTAGTTACGAATTGCAACCATTGATATTACTTTAAAGCCTCTGCTTGGCGTCTAGTTATAAACCATTCGAGGATCCAGGCCACTTCCATGTGATTGTAACGATCTGGTTGAGGCAGCGGCTGCCTCAGGGTTTCGTATGGTTGGTAGTTGTAGGTTAAGGCTAATAATCACGGATTATCCACTCGAAGGTGAATGCGTTACTAGATCAATTGGAATGTAGATAAACTAATTGATAACTAAGTTGAGCACGAAGCTCCTAAACTATGAAACTATTCTGACTATATACTAATCTCTTTTCCCATACTAGCTATGCTAGCTGGCTAGCACGGCTAGCATTCCTGTGATGCTAGCTCTGCTAGCTGGCTAGCAGAGCTAGCACATCACATGACTGATCCTGAAGCCTCTCATATCCCAAGGCCTTTCCTTTCCTGGAACACTTGTTCCAAAAGCTTTCCCTCTAGGAACCATAGCCCTAGGATACGATATCCTCTAGGGTGAGAGTCCCATTACAACCAATTAGGTAAAACACTTGTCCTATTCTACTATGATTGCCTAGGATACTTATCCTAGGAATCCTAGGGTCCTAGGCTTAGGTAATCAGGACCCCCGAAAACAACGGTTAAATCACACCCCCCCTGTAGTCGGCCTATAAATCACCGACGTCAATAATACTACTATAAAGAAAACCGTAAATCGTGACAGTGATCTAGATCGCAACCCTCGTAACACCCGGTAAATAATCTAACAAAAAGCTTGGTATAAGTTTTATAATCTCAAACAAATTTAACTTGGAGTTTTTTTTAACTCAATTCAATTAAAATTATTCAATTGAAATCATTCAACTTTATTAAAATTATTTAATTTATTTAACTTATTTAACTTATTTAATTTAACTTTATTCATTTAATTTAATTTAAAAAATATAATAATAATAATAATAATAATAATAATAATAATAATAATAATAATAATAATAATAATAATAATAATAATAATAATAATAATAATAATAATAATAATAATAATAATAATAATGATAGTAATAATAAATAATATTATAAATAATATAAAATATTATTATTATAATTATTATAATTATTATTTTAAATAAAATAATTTAATTTTCAATTATTAAAACAAACTAATATTCTATCTGCATTCTGATATATATTTAATATTTAATTTATTATAAACTTTTAAATTTTAAATTTTCATTAGACTTTCTTGAAAAGCCAGGGTCCGGGGCGCAGGCCCCTGGTATTAAAAATATTCTTTTAATATTTTAATAAATCAATTATTTATAATTTTATTTAATCTTTGATTTATATAATCTTTAATAAAAAAATTTATTTCAAACTTTTAAAATAAATCAAAATTTGTAAAGTTTCTTAAAATATATTATATTAATTTATATTCTTTTTAAAATATATAAAATATATAAAATATATTTTATCATAATAATTCAAGTATTTTTTTATTCAAGTTTAAATATATATATATATATATATTATCTTTATTTATTATAAATATATATATAAAAGTATTATTATTTTATTAACTTTATTTACTTTTTGAAATCTCGTTACTAATCTCAGTTTTTATACGAGTTATTGTTCCAGCCCCTCCGTATACCCTTTTGAAAAAATTAGTATAAATTTATAAAAACACTATACTTCAATTGTATAAAGGGATCATGAAGTAGAGAAAACTTACAATGCTGTGTAAACCTGAGCTACATTTGCGCCTGCATTCAAGATCTCTAGAGCTTGCTTTCCATTCGTGATTCCACCAGTAGCAAAAATCACTTTTTGACCATGACCCTTCGACTCGTTATCTCCTGTGAGGGGTTTTGCCTTTTCAGCAATAGTGGAGACAAGACCGCTGTCATTTGATTTAGCAATGGTATCTTGTGGTGGTCCTCGGTCAAGTAAAGCTCGATATCTCTTTACCAAAGATAATGTTCTAGTGAACATTGGTGGTCCAGAAAATCCTCCTTGTTCTTCGAGAACTCTGCGTTCTCTGGCAGAAATTTTGATATCGTCGGGGATGAGCTTGTCCCTTCGGTTTGTAGTATTGCCCACGATCACACCATCCACACCACTTCGCCATATAGCTTCGACGATGCCCTCAAGCTGTTCATCTTGATCCTCATCGGGTGATACTTTTACCATGACCCTAGGCTTCGTTTTCCTATCTACAGATTTGGCAGCTCCAACCACACCTTCCAAGATTCGGGATAATGGCTCAACCTTCTGTAATGTCCTCAATCCAGGTGTATTCGGGCTGCTAACATTGACTACCAAGATATCGGCATATGGAGCCAATCTCTCCACACAGTAAACATAGTCTCTTTTAACAGCCTCGATATCATCACCATTTGTATCCTTATTTTTGGCAACCTGAACCGCCAATAATTTCCCATCTAATAAACTTCCCGGAGGAACACCAGCTTCTCCATTCAAAACCATCTTTTCGGCGTCTTCACCCACACCTAGCCCATTCTGATATGCATATAACCGAACCCGTTCCCTCAATCGCATAGCCATATCATCCGCACCCTTCGAATTAAGACCATATCGATTAATCAACGCATTTTGACTAGGTATACGGAAAACTCTTGGTTTTGGATTTCCATCCTGAGCAAGTGGTGTACATCCGCCAACCTCAACAATCGCAGGACCCATAGCGAACAAAGCATCTGGAACCTCTGCCAATTTGTCAAGTCCCGCAGATGTACCAATTGGGTTTTGTAATTTATGCTCCCATACTTCCACGCTCAAATCCGCTTTATCTGTATTACCATTTCTGAAGCTGCGATCGCGAGGGTGGAAACCGAACGAGTAGAGAGTTTTGAGAGCTTTGGTGCCCATATGGTGAGCTTCTTCGGCATCGGAATATATAGCACGTAATGCGGGGACGACAAGCCATTGGTGGACGCTAGCTCGGGTATCGGTGATATACAAGTAGCCAAATCCAAGGGTGAGAGCTATCGAGGTTCCAAAGAGGATATTCCTCGAGCGGGTTAGAATTGTGGGTGTTTCGTTAGTAGTTGATGCAAAGCGTTTGGTAGATATACGGGATAAAGAGGGGAGGGATGGCTGTGATATGCGCAGAGTGCGCAACAAAGGGTTTGACATGACGGATGTCTGGTTAAATTAAAAGGTTTCGAAATAAAAGTTAAGGAACTGACGCAAGCTAAACCGGGATGTTTAAAAATGTTGTTACATACGTTGAAAAGTTCGTGGGGAAGGTCTTATTGAGGGGCTATTCTCTTTAAGGTTAGGTACGATCCTGTGGATTATATACAGAGTCGTTGCCTTATAAGTTAGGCTTAAATCGGCCTAACGACGTGTCAACTACATTAATTAATTCGATATCGGATGTAGATTTTCCGTTCCGTCGGAGACGATATGGCTTTAATATCTCATTTGTAATTTATATCAAATATTATACTTAAAATTATTATTTAATTTATATTATTATTAGTTTGCTGATATTAAAACCTTATTATATATATAATATATTATAAATTATCTAATATAAATTATAGAAAATAAAAACCTTATTTAAATAAATTGTAATTTTGATAATCTGATTGGTTTAAAATACCCCAGTAAATAAATCTAACAAAAAACTTAATATAAATAAGTTTTATAATCTCAAAAAAATCTAACTTAAAACTTTTTTCAACTTTATTGAAATCATTCAACTTTATTAAAATCATTCAATTCAAAATAATAATAATAATAATAACTAGAGGCCTGCGCCCCCCGGACCCTTGGCTTTTTAAGAAAGTCTAATGAAAATTTAAGTTTTAAAAAGTTTATAATAAATTTAAATATTGAATATATATATTAGAGTACAAATAGAATATCAGCTTGTTTTTGATAATTGAAAATTAAATATTCTTATTATAAATATTCTTATTATAAATATTCTTATTATAAATATTCTTATTTTAAATATTATTAGTATTATTATTATTATTATTATTATTATTATTATTATTATTATTATTATTATTATTATTATTATTATTATTATTATTATTATTATTATTATTATTATTATTATTATTATTATTATTATTATTATTATTATTATTATTATTATTATTATTATTATTATTATTATTATTATTATATATTATACCTTGATAATAGATTGTAATATATTATCTGAATCTATAAAAAGGTATAGTACGAATGAGTTTGAGAGTGATTGTATGGATTTATGTACCAGTATTATGGAGGTTCATATCAAACCGGGTAGGGTGACATTTGATATGGTTGAAAAAGCCATAGTGCCCAGATTAGTGAAGGAGCTCGTGGGCATGTTACGAGGGATGCGATCTAGATCACATGGAAGTGGCCTGGATCCTTGAACGGTTTATAACTAAGCATTAAGCAGAGGCTTAAGATAATATCAATAGTTGCAATTCGTAACTAATAGTAGAGTATACTAAATGATTAATCTTGAGTACAAAGCTCTACAAACGGAATCCTTTCCTAACTATATAATTCTTTGTATTCCATATCCCATTCCTCCTACTGAATAGAATCGATGGGATTGATAGGAATCCTTTCCTACTACTTCCATTGATTTAAATTAATGGGATTAATGAGAATAGTATTATATGATCACTTGATTATACAGTTTTATAATTGTTATTGTAATGAATTCAATAATAACAATTCTGGTGTTTACTAGATTTCTATATCATTTAATCCCATACTAAATTGATCAAATCGTATCTCGTAAGCACAGGAACAGTTATTGTAAGATCCGTGATCGTAACAGGGCACCAGGTCCAGGTATAGGAAGTCAATGCCAGCCAACGCTGTGGCTCTTAAAGTTCTGTTCAATTGCATCTACGGCGCATGGCGCTATGAGCATTCAGCTATATACTCACCGCGTGTTCTAGCTCTGCCATTGCAATATGTAGATGGTGCTTTATAGTAGATGTGGGTATATTTTCTAGGTGCGGTATGCAGATAATATACGGTGATAGAGAGTCTTGCTTTGTCGATAGAGGAGTAGAGAGGACTGGACCCGCGAGGGTAATGCCGCGAGATGTACCAGGATATTAGATATTATTACTGCAGTTTTCGACTACACGCCTATGAAGGGCATGAAGATGCTGCTAGAAAGTATGTTCCCCAGAATACTGCTTGTGGCTGAGAAAATTACACCTACATCGATGCTGGGTCTCGCATATGTTTTCAAGGGGGATCTGTTGTGAGAAAGGATGTGCTAGGTGTTAAGCGTAAATTGGCTAGTGAGTGCATAACTACTATATTGCGCATTTATTCTATCACCAGTACACTGCCACAGCTGGCCCGTATATTCTCGCGTACTATAGGCTCTTGTACCCTGCGCTTGCCGTCCCTGTCTCCAAGGTCAAAAAAGTAGATGGTTCAAGTTGCTATGAGTACACTGCCGGCGGCAAGTGGACTGTCGCCCTGAAAGTGGACAATTAAACTGGCAAGAAGTCCGTAGATTACGATATAGAAACGGTATGCAAGGCCCTCAGGGATGAGATAAAGGAGTATACGATTGTGGCTGCCCCGGCATCATTTCCCTGTGCGCACGGATTGCACCATCAAATGGTTTACTCATAGTGTACACCTAACTCGAACACTCCTCTATGGAATACCCACTGTATATCCATACATCTCATCTCCATCGAAATCGCCATGTTTTGTATGAATATAAGCCTAGCCCTGTCGCTCACGTTATTCATGGCAACACCTTTCTTCGAAGCCAGGGTTTGTGGTACCAACAATGTGCACTCTCACACTGGAGACAGTATGTGAAACTGTGGTCCACCCATTGTCTAGACACGGTACCAATCAATGTCTGCTGACGAAGCACCGAGCACAATAATACGTTGTAACAAATGAGTGTGCGGGATAGCATGCACAGGTGGTCGCGCTCTAGCATTGACCCAAGTGTATTTGGTGACCCAGAGCAGGCTTCACTACAGTCATATGTGTACCTGCGGAGATTCACCCTGCTATCAGTGCAGACCGCCATCCCGATACCACCGCAGTGCAGAATCGTCGTGGTGACATCATCATGTGTACACATAACGGGAGCAATACCGCCTGGGCTTAGGTCATCCATACTCCCTAGGGTAGGCGAGTGTCTTCGGATTCGGGAATAGCCTCTGGACGGCATGAGTATCATCCGGCAAAACAGATCAAATTTTTGCATCGGTTATGGTGTAAGCTCGAGGCTATTGAGGTCTACGATGTACCCTGCTTCCAACCCGCAAGGCGACGCGGAGATGGTGCACACCTGTTATAGTGGCGGTACAATAATGGACACCGAGTTCTTCTACGTGTAGAAAGGTGATCGCTTGTGGGTAGGGGTGATGGTAGACGATGATGCTGAGCTCCTGTGGAAATACATAGACGGTGAGTGCGCATGGGTCCTTATGTGTGGTAAGGTGTGCTATTTCATAAGAACAGACGCGTGTCGTGCTGTTGCTGCGTGGTGTGTTCTTCCTGCTGCGTTTAAGGAGTTCACTGACGCGTGTGTTCCGACGCTGACTGGGTCAAGCATAGAGATGGGTTTATAGAGTATATGAAGGGTTACCTTAGCGGCTACACCCTCGGAAGCCCGCCGTACCAAGATCACTTGGAAAAGGGTTACCGGGTGCATCAGAATGAGTGTGGCGAGTGCATCGTGAGGTGGTGTGCCTGTATGTGTTGCTTAAAAACACTTATAGGCGTTACCGACTGCGTTGCGCTGGAAACGTAGATAACATCCGTGGCGTCGTGGCAGTGTTAAACTATGAATATGGTCCGGTATGCGGATATCGGCGGTAAGCTCAACGAGGCGTTCGCATTTAGGATACGGCTATGTGGTATGAGCGTCCTGACCGTTAACAGCTATCAAATCAACCTACAACCAGCAGCGCTCTATAGGCTCACCGTTTACCTAGGCCCATGCTTTACAATTTTTGGCCTACCACACATATGGTGTATAAAGCATTTCGTGCTTCTGCCACTGCGAAGAAATGTATCCACACTCCACTAGCTGAATTATAAGTGGATGTAGGTATTTGTTTACTGCAACCTCCCGTTAAATAACCCGAGCTCTCTGAGATAGGAAACTTATGAAGAAAGCAAAGGCCAGGGTTCCAATAGTCCGGACTGCAGTCAAACAACGGGAGATTTTGGATTGTTGAAACCGATTGAAACATTGAAATTATTAAGAAAAGGTCCAAATCATGCTGAAATATCAGATTCAGTTGGATTCAACCCATTTGAATCCATGAATGGTACTTTCCAAACGGAAAATCTTATATCTAGTCTCGAGCTCCTAGTCCAAACTATTGGATAATCTGGTGCCAAAAGAAATATCATATATATCTGGATATGTATATATATATAAGAAATGCTATAACGTGATACTCGGTAAAGTTCTTGGCATTTCCAAGAAGATATTTTTTCTTTCTTTTTAAAAAAAGAGAGAGCCAGAAAGGGTAAAAAGTAACGTCTATCTCTGTATCTCCATTCCATTCCATCGTTCTGCCTGTTCCTTTTCCCAGTACAAAATAGAAAGAAAGCACATGCTCATATTTCCCATGCCACTATGAGTGAAATCCCACTCTCCAGATCTTCGACAATGACGCGAATGTGATGATCGACATGCATGCTGCAAAACAGCTGCATTCATATTCATGCAGTCATATACTCCGTACTAGTCATGGTAATCTACTCGGTGAACAGATAAGAAAGCCATGCTTGTCAATAACCATGGGAAACCTGACAGACACCCCGCATCGCGAAAGCAGCTGATTTCCTGTGCTGTCCATTTGCGATTAATTGAGCTGTGTGATGACTGTAACCTCACTACATACGCTTGTTTCGAATTCGCGAGTCTTTACGCCTTCTGTTTGTCAATTTTAATGACAAGACAATGTGGGAAGTAAATGCGCGGGGTATAAGTTGAAATAATACACCACCATATAACCATATAAAACTACGAACAATTCCTCACTCAACAACCTCCCCTCCATGTTCCTAGCTATACTCAAATCCCACCTCAACAAACACCACAACCTGCCCACCTTCCACGGTTCCTGCCATTGCAGCAGTGCAGCATCATGACTCTCCCCCCAGCCCAAATCTCAGCAAGTCCCCGCAAAACAACCCTGCAACTCCGCAACTGCAACTGCACCACCTGCCACAAAATAGGACTTTTCCACATCCGACGCCCTGATTCCGCAAACGATTTCATGCTTTTAAATCCTAGTGGGATGCCGCATGAAAAAGGCGGATGGCAAGACCAGGGTATGAAAAATTATCAATGTTTTGATAAGTCAATTGATTGGTGGTTTTGTGGGTCCTGCGGTGTTGTGAAGCAAGAGCCTTTTGCTGCTGGCTGGGTGGATTTTCGCGATGGGGAAATAAGGAAGGTGATATTTGAGTTTGAGGGAGTTGGGGATTACCGAGGTTGATGGGTGATGGTGGGAGAGGGAGGGGAGGGGAGAGAGAGGTTTGGATGTGTATTGAGGAGGGGAAGGGAGTGGATGGGAAGATTGTGCAGTGGGAAGAAGGAGTGGTGGAACATTTTTCGGTTAATGCTATGGCTTTGGAGGTAGGTCAAGCAGGAGGGTTGTGGTTTGAGAGTGGTATGAGAAGGGACGGATGGATTAGTTATCTGGATTGTTTGGATCGAAAGGAGGAGAATAGATTAGATAGGCCATGGAGAGGTGGAATGTACTGAGGTTGGTTACGGGGCATTGAGGTCTAGTTTATTATGAAAGGAAAGATCGAGGAGATTCCTTTTCGAGGACTCAGGATATATGGTGTTTCATGGAATACAATTTATGACTGCTTAACAAGAGGGGATATAAACTAGCTAAATACAAAAATACAAAACTCACAATTTACTAGGTACCCAATTCGGTTTCCTCTTCTCAACAAAACTCCGCACTCCTTCCTTCATGTTCGGACCCTTATCCATCCTACTATACCAATTTTGTTCTATCAATCTCGTTCCTTCTTCGGCACCAACTCCTTCCCAACCCATCTTGATACCTTCTCTACTCACAATAACACTATCCGGACTATTTGCTGCTATCAGCTCCGCCATTTTGATAGCTTCCTCAACGCTCTTCCCCGTTCCGACCACCCTGTTGACCAATCCCCACTCCATGGCTTCTTCTGCTCCAAGCGTCCTTCCCGTCAATGCCATCTCCATTGCCCTTTGTTTTCCTACCGTCCTCACTAACCTAGTCAAAGCTCCAGCCAGAGCCACGACCCCAATCTTCACTTCCGGTAAAGCAAACACCGCATGAGCTTCTGCAATCACCATATCCGCATTTATAATCATCTCACAACCACCTCCAAAACAGATTCCATTCACAGCACATATTATAGGTTTCTTTCCGCCTCTCCGACTCAATCCTCCAAAACCGGATGTGGGTAATGAGCGGGCTTGGCTTGAGGCGGAAGTTGATAACGAATTATTCGAGTCCCATTCTTTTAGATCTGCGCCTGCACAAAAACTCCGTCCGACGCCTGTTAAGATGGCACATCGAAGACCCGGCTCGGCGTCAAACCATCGAAAGACGCGATCGAGTTCGTTGTGCGTGAATGTATCGAGGCAGTTGAGGGATGACGGCCTGTTGATAGTTATGAGGAGAGTAGAAGCTGTTGGGAACGATAGGAGAGTGTTTTTGAGGGGCGTGCCGGTGGACATATTGTGGAAATTGAGATGGCGGGGTATGGTTGATGATGTGCAGAAAACAGGATGTAGATAAGATCAAAAGCAAGAGAGAGAAAAAGAAAATTGTGCAATGATATTTTTGTACACTCGGAGTATAAAGTTCATTTACATTGTGCTTACTCGAGTACAGCTGCGGAGGAAGATGAGATGCGTTGTCAATGAAGAAGGTCTCCATAATTTGTGGGGGAAGATGCCGAAGCCTCGCAAAACCTCGGTAAACTTCCATGAGTCCGCATTACATGGGCTTAGCGGTTACTCTAACAATGATCTACACGCACGTCCGGCAAGTTATATTAGCGTGCAAACTATTTTAGGAGTACGTATAATATATACCAATATCGAGGACTTTTCCGTGTCAGAACCATGGCCATCATGCAAGGTCACTGATGGATCAACAAGAGGTTCAATAACCTCCAGTAGATTTACATCTGGTGCCTGGTATAGTTACGTAGGCTTACCAGTCATCCTCATCAAAGCTACCAGTCATCCTCATCAAAGCTTAAGGTTAAAGTAACATAGGCTCATCTGACTTCGCTATGGAACTTAACGTTCAATCCTAAGATCCTACATGTACAGAGGCTGCAGCTCCTTAAAATAGCTTCGCTTATTCTCTTTACCGTTATTCGAGTTCGCTTTCAAGTTAACTCTATAGCAATACGAGTGTCATGCTCATCTAGTCTTTTATCTTACATTCGCTTTGAGCCGAAGCCGAAGCCGAAGCCGAATTTGATCATGAAGAGTAGCCGTAGAATGTATAAGTGTACCAGGGATAGATGCTCAGCCTACCAGCGATAGATGCTCTGTCAAAGCAGCTAAAGCTTCGGACACATTACATCTCTGTTGCTGGAGAATATTTTGATGACCGAGGACCAGTAGCTACTCTTGGTGACATGTTGGTGAGATTGGCTTCAACGGGGGAGATTTTTAAATCTTTAAGAATCTTAACCGCACTTAACCAACGGTTCTCTATTCTATATGGAGTGTTACATTATCTGAATTTGATTCAGCTATCTATCATTATCCATCAGACGAAGATCCATATTTTGGGTGCGAAAGGATAGCAGGAATAAGTGGTAGCTGGAAACTAGGGTATCTGATTTCGACTGCTCACTTTCCACTCTCATCTTCAAGAGTATTCATGTTGATAAAGTCATCAGTATTCAAGATTTCTATTTCTATTCACTCGTTACTGTAATACCTGAGTAGAACAGAGGATGAGATGTGTATGAAAACTCAAAATGCAAGATACCACCACGGCAACATACCACCACCACGTATGCCTCCATCTTCCACTGTGCTCTCTTCAACATACGAGGTCTACCTCCCGTAGGAACGTTAACCACATAGAAATGTGGTGAAGCCTAGTGTTTGCTGTCGACATGAGGAGCATGTTGAAGCGTGCCGGATCTTGGACCGCCGTGGAATTGTAGCAACGACTCAACGAGACACATTAGGCCCATCACATGATTCAGCTTTCACATAGTCTAGTTTTCGCATCGTCCATTGTACAGGCTTCACCATGTTTGAAAGGCCGTGTGTTCTAAGTTTTACTCAATAAGACAAACGGGAATTCAGCTTCTAACGTGTTGCTTGACTGGCTGACTGACTGACTGACTGACTCTCCTCCGTATACAATAGAAGATGAGATATATTGTGCCTAGCTACCTCGTATACGGAAATAAGGACATGAATACGCATCTTCAAATTCTTCGGTCCTTCTTTTCGGGAATAATATATTGTTGAGGAAATCGTGATGTCGCTAGTGTGTAAGCAAAGATGATTTTGAAATTATCGCGATTGACTACCTCGATCTTCCATTCTCTTTCCAATCCTTTTTTTCCTTTTTCAACCTTCCTCTCTTTTTTCCCTTCTTCCATCTTTTTCTTCTTCCTTTTCTTTTTTCCCCTCTTCCCCTCTTCCCCTCTTCCCTCTTCCCCTCTTCCCTTTCCTCCCTCCCTCTCCTCACCTTCTCTATTCCTTTATTCTTCAATTCTTCAATTCTCCAATCCATCAACTTCCTCTTTCCCTCCTTCCTTTATTCCTCTCTACTACGTCTATTGTCGATTGAACAATAGTTCAGCTAGAAAGCCTTACCTTAGATTATGGTATATCACCGGCAAAGTCAAAGGAGATGGAACACCCAATCGGGGAACAAAATCTTGATTCTCATTCTTCCTTTGTAATCCCAAGCTCAATTTTACAAATCAAAAATGGAGGAATCATCATCAACAATCTTACGATCGAAGATCTCACGAGAAGAGTTCCTTAAGAATTTCCTGCCAGCGTGTGGCATGCCATTTATTTCGCCGCCGTCTGAAGAAGTTAACGATGAAACATCACCAGCAAAGTCAAAGGATATAGAAAGACCAGTCAACGAACAGGTGTCTGGAATGATAACACTTGAATCAAAGAGTCCTTGTTATTGGAAAACTGAGGATTCAATTTACACATCTGTCCCTTTGAGCTATCTGGAGACTATCAGTATTCTAAGGTCGATCATAACTGTCAAATGTGGTCAATTTGCAAGGTATAAACTCTCAATTATGCCAAATACTATTAATGCTAACATTGTTTCAGGATGGCGATGACTGCGTACAATTGGACTGCACAAAAAACCATGTCAGCCCAATCTGCCCTGACGCACTTTTGGATGGTGTGTTTGATCTCAAAAGGCAAAGTGGACACTACTTCAAGCGGTTCATACATCCACAAAACTCCGAAATTCAACAAAATCAGGAGGTTCTTGTGATTCCACAATTACGGCACATTTATATCCATCGCATGAAGCATCTCCAGCTGCCACGAGACGTATGTCCGACGTCGGTATTACTGCCATCAGAAGATTCACCATCCGAGATTATGCGACAAGTACAATCAGCAAAAGCCCTCCTCGACATAGTTTGGCACTTGAAGTGTCTGGTTTTTTCGAGGACATTTGGTGACATACAAAATGAGTTAAAGCTTGGTGTTCTTCCTGCGCTGTTATTTCGTTATCCAGCTCTCATGACTGACAAGCAGAGATACCTCTTCGGTACTGGGGAAAGACGGATAAAAACCATCGCAGATGCTTTGTCGTTGCTTGAAGATGCCCATTTTCAACTAAACTTTGACGAAACCATCCATTATTTGGAAGATGCCAAACGCACAGAAATATGCCTAGATCGTGCGGCACGGGATTTCGCGAAGAAGTTGAACGTAAAGGCAAAGAAACAACATAAAATTCCCGTTACAGACAACAACTCACCTATGGATCTACACCTATTGAATCATAGCAAGGCTGAGCTGGAGCGATCTGGAAATCTGCCGATTCTGAAGTTGAAAAATTCGGCAAAGAAGCACAAATCCAAGGAAATATAGAGGCACAAGTCAAGCACTCAAAAGGCAGACGTGGCCACTATTGAGTTTCGGATTCCAACTTTGCTGGTAAGATTCCCTCCTTCCAAAGAACCTCAACCTCCCAACTAACGTTTCTATGTAGAAGGGCGAACTTTGGTGGTTCCGAGAGAATGTGCAAAATACAACGACGCTGGGATGTATTTGTACGTAGGAGGTATTGACCCCGCTGTCACCGAGGGGGATATAGCATCGCTGTTTGAGATGTTTGGTAAAATTAAATATGTGAAGTTGGTCGATCAGACAAGCAAGAAGAAAGGCTTCGTACATGCACCATGGAGTAGAAGTGAACTTGATGATCCACAAACTACGCATCTGAGAGGGTCATTCTTTGTCACTACCATAGAGGGATAACTACTTTAAAGCACAAATAATACATTTTTCCAATATGCCATGCAGAATCAACCTAGACATCGGTGTGAAGAAGTTTCGTATGAAGAAAGCTTGACTAACTGTTCTGATGTGATCTGCTCTTCCATGTACTGCAGGATAGGATGAGATGCAATGTATCCAGTAGAGGGGACTACGCACACAAATATCAAAAATCATCATCATCATCATCAGATGCGGAGTAACACAGTAGTCGATCGAAGATGAACTGTTGACATGCCGGCTTTCGGATCAATTGGTCCTTCTTTTCAAATTTTTACTATTGAAGGAAATTGAATCCCGTTACTGAGTAAACAAAGGTGAAATTTGTCGCGTCGCCAGGACTACCAGCTACTTTCCCAATTTCCCGAAACCTGCAACCTCCCCACCTCAACTTCGCAACTTCTCCTTCCTCTCCCTCTTCCTCTTCTACTTCCCTTCCTTCTCTATTCCTCTCAACCACGTCTACTGTCAATTGAACAAATCTTTCGATCTTGAAAGCTTTGGTCTGAGACTGTGGTTAATTTTCTTTCTTATTACAATCCAAATCCCTCAATTTATTGAATGAAGCAACAGCAACAGCAACAGCAACAGCAACAGCAACAGCAACAAAATTCAAAGTCAAGATTCGGTGCCAGATCTCCAAGTAAGTACCCGTCAATAAACTTCGATCTTCCAACTCATCAACCAGACCCAGCTAACACTATTTCTTTTGAAAAAGGCAAAATGGACATTCCTCCAGTCGCGGTTCACCCATTTACTATTCTGCCACGCCCACGGTTCTGATCATCACTTCAACTTTGCCTCTTGTGGCTGAACACTAACGCAACTTGCGGGTGCTAAGGTTGCTGCTAGAGGTATCAAAGTCGAGGTGGCTTGTGCCGCGTTTGGAGATGTTCGGTCTCAATCTCAATTTTTTTTTGGGAATGCCAACATTGTGGTCGCTACGCCGGGACGCTTGATGCATTTTGTGAGAAATGGCACCATTTCCCTAGCAAAACTTAAGTATGTTGCCTTCGAAGATGTACATACCTTCTTACAAGGCAATACATCACGAAAGGGATGGGTTGAACAATTGACTATACCAAATGGTATTCTCGAATACATTGAGAATGAATGTCGATACCAACCAGTGAGAATCTTAATTTCTCCATACAATACCGTGCACATGCAGGGTATCCATCATTTTCTCGGACCAAGAGTCGGAGAGATAGAGGCCATCAAGTTGCATAAGATGGATATCGGTAGACCTTTACCTGGCGATGCAAATACTCGCATTCTCACACCACGTGAAAGTTAAAGAGGTACACCAGAATCCGAGATGAAGAACCTGTGGGGAGAAATTGACGCCATCATTGAGCTCTGTCACGGCTTTAACCGTCTGCTTGTCTTTTGTGGCTCTCAAAAGCGAGTTGATGTTTTGGAAGATTTGTTTGCGGACCCCAATAACGGCAGGCGTGGTACCACGAGTTTTGAACCTCGGAGAGATAACCGACATCCCTACATCTTGTATGACCTCATATCTTGTATATATTTTATAACCTTAAAAATTATCAATTATATAAATTAAGTTATTGTTAATATAATTATATAAAGCTTATATTAATTTATATTAAAAGATAAAAATACTTTCAATATACTATTATAATAAAATTATTCAAAACTAAATTATTTTATATTTTTTAATATTATAAAATAAATCAATTTTTATAATATAATTTATACTAAATTAAATTAAATTCTTTCAATAAAATTAAATAAAATTAAATAAAATTTTAATTGATTAAATTAATATCAAGATTTACATTTTATTATTTATATAATAAAAGATTTTACAAAAGAAATAATAAATTATGTTTTAAAAAAAATGAAAATCAAATTTCATCAAAAATCCAAAAGTATCTTCAAATTAACATTTTATTATATTAATAATTTATATATAAAAATTAATAATATTAATATATTTAAATATTTTTATAATTTAATTTATAATAATTTATATTATTATTATTTATATTATTTAAATAATTATAATAAATTGAATAAGATGAATTAAATAAAATGAATTAAATAAATAAAATTAAATTCAATAAATAAAATTGAATGCTTTTAATTAAATTGAATTGAAAAGAGCTTTAAGTTAAATTTGTTTAAGATTATAAGATTTATATCAAGTTTTTTGTTAGATTATTTATCGGGGTATTTTAGATCAATCAGATTGTTATGATTACAATTCACTTAAACAAGTTTCTTATTTTCTATAATCTATACCAGATAAATTGTAATACATTATATATACAATAAGGTTTTGGTGTCGGCAAGTCGATAATAATAATATAACAATCTGGTCGAGGCAGCGGCTGCCTCAGGTTTTCGTCTGGTTGGTAATTGTAGATTAAGGTTAATAATCATTAATTATCTATTCGAAGATGAATACGTTACTAAATCAATTAGAATATAGATAAACTAATTGATAACTAAATTAAATACAAAGCTCCTAAACTATGAAACTATTCCGATTATATATTAATCTCTTTTCCTATGCTAGTTATGCTAGCTGGGTTAGCACAGCTAGTATTCCTATAGTGCTAGCTTTGCTAACTGGGCTAGCAAAGCTAGCATATCATATGATTGATCCTGAAGCCTTTCATATCCCAAAGCCTTTCCTTTCCTGGAATATTTGTTCCAAAAGCTTTTCTTTTAGGAATTATAATTCTAGGATATAATATTCTTTAGAATGATAATCCTATTATAATTAATTAGATAGAATATTTGTTCTATTCTATTATAATTGCTTAGAATACTTATCTTAGGAATCCTGGGATTCTAGGCTTAGATAATCAAGACCTCTGAAAGCAATAATTAAATCACATCCCCCTTGTAATCGGTATATAAATCATTGATATCAATAATATTATTATAATGAAAATTATGAATTGTAATATTATCCTTATCTTAATTAAATATCGTCCTCGATCGTTTATAAAATTTGAAAAGAAACATTATTCCTTATATAATTAATCTCGAATATTTCTTCTTCATTATATTATTTATTTGTTTTCAATTTTGTATTAATTATAAAGTTTTTAAACGAAAAATTAATTTGATTAGAAAAAAAATAATTTCTTATATTCGATATGAAAATACTAATATTAATTGTATTTCTTTTTATAATATTAAGTATCGTTATTATAATCATTATACTTCTCTTAATAAATTATATAATGTTTACAAATTAAACAAAATGTTTATTGTTTCTGATTGAAAAGCTATTGATATTCAAATCGAATATATAGATATTGAAAAGGATTTTTTTTATCGATATCAATTTGAAGCGATATCCAAAATTCTTTATTTTAATAAACAACAGAAGTTTCTTTGTAAATAAAAACAGAAAATGATTATAATTGATTTGAATTCTATAAATAAACTCGATATTCTAAAAGAAAAAAAAAGAAAAGAAAAGGAATAGGAAATTGTTGTATTCTTTATATTCATTACTCTTTTCGACCTTTCTAATCAATTTGATCAATTTGATCAATTTGATCAATTAAACCTTGATCAATTTAATTGATTTGGTCAATTTGATTAATTACCAATTGATCTTATCAATTCTAATGAAATTCTTATAAATGATTTCGATTCTTTCGATTTTTCTTTACAAAAAACATTTTCTTTTTCTTTTTGAATAAATCTGGATTCTATCAATAAAACTTTTGGAATCTTTTTAGATGTTTAATCTTTCTTTTAAATTCCTATATGTTTTCGAAATCAAGATAATCTTCCTATTTTATCAAATATTTGATTTTGTCTTTAATATATTTACAATTTAATATCTTCTTTATTTTATATTCGACATTTTGATTTATAAATATAATTTCTGTTTTAGAAGTTTTAAATACTTCTAGAAATATTAATTCGAATAAGGATATATAAAACATTAAATATATATTTATACTTTTTGGTAATATCAATTTATAATTCAAAGATTCTTTAACTTTTTTGATTTTGAATAATCCGAGTTTCTTATAATTCAATTTTGTATTAAATCTTTTTGTTTCGATATTTTTTCGAAATAAGTAGACTTTATCTTTCTTTTTTAATATTAGTTTTTGATTATATTTCTGATTGTAATAATATATATTTCTTTTGGCAATGAATTTCAATTTTGTTGTTATTTCTTTATAGACTTTTTTGAATTTTTCTATTTGTATTATTGTAGATTGATTCTTTATTTCTATAATCTTTAATTTACAATATATAATTAATTTGTATTTATAGTTGGTATAATTCGGAATGATTTGTATTGTTTTCAATGCTGAATTGTTATATACAAATTATACTAAAAATAAAAGTTTTATTTAATTATTCTATTAATAATTTATATAATATCGAAAGTAAACTTTAACAATTTGATTTACTTTTTTGTTTTCTTTATTGATTTGTGAATAAAATATAATAAATATTTTTCTTTTTACTTTTAATAATATTATTAAAGCAATTCAAAATTTCGATATAAAAAGTTTATTTTTATCAAAGAATATTTTCTTTAATAATTTATATATTATAACGATTTCTTTCAGAAATATAAAGATTAATATTTTTACAATTAATATTGTTTAATATAATATAAGTATCAAATACTTCGTTAATCTATTTATAATAACAAGAAAGTAATTATATATTATTCTTATTATTAAATCCTTAGATTTTGGTAATAAATCTATAAAATCCTATGATATTGATTTCTATAGTATAAATAATATTTCGGTGATATTCATTTATTTATAAGGAGTATAACGGAAAGTCTTATTTTTAATACAAATATTATATTCAATGATTACTTTATTAATTATATTATAAAGTCCTGAACTCCAATACTATTTTTTGATTCTTAGATATATTCTTTATATTCCTTGATATTTATAAATTGATAATATATATTGTTCTATAATATATTTAAAGATAATGTTATTTGATAATCAAATTTTATTTTCTATTTGAAACAATCTATCAATAATTATTAATAATTCTGATTATTTGATACCTTTTTTATTTTATTATATTTTTATAAATCTATCTTTCCAAATCTTTATTGATTTATTTTCTATAATAACGATTTTTGTTAAGTTAAGAATAAAATCTTTATTTGATAAGGATTTCAAGATTGTTATCTTTTAATAGATTTTATTATCTTTATAATCTGATAGTTTATTTAAAGTATTTATTTTTATATTATTCTTTTTTTTAATATATTTGATTATCAAATCAAATTTTGTTAATTCCTTAATCTATCTAATCAATCTTCGATTATTTAAGATCTTAATGATAGTAAAGATTTGAAGATTCATATAATCAATATAAATGATTATTAGGAATTTAATCCTTTGGAAATAAATCTTTTAATATTTTAATGTTTTTATAATAATTATAAATTCTTTTTTATAAATATTATAATTTTGTTTTATTTTGTTCATTTTATTCGAATAATAAATGATAAGATATAATTTTTTATTATCGTCTTTTTGTAGATAGATTCCTGTTATATATATATCAAAGGCATTTGTTTTGATGATATTTTCCTAATCATTATAATAATTGTAAAGGATAGATTTCTTTATAAATTTATTTTTGATTTCTTAGAAAACTTATTTTACTATTTTATTTTAAATAAAAATTATTTCTTTCTTAATTATTTCAATAAAAAATTCTATTATTTTCGAAAAATCTTTTATAAATATTCGACAAAAGTTAATGAATTCTAAAATAGATTATATATCTTTAATATTCTTGAATCTTTCTTAGTTTTTACTTTTTATTTTCTTAGAATCTATATTTATTTGTTTTGGTTGAATAATATATTCTAAAAATGTTACCTTTTATATTCCAAATTCATATTTCGATAATTTGAATCTTGAATCCACTTTTTTGAATATTTCGAATACTTTTAATATATATCCTTTATATTCCTTTTCTTTTCGAAAAAAGATTAGAATATCATTTAAATAATAGATTACAAATAAATTTAACTCTTTAAGTATTTCATTATTCTACTATTGATATATAACTAATGCATTAATTAGATTGAATAATATAATTATATATTCTTATAAATCTAATAGTAATATAAAGATTATCTTTTATTTATAGCTCTCTTTTATTTATATTAGATTGAAAGCATTCCTTTGATTTAATTTTGTATAAATTATAGTTTTATTCAATTTATCTTTGAATTCCTAAACTTTTGATATTGGGTATATATTTTTGATTGTTTTATTATTAATTCAATAATAGTCTTTACAAAACTATCTATTTAAATCGCCTTTTTTAAATATCAATAATATATTAGATATACAAAAAGATTTGGATTTTCTAATCTATTCTTTTTTTTCAACTTTAATCCTGTATTCTTCTTATATCTGTATAATATTAGAATTATATAACTTCAATTTTTCAATAAAGGATACAAATCCCTTTTTAAAATTGATTTTATAATCTCAAAAGTTATATTCTGATAAGGCCCTTAAGTTTTATAAATCTTCAAAAAGTTTGATAAATCTTTTATATTACATTAGAATTTCTTTTTTATCAATTCTATCGATTAATAGAGAATCCATTGCTATTATAATATAATATCTGATCTCTTCAGAAATCTATTCCTTTGGATTATATAATCATTCGTTATTATAATTATAATAATCGAAAGTTAAAATATCTTTTATTCAATCGATATTTGAATTGTATTTCTTAATCTACAAAGTATTGAGAATAATTATATATCTATTCAATAATACTAAATCCATTTTGATTTGTTTGATATACTTGTTTGATATAGTTATTTTGATAATATTGATTTCTTTATATACCCAATTGTCAATTCTAACTTTCTTTTCTTTTAATAGTATCAATTGATAAAGGTTTTGTTTTAATTCTATAGAAATTCTATTTTCTTTTATGAAATTGGGATTTATAAATATATTTATAACTTCGGAATTAATCAAAGTATTAATTTATTGATTTTTTAATTTAACTTCTACAATCAATTGTTCAATTCTTATAGTACTATTGAATTCTAATGATAATAATTCGATAATTTGTTTTTTGATAAAGAGATTCAGTTATTTATACTAATATTCATTTATACTTAATAATTAATAGAATATAATAAACAATAATCTTATTGGTTTTATTTGGAAATCTTAATAATAATTATAATTTGATACTTCTTTATTATTTTTATCGATCTTTTGTTAAATACAATGAATTCTGATTTGTAATAGGATTTCTTATACTTTCTCAACTTTTAGATTACATTTGTTATATTTTTATATTTCATTGAAAGATAAAGATCTTATATTTACAATATATCTTCTAATACTATTTACTTCAATATTTTCCTGAAATATTATATAATAAATATCATTGTATATTACTATATAGAATATTAACAAAATGGGATAATTATAGATTTTATATTTTTCGATGAAATCAAGTTTCTTCTTTTTATAATAAAGTTATATTTGTTTTTTATCTAGATAATTGATTAAATATTATAATTCATTTTCCTAAGATAAATAATAGGATTCAATTGTTTATTGATTCTTTTCGAATTCCTTAATTGATTTTTTGTTTTCTAATTTGAGATCTTTTAAGAGTTTTCTTTTGTAATCGATATTATTCTTAATACTAGTTTTAGGATTTTGATTATTGATATTCAATTTCTTTAATTATTTGAAATTGAATTGAAATAAATCTTTTTTTAATAATTTTATTTCCTTTGAGTTTCTTTTTAAGATTCTTGTTTTTCAAAAATTCTATTTTTTATTCACAAATTTTATTTGTTTTTTGTTTCTTGTAATAAATGATTTCTTTTTTTGAAAACAATCTTAAAATATATATCTGTTTTTTCTACAAATATAATTGTCACGAAATCATTTTATAGAATGTCACGAGGTAACAGTCAACCTGTCTCTATGAGCTTTGACCTTGTTGAAAAGCAAAGCAACTTGTATACAAATTTGTATGGCAACCGCTTCGTATGGTCTCCCCACCTTCAGCAAGCTCGGACATATGGTCTGATCCTAGTCACGTGATGGAGCCTCCAGGAGCCTACGCTCCTGAGGGCTCCAAGGAGCCTACGGGAGCCCACGCTCCTGGAGGCTCCCAAAATGGATTAGTATATAATCAGAATAGTTTCATAGTTTAGGAGCTTCGTACTCAACTTAGTTATCAATTAGTTTACCTACATTCCAATTGATCTAGTAACGTATTCACCTTCGAGTGAATAATCAGTGATTATTAGCCTTAACCTACAACTACCAACCATACGAAAACCTGAGGCAGCCGCTGCCTCAACCAGATCGTTACAATAATATAAATTGTTCTTTTTATATCTTTTCTTTTTATTAATATTTAAATTATTTAGTTTTATATAATATCATTTGATATTATCTAATTCTATTAGATCATTAATATCATAATATTTATTCTGATAATAAGGTTTTTGGAACTTTTTACTTTCTTGAATAATTCTTTTCTTTTCCATTTGTTATTTATAAAATCAATTATCAATGAAAATGAAAATTTCGATTAATTCGAAAAGATTAAATAGTTTTGGAACTTTCGTTAACTCGTCTTTTATAATATCTTTCAATCCCTTATAAAATTATGATTTTAGATAATTATTATTTTATATAATATATTCAATATATTATTGAAACTTAACAATATAAATTGTAATTGATCTAATCTACCTGAATTATTGTAATACTTTTTCAATCATATAATCAGGGTTTACTTCTCTAAATGCTTTATCGAATTCTTATCTGAACGATTTATAATTGAGAAAGAAACAATAAATCTCAGATTTCATATTCTTATTCAATTGATTATTGATAATCTTGATTATTAAATTATTGAAAAATAATTTAATTCAATTGAATATAATTCCACAAAAAAAGAAAATCAATTACAAGATTTTTTATATAAAAATCAAAAAAAGTTGTTTATTAAAAGTATAATAAAGATCAATTTGTATAACAAAAGCTCGATATTTGTTACAATCTTTATAAAATAAATCAGAAATGGATATCTGAATCGTTTGTCTATATTCTATAATAGCGATGGTCTGAACAAAGGCCTCAATTGAATTGAATAGAAACAATTCGATAGATTATTGATTGGAAACTATTATATTGTATATAATTTAACTATAATGATGTTCAAAATATAACGATCTAATTGAAATAATAATTGCCTCAGATTTTCGTTTAGTTGATAGTTATAGATTAAGATTAATAATTATTGATTATTTATTCGAAAATGAATATATTACTAGATCAATTGGAATATAGATAAACTAATTGATAATTAAATTGAATATAAAGCTTTTAAATTATAAAACTATTCTAATTATATACTAATCTTTTTTTCTATATTAATTATACTAGTTAGATTAGTATAGTTAGCATTCTTATAATACTAGTTTTGCTAATTAGGTTAACAAAGTTAGTATATTATATAATTGATTCTAAGGCCTTTTATATCCCAAAATCTTTCCTTTCCTAGAATACTTGTCCCAAAAGCTTTCCCTTTAAAAACTATAGCCTTAAAATACAATATCCTTTAAAATAATAATCCTATTACAACCAATTAGATAAAATACTTATCCTATTCTACTATAATTGCCTAGGATACTTATCCTAGGAATCCTGGAATCCTAAGCTTAAGTAATCAGGACCCCTGAAAGCAACGGTTAAATCACATCCCCCCTATAATCGGCATATAAATCACTGACATCAATAATACTACTATAATGAAAACCATAAATCGTGACAAATAACTCTTATTTTAAAATACTAATAATATTACAAAATTATAAAAAGGTATATAATTGACTAGGAGATTATGAGTTGTATATTATATAAATCGATTTAGTAAACAATATTATAAAACGATCTTAATTTCAATTATTGTTAGTTCGGAAAACAATTTATAATTACTTATAGATCATAATTATAATGAAAATGATTGTTTTGTATGATTACAGATATTATTATTATTAACTCGAAATTTAATTTCTTATCCTATATATTATACAACTATAACCTTTAATACTATTGTATTAAATTTGACTGGTTTCAAAGATTGAAGAGTTAATCTTGCTACACCCAAACAGGAGGAGCGGCCAGGGACAGCAATAAAGGCTCTAAATATGTTCAGTGCTCGTTCATCTTGGTCACCAGTGCTTGATACATCTCAGAATCGTACCCGACACATTTGAGGTACTCATAGCACAATGAAACTCCCGGAGGATTATCAAGATCTTGCTACAGAAGTCTATTAGCGAGCTATGTCGTGTTGTTGGAGATATACATACCCTTTCAAACGCTGTCATGATTGCTCCTTCCGTGATATGCTGAGCCTCTTCTTCAGTGATAGCCCTGGTTACAGCTTTATTTCCTGTGCTTTCCCAGTCATATTTATTCATATAGCTGTCATTTTTCGCATCCCACCATCCGACTCGAACCGCTGGCCATCTCTCTTTGAGAGCATGAACGACCAAAGCAGCTTTTGAACCATTAGCGGAACCTGTCCCGAGCTTCTGTGCCCAATGACGTTTGACCTGCTCTGGAAGCTCAAGCATTTCATTGTGACCGAGACAATCAGATGGCATGGCTTCATATGTTCCATAATATCGCAAATGTGAGGCCCCGATATCACGAATGAAAAGAGGGAAAGTTTGACCTATCCCAATCTCCGCTAAATATGGTGTGATATGAGCACCATGTGCACCAGGAAGACGAGGTAGAAGAGGGTCAAATTCGCGGCTCAACAAAGCGTAAGGACCGACATTATTGAAGATTCCTCTCGAACCATTTGACAAGTACCAATTGTCCGCGACTGGATTTCCCCCAAAAATGTTGCGTAAGAAATCATAGTGAAACTTTGTGTTTGGCTGAAGGGGAAGCTGCAAATCTTGTATCACAGGAAATCTTCTCACCATAGTAGGCATTCGCATCCCATTGTAAAGGCAGATAGAGATATCAGTCACATTTGGTCGCGGATCCTCTTGAAAGTCCATCGCAAGCAGTGCAGGTGTTCGAGGGGAGGATCTGGATGCTAGATGTTCTTCAACGTTGGTAGTATTTTGTCCTCGCCTGCCATCGTTTACCACTTCTGGCACGGGCGTGCTAAAGAAGCTAGTAAGTCAATGTTGCTTCCACAAGTGTAGTTACTGACTTACGCATTATAAAGGTCATCCCTGTCATATCGCTCGCTTGATCCATGCTCCGACTTCACGAGAGGTGATGTATCTTCACCAGTTAGGTCGGCAATAGCTCGTCTCCCATTTTTTGAATCGTGTGCGTTTGCTTCACTCTTGACACTTGCTTGATTTTCCAATTTCATCACCTGCTCTCGTAATCTGGACAATTCCGCAAGAACAAACTCCATTCCCGGAGGGGCATTATCATCATATTGAGAGACTTGACTAACACTTGTAGCATTTCTTCCAGGAGAGTCTGCTGCGAGTTTCCTTTTTTTCGTTCCGTTTGAAGCGATTTCGGACATGTTGCCAATGTCGTCGTTTGTGCCGAAGAATATCAGTTGAATCGAGCACCAAAGGATACCGACCGAGTGTATAGTGGGTTTATATTAGTTGTTAGATTGGGGATGAGCAAAAGCCTCAAGGCTCCAAGCACTGTTCGAATAAGATCAATATAAATATCCAATTGCTAGGGACATGAGTATGTTGTATCCTACGGTCTTTACCAAAACACTTCGTTTGTAGACTTGATAAGGTTATATGAATAAAATAATAAAGTGGTTCCAAGTTGTTCCTGGTCTTATATATAGCTTCAGCACAGACCATCTACACCTCGCGCCCGCTCTCATCCCATAATTATCTCACACCCCAGAAATGAATATATATCTTCAAATCATGTCTTCTCTTCCCTCCATTTCTCTCCTCCCCAATCAATGAAATGCCCATCTGCATCGAATGTCGCTATCCGACTACCCAGCTCTACACCGAATATTCCGGCGGATCAACCGGCCATGGAGTACGATTAACCGTATGTAAGAACTGCGGACGTTTTTGCGACAAATATGTCGAGCATGATTTTGTGGTATTATTTATTGATTTAGTTTTGATTAAACCACAGGTTTGTTTTCCCGGTTCAAACTTATTCTATAATATGCGGGGGGGAGTGTTGTTTGGCTGATTCGTTCTGGGTGCGCGAAAGGTTTATAGACATTTATTGCATAATACCTTGATGAGAGAACATGATCAATTTGATGTATGATATTACTCCCTCTTCCTATTTCCTATTACTATCTTAATGATATGATATATTGACATTCCCAAGCCGTCGATAATCCGTCTTGGTATTCTACTCCTCCTCTTCGATGTTTATCTCACATGGGCACGGATCGAAAAACAAACCACTGCTCCGGTCTCCGCTCCCATTGAAACGGATAATACGAATTTCCTTCGTCTAGCTAAGCAACCTATCGTCTTCCAATATATGTTCTTCCTCCTCCTCTGCGCCCTCTCGACACTAAGTTTCCACCTCTCCATACGTTTCCTTACCTCCTCGCCCTTTTCACCCCTAGTATTCCTCGGACTTCTCCCAAAATACACACGTCCGAATTCCGTTTCAACGGCTCTACTCGTCTCTTCTTCTACGAAATTATTTCCTATTCTTATGGTCATTTGGGAATATGATGTACCAGCTGCGGCGAGGAGTTTGGGTTGGGCTGTTGTTGCGAATAATGTTGAGGCACTAAAGATACTACTGGATTGTGGGTATGGGACTGCGGCGATACTTGCGACGGTGGGTGCTATTAGTAGATGGATGGTTGGAAGGGGAATACTTTGGGCGGTAGGTTTGGATGGGGTTGACACAGTTGGGGATTCAGGGGTAGCCGCGGATGGGAAAGCGCTGTGGGCGCTTGTGGAACTAGGTAGGGAATGGGGTGGTAGATTGGGATTAGGGTAATTGGAAAGTGTTAAGATACCAAGATGAAATGAACATGAATGCCATATATCTCATATTATCATGGGTGGTTGAAGTTGGAGGGATTGACGTAGAACCTCTCGGGAAGAACTACATCACTACCAGCACGTCCATTTTCCTTCCGAGTATTTCTTTTTGCTCGGAGCAAATGAGATGCCGGCCCTCAAGTTCATTGCACAAGTATAGACTTCCATAAAACACAGGTTCTTCGGCGGCCATATCCTTATTGTAAGCCGAACCTCGAGCGCAGCGAGGATATGGGGGCTTGGGGCCTTGCTCCCATGGAAAACAATTGAACAATCAATAGAAATGTCGCTCCGCTGGCCCTCCGGGGGCCACTGCCGTGGAGGCAGACCATTTGGAATCCAGATTCAGAGCCGGAGTGTTGAAAAGCTTCCATTACCACAAAAACCCCTATAACTATACACGAGCCTTATTTCATTACTCCATTAGAGTCGAACGTCGAACCCATCCCAAGAACGCCAAATAATACATTTCATTCTTCTTCTTCCTCTCTCTGCCATCATATCATCAAGTTTGTCCATCCCTAATAACCACTCATATGTCTCGCATATTCCGGTCTCAAGTCTCCTCTTCGGGGCACAATAAGTGGATGCCATTGCGCCAAGAACGTAATCGCTATTATCATCATTAGTATCAATTTTTTTACTCTTTCCTCCTATTTTCCAATCCGTGTAGTTATGGTTTGATGCGATTGGAGTACGTACCCCACATGATGTAACAACTTGCGAAGGAGAGGATGAGTGAACTGCGCCAGATTCTATATACCACCAAATTAGTCACCGATACCTTGAAGTTTTGCCAGTTTATATCCCGCTACTGCGAATTCCATATGATAGGATAGAGCGCTATAGATACATACGTTTGAGTCTCGCCTTTAGGAGAAAGGAACCATGCTATAACAGAGGCGATCGCAGTGATGATGAGGCCGATGATGATACTCCCGCTATTCAAACCATCGTGTTAGCCGTGTTTTTCGCTCTCGCATTGATATGATTGGAATGATCGGAAGACTAGGAATAAGCATACCCGTTTGCCATGGTGATGGTTATGATGGTGAGGTGGTGAGGTGGTGAGGTGGTGAGGTTTGAATTTGGAGATTTGGAAGTTGCTCAAGGCTGTTGTTTTAATTCGAGGTTGGTGATTATTGATGGAGCTTGGTTCAAGGTGACTTCGTGCTAAGGATTTATTAGCTTGGCGCATCAGCACTTTCTTTTCACTCCTCTTACATTAAACTAAGGTTACAGAGTACAAAACATTTCATGCGATCAACATTCATAATTATTAATATTTATGAACCGGCAGAATCAACTGTTATATATTTATATATTTATATATTTATATATTTACATTTTTAGTTTTATGATTTCCCTGACTTTTTTTATTCCTCAACATCAATATTCCACAGTCTAGTTCTCAAATTTAAGGCCAGCTTCCTGTCTAACAGCTCCATAAATGGCACCGATATCACCAGCTTCTCCCTTGTGATTCTTCACCTGCTCTAAATGAGCATCTGCAACTTCAACTACCTTCATTCGAGTACCAGCACTCTTCGCCAATCCCATTGCATGCCTTGCATCCTTTCTTGCCAAGTCAACTGCAAATAATGGTTCTTCCCGTTTATGATAATCGCCTGATAACATTCTGCTCGAATATGCCGCATATGGACCTGGGAACAATGCTTCGATAAATTGATGAAGATTTTCAGTACCCAAGCCAGTTTTTTCTGCAAGGACATGACCTTCGGAAAGAACCTCGACCATATTAAGCACAAAGGTATTTCCAATAACCTTCAGTAATGTGGCTTTTCCAACTGGTTGTCCCCCGAAGTCGATAATGGCTTTACCCATAACTCCTTTAGTGTAAGGCTTCACCTTGTCTACACTTTCTTTTGGTCCAGCAAGTACGCAAATAAGTTGTCCACTTTCTGCCATAGCTGGAGCACCGAAAACTGGGCATGCAACGAAGTCTCCTCCAGCAGCACTAATCTTCTTTGCTAATCCTTCCGTGGTATCTGGATGAACAGTCGAACAATCAACGAAGAGTTTTCCAGCCGCACCATTCTTGATGCCTTCATCGATTGTCTCATTAATAGCAGCATCATCTCCTACGCATGTAAAGATGATATCAGATCGGGAAACAAGATCTGCAATAGAAGAAGAGACGGCGGATTTGCCTGACGGAAGGGATTCACTGAGATCTTCTGCACGCTTTGTTGTGCGGTTGTAGAGTATGAGGGGGCCATCGAGTTGACCTTTCTCTACGAGGTTCTTACACATGCCCTGTGAAAATGTTACTCGAGTCCCTTGTGTTTCTTATGTCTCTGCTGCGGGGTAAGTAGCTCGAGAATGGTTGGAAGAAGCTTACTCTCCCCATGTTTCCGAGACCAATCCATGCTAATTGAAGACCCATCTTGTCTGATGTTTGGGAGATTTGGCAGATTTGGTGAATGTGTTTATTTGTATGCAGGAAGGTGTGTATTTCTTATCTCAATCATTTACGATCTCGATTTGGAACATATGATTACATAGTGGGACCAGCGGAATACATCCGATATGAGTATTGGAAGCCAGAAGAAGGTACCTTCATCTATTAAAGCCGACATACTCATTAGTAGATACCTACCTAGGTGTGTATATACTCATGTATTGCTACTATATGTGCTTATTGTATGTACATGCCCTCGATGCAAAGTATGGAAATGCTATTCACATATGCTCGAGTAGACACTCGTATTGACCAAAAAGATGATTTTATGACGTAAGGCTAACGTCGGAATAATAAGAGGTTTGTGAAGTTCTTCATCATTGCCACCTTTTCACGTGTTGACATTGACAAGCTCAACCTTATCGCACAGCGTTATCGGATGAACAGGGTGGAGTCAAATCTTTCGCACAAGCATATTACATATTACTGTTAGTAGGTATGATCAATCAATATTCGTACTTCATATATTAAAAATGCCTCTCTCTCTTTGTTGCTCCTTGCATCAATTTATCTTCACTCGAAAAACTATGCTTCTGCTTCATTCCCCTTCGCAATACTACCAAATGAATTATTGTGAATAATTTAAATCAACATGCAATATGTTATTGCACACTTTCGCCTTGAAAAAGGGCAAAGAAGTGGCTGCTCATAACGTGAGTCAATCCCCTTTCTGTGGTGTAACATTGCTAAACTTCTACAAGATTCAATCATTAACAAAACGCGGGAATTGTCTCAGTCAAAGCAATGATAAACGGCGCACATATACTTCCAATCAATCTGCCGCGAGTCGAGTAAAGGAGGAATTGGCAAAGGAAACTTGTGAAAAGCTTTCCACTCAACATCAAGCCAAGAAGAAGGCTAAAGCTATTGATAGAGTAGGTTCATGCCATTGAACCATTCAATTGAGATGCTTACCAGCTTAGGACTTCTTTCTATCCGTCCTTGGATCTTCTGCAACTAAACGAGAAGCACGTTCTTACATTCAAAACTTCAAGCCACCAAGTACCGCTCCTACAAAATCGAAAATTCAAGAATCTACCCAACAAAATTCAACTGAAAATGGGGCCAACTTGGGAAGTATTTATACAGTCACAAGAGCTGTGGCAGATAGTCCAAAGTTTGTACAGCAACCAGTGCTACCAAAATCCACACCAGAAGGACCGCTATTACACGTTGCCTTGGTCAAAATTAGAGCTCCGCAGCTGCTAGATGATGAAACATTGAGTGGGATTGGGAAAACATTATCAAGATTAAGCAGGCTTGGATTAGTGAGTACTGTTGTGGTGGATTGTGATGATGGAAGCGATACTTTTTTGAAAATTTCCAATAGCGAATGGAGAAATATGGTTAAAGAGCAGGCAGCTCGTGTTGTGGCTGCCATTGATGCGTCTGGAACAGAAGCACGACTCGTGGACAATGTGATAGGAATTGCAGAGGAGGGATCCGATTTCGGACAGCGGCCTTATTTGAAAGACAGGGTACATGTGACACTTAGGGAGCTATTGATGACACCTTTGAGACGAGGAGTACTTCCTGTTATTCCTTCAATAGGACATACGGATATCACTCAGACTGTAGTATCAGCCACAGCTAATGATGTTGTCTTGGCTCTCACTCGGGAATTTGCAGGAATATGGTCTTCTGAATCACCGGATGAACATCCGAAAGTTGTCAAGGAACGACTACAAGCCTTACGAAGTGAGGTTTCACTTGATCGTTTAATCTTAGTTGATCCCCTTGGCGGTATCCCGGCGTCCGATCTGAAAAATGGTTACCATGTTTTTTTGAACATGGAACAAGAATATGAATTGGCGAAGCAAGACCTTATAAACAGAGGAGGAATGTATATTGAAACGTCCCAGAAACCAACACTACATGAAGCAAGCCTGAATTCCAGCGTTGGCAATGCAATCCCCCTTTCCAATTTTACCGAAAACAAACCTGGCGACCTTGAAGGTTCACCCCCGCTCCAAAAAGGATCACTTGCGAAGCATGATCCAACAATGAAATTTCATTTAGAAAACTTAGAATTGGTTCGAAGTACTTTGGCCCTATTGCCGCCTAGTTCTTCTGCTCTGATAACTACACCTGGTGAAGCGGCGAATTCAGAAAAACAACCAGAATTTAAGGCAGCCGGGGTCGGCACACGACGACAACGAAATCCACTAATTCATAATCTACTTACAGACAAACCAGCGTTTTCTTCATCACTTCCTGTTGGAAGACTGGGACCGATGGATAAGAACGAACCAATTTCCTTATCAACGAAATTTGCTCCAACCACTTTTGCGAAACATGGTATGCCAGTGACCATTTTGCCAGATCCAAAAACTACTACTTGGCAACCACCTATCGCTGGTGTCCCTCAGATAAGCTTAACAGATCCTCAAATTGATCTTCCTCGTCTAGTAAATCTAATTGAGGACTCTTTCAATAAGAAACTTGATGTCCAGCATTATCTACGACGTGTCAACAGTCGTATAGCTGGAGTTATCATCGCTGGCGAATATGAAGGAGGAGCATTGCTGACATGGGAGCTTCCACCTGGAGTTCCTGATGACGGGAGTGAAGAAAGTCGAAAACGGATGGTACCATACCTTGATAAATTTGCTGTTCTAAAGAAAAGCCAAGGATCTGGCGGCGTTGCGGATGTCGTTTTTAAGTCTATGGTTCGGGATTGTTTCCCCTCCGGTGTCTGCTGGAGAAGTCGCAAGGTAAGAATTAACCATTCTTCATGGTGTTGATTCGGTATTAACTAGAATATAGGATAATCCAGTGAACAAGTGGTATTTTGAGCGCAGTAGAGCTACCCTGAAGCTATCTGATACGAATTGGACAATGTTCTTCACGACACCTGAAGAGAGTATGGATCATCAAACTTTCAAAGATTATGAGGCTGTGTGTAAGGTGATTGAACCTTCTTGGGCAGATAGAAAGGGGATCCAGGATTGAACATGATATCTCAGTTTTGGAAGGCTCTTGGACACTTGGAATTTTCGTATACTCGATGAATGATGAGGCAAGAGTGGATCAGGTTTCCTTCAGGTTGGAAGTTTAAATCTTTGGAAAAGAAAAGGTTGGGGGATCTTATCAGCACGGAAAGCTGTATATTTTCCCTGCTCACCAAAAATCAATTCACTCGAGGTCGCGCAAGTTTTAAAAAGCGGTTATGGAGGTTATATAGTTGCATTTGGAGATACCCTCGAATATAATTTCACCGTTTGTTTGATAACATGTTCATAGGTGTAGCTAACCATGAGAATGATACTATAACTATAACTAAACCTTCCTGCCAATAAAAAAACATTATGATTAACGTGAGATCAAAGGAAAAGAGAATTTATGTCCTCCTTCATATCTAGTGAATGATTATCACCGTCTTTTTATCTCGCCGTCTTCTTATCAGTTCTCACGTGAAGATGATTGTAACCTTAGGCAAAATCAAGCTAAGCTAAGCTATCAATTCCATGTGAACAAGCAACATCAACATTAAGGTCAACCCCCCTCTCTGTTTACCATATCAAAGCAAAACCCCTCCGCCGGGTATACATTATCCAAATTACCAAACAGCATCGCATATCTCGACATTATACCATACAATACAAAGATACATACATGAATATGGATTTCTCCAAATTCCAAGCCTTTGGCAAGAATGTCTCGTAAGTAATTTTCCAAACCCCAACATCAAGCTACAAACAGACAGGCAAAGGGAGATAGCATCTCTTCCCAATTATTATAGAAAAACACACATAACCACAAAACTAACATGCATCCAACCCCCAGAGCCACCTTTACACCCTTCGCAGCGCGCACCCAACAATACGTTAAAGAGCGCCTCGGCCAATCCGAAGATAAAACTCAACTCCCGCCTGATTATATAGAGTTGGAGAAGAGGGTCGATGCTTTGAAGAAGGTGCATCAGAAGATGTTGGCTGTGACGGCGACTTTTAATCAGGAGGGGTATGATTATCCGCAGAATTTGAGTGAATCGGTAGGTTTGTTTTTTGTTTTTGGGTAGGGGAGGGGGAATGTTTGATGTTCGTGGGAGGGAATTGGGATGAGAATGAATAAATGACGCTCCGCTGGCTCTCCGAGGGCCACTACCGTGGTGGCTGACTGTTTGGTGCGGGGGAAGGTGTTTTATGCGGGAAATCTTTAAGCACAGGGAGTTTGGGGGGCTTGAGAGCTGCCTAGTGGTGGGGTAGCGCGGGGGGAAGCTTTTATATCAACGTTCAAAACCTTCGAGCGCAGCGAGCTATGGGGTTTGGGGGCTTAACCCCATGAATTCCTCAAAATTGAAGCCACTGGATACGATAAGTTTGCTAATATTCCATTAAATAATAGTTCAACGATCTTGGTCGCACTGTTTCTGAGAAAGTTCATCTCCTCTCTTCTGCTACATCTCCCGCCGAAGCTCAAGCTGCTCTTACAGCTCCTCCATCCGCCAAACCTCAACCAAAAACCTTTAACCATGCAATCGCTCGTGCATCTTTAGCATCTAGCCAGATCCTTCAACAACAAAATACTTCTGGAAATGAAGATCCTTTAGCTACAGCTCTTGAGAAATACGCTCTTGCAGAGGAACGAGTTGGAGAAGCAAGACTCGCACAAGATAGTCAAATTCAAAGTCGTTTCCTCGCAGGTTGGTCTACAACATTGAATACTAATTTGATGTTTGCGACTCGTGCTAGAAAGAGTGTTGAGAATTCAAGATTATTGCTTGATGCTGCAAAAGCAAAAGCTAAGAGTTCAAAATGGCATTTACCGGGTCAAGCTGCTCCTCAACATGATGGAAATGATGATGAGATGTTAAGTGAAGAAGCTAGAGTTGAAATTGAACAAGCGGAGGATGAGTTTGTTGGACAAACTGAAGAAGCTGTTGGTGTCATGAAGAATGTATGTTTGATCTTTTTGTCGTTTATTTTAAGAATAAAACTAATTCACACATTTAGGTCCTTGATACCCCTGAACCTCTCCGAAACCTTGCCGATCTTATTGCTGCCCAACTTGAATTTCATAAGAAGGCATATGAAATTCTTAGTGAACTTGCCCCGGCCATTGATGGTCTTCAAGTTGAACAAGAAGTGAGACGCTCTGAGGCATTTTCCGCCCTATAATGTTATTTTTCCCTTTTTCACTTCTAGAATCCTAGAAGAGTGTTGCAGTTAGAATATGAAATATCACAGTTCAGTTAGCTGATGAAGTGTTTTCTATGTAGGCTAGCTATCGAAAGAATCGTGATGGTGGAAGTGCTTAGAGCCATCAATAAATTGAGATTTGGTGTGTTTGGACGAAAAGTTTCAGAGTCGGGTGCTATGATTTGGGATTTGAAGTGAGGTTGGGTGGTAAAGTGAACTTTATGGCGGTTAGGTTAGTCTTTGGGTGGAAGGATTAGTATGAAGGATTGGTTTTTGCTGCAGAGAGGAATGTGTGGCGACTTGTTGTCTTGTACGGATTGTATCTTGGCGTGGCTTTTGGGAGGGCGTAAGTAGTTCTTTTCTTTCTTTGTTTTGAGCAAAAGATAGATACCTAGATAGGTATTTCAGTTAAGCACGAATGAAGTATTGATATTTATGTTCTTTTTTTCCTGTATTGGATTGAAGGTGTAAAATTTAAAGTTTCAATGTTGTATAAGTATCTATAATTTCTAATTTCAAGGTATTCCTATTGAGTATAGTATGGTTGCTAGTGTGTATAGCTAGTAGTAGATGCATATCGGAATTTTTCTTATCTTACATTTATAAAGTGGTCCTAATAAGTGCGGTATTGGTGTAATTCAATAGTTTATAAAACTTAGTGTCCTCTTTTTCGTGTTTAGATGATGTTGGGGGAGCGAGTGGGTTGAGGATGGGAGATTGGGTAGAGTGTACTTGAGGTTGATGGGTTATATGTATGTTTCATAGTAATTAGGGTTAGATATTATAGCTTGGGAATGAATGGATTGATTATTTGGAGTTTGGATATTGAGAGCTTATATCAAATTTGATGTGGATGTGGACTTCTAGATATGGACTTCTAGATAATTATGGAATTTTCTTTTACCGTTGTGTGGATTTGTTCTTTTTTATTCTTTATAATTCCCCGATGTCTAGAATAGAATGCACTAAAGAAATATATACGATGTATCCGAGCAATACTACTCGAATAACGTCTGTCAAGAATCGACAATCCCATGGTTTTCAAAAGCTAAATTTTGTTAGCGTCATTTGCCTAGCCTATCAATTATCTGTAAGCAGTTTAACCGTTCAACATACAGCTTTGAGCCACCGGTGAACCTTAGACATCTTCTATGCCCACTCTTTCCTTGGTCGTTCCCATTAGTTCGGAGCGGATTCAAATTTCAAGGCGGGCCGGAACAGAGTACGTCATTATGGGATGGAGATCTGGAATTCATTACAATCAAATGAGAATTGATCAATCCGCCAGCGGAGAAATAGACAGTATCGTATTTTGCTCTATCACAACGAACCTTCCTCTTGCTTCCATTCATACACCAAATACTCAACATCTGCACAATTCAAAATTCTCATATAATTCACTAATACTTATCGCGCCTCAAACCTGAATTCCTTGCTACCGGCGGAAACTCCGCAATATGCAAGTCATGTGCGAATCTAGACTCCCAAAAATTCACTTGGGATTAAACTAGTTAAACTAGTTAGTCCTCACATGCTTGTAGCTGACTGACATCATTGACTAAAAATATCGGTCTTCATCTAGTGGCTCTTGTCATTACCCCAGATCTACATAAAATAAAGGACATTATGTTCAAGATCAAAGAACTGGTGAACCTGGGCTTCTTCACCATTCTGGGTTTTGAGACTTGTATATACTCCAATTAGTCGTCATATGTAAAGATATTCTTATCGAAACATATTCAAGAATATACTAATGATACTTTAGTAACAAGTAATAAAAACAAAAGAGGGTGTTGGTTCCAACTCTAAAAAGTAACCGAACTCGGTATAAGCTTTGTGCTTTACCCCTTTTGGTTTTGACTAAGCGATCTTTATGGGGTAGCGTTAATTAGAATGTGATTTGTGATGAGCGGGGAAGTGATCGAAGGGACCGTTTTCTTGGTGCTGGATAGTTTAAACGGTCCAAACTATGTAAGGGATGGCGAATTGATAGAGGGAAATATATAAAGGAAGCCTTTAGTCCCGTGCTCTTGTTTGTTTGTTTTTTTGACGTGTGTTAATTCGACCTATCATTTCGAGGATCAGAATAATATTGAGAGTTTGAATGGAGACTTTACGATTGAATATTTCAAATAAACACAATTGGATTTACTTCAAATTCGGAAAAATATCTTGGCTCTATCATCGACAAAATGTATATTCCATTACCAGAAAGTACCAGTCCTTCGCCCAGCGAAATCATCAATCATGTTGGAAATGAAGCCATAAGAATTATGGGCACTGTACTTCCACAGACAACACATCAATACTCAGATATTAATCTCCATAGTCGTTCTGAGAAAATCACATCAGACAAAAAGAGAGATGCTAGTAAAATGTGGTTAATAATCATACCAGTCATCATAATAGGCGTTGCTACTCTCCTTTCTTTAACCTGTGCAAGCAATCACAAGAAAAGAACTATCGAGGAGGAAATAAGTGAGTCGTCGTCTCCTCAAAGATCACTATCAAGATCACAAACAAATGATGCTACAAGTCCACGACTATATTCTTCACATAAACCTAGTTCGGGTCGACCCACTGGTGAGATGGGAGCAGCGAGAGCTGCATTAGGTGCTACGATTAATCCACCCACACCTCCACCTCCACCTCAACAGATGGAGCAAGAACCCCCGAGACATGGACGACCAACTGGTCAAATGGGTGCAGCGAGAGCGGCGTTGGGTGCTACAATTGAGCCTGGAATTACTGGACTTGGGACTCAAAATGTTCCAATACAATGGGATCAAGGATGTGCAATTACCCGGCCCGAAGGAGCAAGAATGAATAATGATAGATCTCTTCGTTTTCAAGAGAGCTATCTATCAACTGAATACGGTACGCGAGATATTTCTCGTCCTACTCAAGAACAAGAATCTGTGTATTCATTACGACCTGGTGAGAATACGGTGCAGATGATGCAAAGAGTCGATGAGGAATTACATCAAGCTGTTTCTCGCTATCCTGTCTTTGCAAACTCTGTACCTGGGGTACCATCACCCATTGAACGAGAATCTATAAGGGAAACCCGAGAAACCCGAGAAACTCGTCCAATGACTCTAGACGAGCAAGTAAGTCGACAAGTCGCTTCATTTCCTATATTCCAGCAAAATTCAAGGAATCAGCCTGCGATTGCCACGGGAAATAATGAAGGAGAACACAGAGAGACAACAACAAATACAACGAGAAATTATGACGAATTATGGAGGGAAGTAGCGACACTTCCTATGTTTGAGAATACGCCTACTTATCGATCGATGCCGACGAGGAGACCTGATCCGACTACTGCGGGGTTTGTGACACCGCCGCCGGCGTATGAGCATGTGCCGGAGTATGGGGAGGATGATGGGATTGGTGCTCGAGATGGGTATGGGTCAGGGTCAGGAAGTCAAGGTGCAAATGTTAGTTATGAGGGGAATGTTGGACTTGCTCCTTCTGTTTTGCCTCCGGCCTATGTTAGGTATGAGCGGAGGGGGTGAATTTTGGAGTTTGAAATTTGGAATTTGGGCGTTATGGAGGTTTTGGTTTGGGGGTTATTGGTTGGGAACCTGATAGGATTATGGAATAGATGGGGAGATTGTAGGTTTTTGAGCATTCGGAGAGATAGGTCTATTGGGATGTATAGGAACGTCTAGAGGACAAGAGTATTATAGTCTAGAGGAAACTCATGCAGAGACTCGCAACAGTCAGGGGATGGTGGAAGTTGGGATCATGGAGATTCAGAACCTTGTTCTAAGTATAATGGAATTAGTCTTACATACTCTTTAAACCACAATTTGGAAACTCCCACAGCAAGTTGATGTCCAATAGTCCGAATCGTAGTCAGGATCTCAAAGTTTTGAGCTTTGATAAGAGTTTGGAAAACTGAAGGGATTGAATTTTCTGAAAAGTTTCAATTTTCCAGATGGTAAGGTTATAAATGGACCAAAAAATTCAAAAATCAGCGATACCTTGTTGTTGGACTGCAGTCGAGCCATTGAAACCATCCATAACTCACACAAGATTATGGCATCTCCCTCCAAACATATTGCATCATCTGCGCAACCGCTAATGCAGGCTGAATTCCCTTCACCAATGCCAACAAGTAAAGTGTAGCATCAATCCCACAGCTAATACCTCCACTACTAATAACCCTCACTTTCCTATCTAAACTCAACTGTTCCTTCACATATCTAAAATTCAAAGACGCAGGATTCGGCACAACGGTTGTTGGTTTGTGAGTTGAACTCCTCGCAGTATATGCATCGCAGATAATTTTGAGTTTCGGCAAAGTGAGAAAATGAGTCGTTGCATTCAACCCTGAAAATATCCCCGCAGAACCAAGAAAGAGTGCCCCCGTACAAATTGACATTATGATCCGCGGACCATTTAAACGAGGTGATGAACTAAGTTGTGAGAATTCTTCGATAATATTGAGCATATCTGAGAATTGACTATTTTTGTGTGGATATAGATGAGGGAAGATATCATCAGAGGAACCACCAGGTTGAATGAGAATATCGTAGTTTGCGAGGGTTTCGAAGGCCGTAATGAAGGAGATGTGACGTTGAATTTTTGCTCCTTCGGCTGATGTGATGATATCGTGTTGAGCTGCAATGGTAAGTTTGAATGGATCTGCGCTCAGTGCGACATTTCCCAGGACATCGAGAGGTCCATGGATATCTAGTGTATTGAAGGTATCATATGCGAGGAAAAGCACGGAAATTTGAGAAGAATCTGGAGTACCCTCCATTGAAGTATCGGGTTTCGTTGCCATTGAGAATGAAGCTATCAAACTAGTCTTTTCCCACGCTGTGATAAATGAAGAGATCCTTCCTTCAAATTTATGGAGTGATATTATTTAGATGAGCTGAAAGCCGCGTTTTGGTTGTACGAGAAACAGCACATCTTAGACCATCTCAGCCATCGGAGAGACATTTGATTCAGCCTACATACTTTTCCTATGAGGCCTCTTGTATCGAGCGGTGTGATGATTTTATTAACTTGAGATTGAGAGGTTTCGAAGTTTGCTTGATATATCTCTAGGAAGGAGGAGAAAGATACACGCGATGTAAACACCAGAATGGCCAAGGCGCTAAACTAACCCCGCGCCCGGTGAGCTTCGAATATATGAACTGTCATCAAGACAACATCTTTTCGATGATGTAAGATATATCATGATATGATAGTCCAGACTAGCAGACTGTATTCAAATCTCAAATTTGGAAAAGCAATGAGTCTTTATGAATTATTTAATCACCTTAATGGGTTCATAGCTCCATGCGAATTTAATGTTTAAATTAATCCATCCTTTCGCATTAGTATTCAGGTGTTCAAAACTTCCCATTGTTGGACTGTGGTTACCATCATCGGTATGTGCAAAGTCTACATAACGATTTGACTCAAAGTTCCTCTAATATCACCGCTGCCAGGTTAGCCCCTAGAAGAAGTATATGAACCATTTCCGAACTACCCATCCGAGTCATACATCATAAAAATGGAATATCATTAACAAACAACCTATCAAAAGTTCAACAGTTCCAGCTGTGCACTAAAACTCCTACCATCTATTTTTTCGCAAATCGAAATGAACGGATCCAAAACTCCACCTAGGAACATTTTACCAGTCTGACTATCATGCACTGCCACCGTTGTTGCGGGTAAAGTGTTTCCATCGTCTTCCATCATTTTAACCACATTCCAACCCCATCCTTCCCCCTCTCCCATTGAGCCTAATTTTATGATCCTAAACATTGCACTCGGGATATTCGCATCAATATTTTGGAAATATTTGATTGCTTTATGCAAAACAGGTACGGTAGCTGCGTAAATATCTCCATTCTTATCAACATTTATATTGTTGATTGGAAACGGGACATGGATGGTATCAACTTTCCGGAGACGCTGCTCTGCTTCCAGGGAAAACACTTGGATCTGGCCAGATATTGATGATGGAACATAGAGTAAATTGTCGTGGCCGAGAGCTATTCCGTTGGGTACTTTCAGATTTACGGAAGACTTTGTGATTCCGCACTCTGTGGAAGGAGGCGTACAATAGCCGATGCTTCCACCTCCTAGAACGAGGTCTGAATATCCTCTCTGAGTTCGAATGTTAACGTGTATTCACTGGTATTCTTTACTACTTCAACAACTTACCGAGCTACTTCTTGGACTGTGGGAATTGGTGAACATGAACAGATGCTCATCGATCCAGGCGACGTGTCGAGGTGTTTCAACATTTGTATTGGCGAAAGTTTGCTTGTGAGTCATGGTTTTGCCGCCCAATGTAGTTGTAAAGTACTCAATCGTACTATTTGATCCTGTCTGGGACTTGTTGAAGGGGCTTGCTTTTCCCGTATCTTCGAAGGGACGATCGTTTACTAGAACGACATGTAATTTCTTCTTGTCTTTTGCATCTACTCGGATATCAAATCCATGAAGGTTGAGAGTTCCATCATTGGCTATCCCTTCAAAGTTTTGAGTCTGGAGCCATGTCAATCGACTTTTAATGGTACCAGATCCACGAGTATCTAGAACCGCAATTCGATCGGAAAAGCTGCGACCTGATGCGTTCAAGTGATTGAGGCTGATAGAATTAGTTTATGGAAAGTAAAAACAATGGATGAAGACTGGAGCATACCTTGGAAACCACTCAGCTCGACCCTTAGTATCTGAACATGCCATATAAAGCATTCCACTCTCCTGATGCAACCACATATCCGCACAGCCAGCTAAGCCTACATCATCAATCTTCTCGCATTCCACATCAAATTTGAGGAAATGTTCTAGAACGCGATTATACCCCAACTTGTCAAGAAACAATGATTTGTAAATATATTGATAGAAAATTGTACCGACTATACCGACCAGCGCTAGCCGAAAACCTATTCTTGCCATGAATCTCAGATTTAAAAGCATGAAGGAAAAGAAACAAAACCAGTGATGTTGGGACGAAATTTCTCATAATATGTAGTCTTTTCGCTCAGACGCATCCCTGAAACATCGACGACTACGCTATGATCTGGTTCGACATCGACTACAACTCCCAAATGCTTGTATCTGAGCGCATATGTAGGTGATTTCCCTCGTTTGTGCACATCTTCTTCATCATGGCATTCACAGGTTGTGATGGTTGCTCAAAGTCACGGGACTTCATGTGACATGGTCTTGTTGACTGAGCGCCGACGGCAAACTATGGTGTAATATGTTATAAGATATCATGGACAAAGATAATACGATAGCATCTTGGGAGCCAGGTAGCTTTATTCTGTCATTTCAGACCACTTGCTCTCGTATAAATGAATTGGGGGTTCAGTGGCATGTTCTCGAATGCAGGTAATCCGACTTGCCATTGAAGGGCTTACTACGCTAATAGATCGTAGAACTCGATGATTTCAAAGTTTAAACCTTATGGTATTGACAAACAGATCTAATTCATGATGATTGATACGAGAATTTTTCATCTCACTTTTCTTATCACGTGACTACGTGATATGAGCTAGTCCTATTCTAATGTGCTGCGCCGCTGAATGTCAGCTCTCGGAGATCGCACACGTGTTTGTCTCGAAATCTTCGTTCCCGTATTTTGCGAATATCATCTTATATAGTATCAACAATATGAACTTACCAATATGTATCAACGGTGTGCATACGAGGCATGAGGAACTCTGGTCCCTGATTCATAACCTTAGAAACAAAAGGTTACAGCCAATCTTCCCCCGGCCGATGCGAAAACGAGAAAGACTTTACGTAGGTCTAATCCGAGCAAATTGGCAAATATATCTACGCCACATACGATCCCTCAAGTCAAAGGATCTTAAAAACATTGTGTCATTGAAGCGCTTTTCACAACTTCCTGCTGAAATTCAGGATCTGATCTGGGAATTCTCATTACCTGGACCTCGAATTTTGTATCTCCCGCTAGATGCTCGAAACAGATTCGACATTGACGGACAATATCTCCCTTCATCTTTCGATTTTGCCAAGTATTATAACCCTCCCAACCCGAGTGCTTTAAGGACTTGTCGGGCTTCTCGAGCCGTGGCTCTGAAACGATATCGAATCATCCCCGGACCGCCTTCCAGATTAGTGTATGCCGACTTTCCGGGTGGGGATATCATCTACCTTGATGGGAATAACTTCAAGTTATTCAATGGTTGGGAGTGGCGTTCCTCTGTCAGTGAAACCTCTATGAATAAGGACATAGTGGAAAGGGTTGCCTTGTGTGTAGATGCCATCAACACCCATTATTTGGAAATTGATAAGTCTCTTCAAAAACTTACCAACATCAAACAAATACTAGTTGATTATTCCAAAAGGTCGTTCAATGGTGACCGATGGTCGCATGGCCCTGGAATCATACGCGTTGAAGACTTATCTGAATATGATGAATCAAACAGACGTCGCCGAGAAGCTGAGTGGACAAGGAGATGGGTAAGGACTGAAAATGATATTGCCAAAGGGCTTCGACAATCTAAGCTGATATCTACATCGATTACGCCCAATGTTTCAAAAGTCGATTGGATGGTAGATCTCGCTGAGTTTGATGTGAGTTCACTTTTCGTCACCATTTCCCAGCTTAACACTAACTTTGTGATAGGAAACTATTCCTTTACTCAAGAAATTTCGAGTGAAATTGCCAATAAGTGAGCCGTCGAGGGTCACTAGTGAAACGAGAGCGGAACGATATGAACGAAGAGTCAATCGGAAAGATTCGATGGTGAATGCGTGACGAGATCGCAACACATGGAGGAGTTTACGAGCAACAAGGGTCACACTCAGATAAGCTGAGAGATCCCTTTGTCGAGAACCTGATTCCCTGGAGGTGAACCATGATTTAATGGTGTTTTTCGGTGTTTCTTCTCAAGAATGTGTGATGGACACGGACAGTAATGATTTAATAGCAAAGTTCGCACCATCGTCATGGTCTTGAATGCCCGGTGGTAGTTCTGGGTTTCATCATTATCTATAATTTTAGTGGATACATACCTGGTCAAGTATTCAAGACTTACAGTACTATCTTTCTTTCTCTGAGGAAGTTTGTGAATGTTTAACACTTCGATATTAGGATATTTGCTGTGTCCAGAAGCGGCGGACTGTTAAATTACCCGTGGTCTTGTTGCCCGTGGTGGAGAAGGACAAGAAAGGAGTGATATGGAAAGAGCAGTAGGGGAATTCAAGCATCATCACATCTAAGTTGCTAAACGATACACTTGAGGATGTTATGTTCGCTAGTGGATATGCCGCTCGTAAAAATTCTGATGTGGAAAATTAGATTTTTGTCCTTCATGCGCGATATCTTTACCGAATAGAGAGAACCATCAGCTCCTTTACTGTCATCCTGTTTTTTTACTTTCTGATTTGCAGCTCTCATGCTGGAAGATACTGAATACTGACGTTTTACTGCCTATTAAGCTGGAATAGTCTGCTTTCGCTTCTATTTTCTAGCTATCGTTTATGGTAAATTCCTACCAAAACCTTTGCGAAATCAGCTCTCGAGTACCAGTTAGGCGCTCCTCAGATATCTCTCCGACAGAGAAATCATAACTGATTAATCTCAACTCCACTTCCATTTGCTTCCTCTTTGATACTTATGCCCTGAGGATTTACTAAATGCGGGTGCTGGTGAAATAATAGCTTAACCTTACACAAGCAAAATAAATCGAAATGGGCGGTTCATTCTGCCTGCCATGTAATCTTGATGCATGATACTCGTACAGCCAATGTTCACCGAAGGAAAATTGTATCTCCTGATACCATATCATGTAAGGTTAGCCTAACAAAGTCCAACTACCCTTCGATTTTATCTCATGAATCTGCACATTCAACAGGTCAAGGCATCATATTTTCGTACCTGAATTAAATCAACACCAACGCCGCTTTTACATCGGCACCTGCGGGGAACCCCAAAACCTTATCCACATCCTCATCCACATAATATCCGACGCGCCAACCTCCCCCAGCTTTTCCATGTGAAAGTCACTAAACATGGAGATCTTGCTTTAATCGAGTGATCCTCCCGCTGCTTTAAATATCTAGATCTTTTTCCGTCCCATACTTCACGAAATAGATTCGTATATATATCCCTGGATAACACTGATACCATAGATTGATGTGCATAGATTGATGTGCATAGTATGAATCACGTGGAATTGTAGATCTTGGTATCGAATCCCCGAGCATAATATGCACATGAGAGGAACATGACCTCCATTGATGCCGTGAACCAATAGGCGTATGTATGACTTCAGGGGCACATAAACAATCTAAGCCCTAAATACGTATGTCTAATACCTCGGTCGTGTTGTATAGTGACATAATGCTGCATATGGCGGGATGGATGTAAATAAGTCTGTCTTCCATGAGACGGATAAAATAAATAACAATTTAATTGGATCTCTGATCCAATCGCGAACAATTCCTTATTTTCTCTTGATATGGAAGTCGTGAGATTTAAAGCTTTATTTGATCTTTTTCCTCAATTGTTCATGATCCGATAACGATACATGAGTATCTGCCTGTCATGCGACGTAGTCGTTCAAGCTTTGCGTGTTTATTCATTGTGGTAGCTGGTATACTTTGGTTATCGCATTCGACGATAAAAGAAGTATATAATACCGCGAAAACTAATTGGGAGGGAGAATGGAAGATGGGTTACTTCATACGATGGGCGATGGCTTCAAATCAACACCAAATCCAATTATTCCAGCAGCTGAAGCCCCGCCAGCAGAATATCCCCTCAATCTCAATTTTCCACCTCCAACTCCCCCTTCCCCTCCAACTCCCATTTCCGATACATCTCTACCGGAGAGTAACTCCGCATTCGATAATATAAGATACCCCTTCCAAGATGATCTCTCCCTCCCCCTCGCAACCCTCGATCTCAAAATCCTCGCGACAAAATGGCCTCACAACTACGACCCCGCCGCTCCAATAGGTTCCAGATACGCCTATGCAACCTTCATGAATACGCACAATCCCTCAATCCGCGACCCATACTTCATGGCCGTGCAATCACTCATCTATCGGGTTCTCTGGCGACCTTCTTCAAAAACCCACTCTTACCCCTTCATCGCCTTCGTCGCTTCCCACGTCACTCAAGAACAACGACTATTACTTGCAGGTGCGGGAGCTATTGTACGAGAACTAGGCCCCTTGGATTGGAACCCTAGTACGAAAGATTTAGCGGATGGAGAAGACAAGCCGATTTTTTCACGATGGAGAGATACCTTTTCGAAATTACATATGTGGGCACAGACTGATTTCGACCGAATATTATTTCTAGACGCAGATGCATTTCCATTAGAGAACCTCGATGAGATGTTCGACTTAATTCCCCCAAAAGCATGTAATGCCCTACAACAAGAACCGAGTGATCACTTTCCCGACGGCTCAACAAGCTGCAATGGCGAGGAATTTATCTTCTCGGGTGTTCTTCAGACTCCTGAAACTCCGCTGGTGATTAATGTAGGAGCAATGGTTTTTACACCTAGTCAATTGATGTACAAGAGATTCCTACAAAATTATCAGAAATACAATATGTATAACACGAATATGGCCGATCAAGCATTTTTAGCGTGGCAATTTAAAGAAGATGGTGCGTTTCCGGTTACACCCTTAGAGAGGAAATGGGGAGGATTTTTCCCGCGTGAAGATGATAGGGGGAGATTGAAGGTGGTGCATGAGAAGTTGTGGGCTTTGGATGGGTGGCTATTGCAGGAGTGGATGGAGGGGTGGATGGAAATGTTGGGTTGCTATGATGGTGGTGGGTTTGAGGTGGAAAGAAATAGAGATGAATTTTTTAAACCGAAATTGGGAATGCATTTCGGGAACGAGGAGATGGTTTAGAGTTGTTTGGTAGTTGGGCATTTTGCGGCTTGGAAGTCGATGCTCAATTAGTTGGGATTGATTGAGTGTATTCTTATGTCTTTGTTTTATACCATTTTGATTCCTGGGATTGTTTGGGTGGATTAATGTTGTATATCTGATTCAGTTTGGCATATAATAGAACCATCTTGTCAAGTACTGCTACATACTATACTGTCTACGCTGGATCATTTCTAATAGCTATATTCGAATAGCCAGCTTGATCAAGCAACGAGAGTTGAACTAGTCATTTACTTCACATAACTTTCAAAGCCAAGTATTAAATTGATTAGATAGTGGGTGTAAACAGTGGATATGATATATCATCCCAATGAAACCTCATACACAACAAGATATTACCGAACGATAATTTTTCCCTTCAACGTCCATATCACAAACTGAGGTTTAATTCTCACGAGACATTCTTTGTACACTCACTCCATATCGCTCTTCAACCTAGGCTTTTCCACCTCCAATTGAAAAGCTTTCCCAAGCCTCATATTCCACCAACAAATTGCAATACACTTTCAAGAATCCAAGCAATTAATCTTAATCTTAAATCACCACCAAACATCATCCTCACTACGTTTCCCCACCCCATCAATGCCCTCATACGCATCCACCGCCTCATCCACCTCAGGCTCCAAAGCTTCCACTCCATCCCGCTCCGCATCCCCATCATCGCACTCCCTATCCACACTCCCACCACCCATTTGCGTATCACTTCCCCCGGGAACCTTTGCCGATTTCAAATTCCCCGCATAAGGATCCACGTCAATATCATTCGACAAATCATTCCAATCAATTTCGTCCGTAGCCCCAACACCATTATAACTCTCTCCCCCCTCCACGTAACCCTCATCATACTCCGGCCCCATATCCATATTCATATCGGGATTTTGCAGCGCGGTCGTATCATCGTATCCCGAATCGGATGATGCGGAGGAATTAGATGAATCGATGTATTCTTCGTCTTTTTCTTCATTTGGGTGTTCTTCTTCTTCTTCTTCTTCCTCCTCATCACTCTCCCATGTTATTTCATCCTCGTCAACCTGACCAATATCCACATCAATATCAACACCTAGTTCCCCCGGTGTCAGATTACTTCCTCCGTCGCTCCTCTCAGCTAAATCCTCAATCCTGAGTCCATCCGCTAATTCCGGATTCTTCTCCACTTCCTCCATTAACGCTACTTCCAAATCACTTGCCAGATTTGGTGGTGCGCCTAATCCCGCCGCATCTTCCGTCCCACTCGGTGTATCCTGATCTGAAAATGGTTGGCTGTGTGGTTGGGGGATTGTGGGTGATGTGAAGGGTGGGATCACGCCGGGAGCTTCACTTTGAGTTAGGTTCAATGGAGTAGTACTCATATTTGTTGGAGAAAACAAGGTAGAATCGTGAGGTGGGTGAATGAATCCTTGGTGTGGATGGTGACGGTGTTGTTTGCTATCTTTCGTGGAAATAGGCTGCGGGACGTTTCTAGAGCGAGAATGGCTCGGTTGAGAAGGGTCGGTAGGAGTACTTGTTGGTACCTTAAGCTTCGGTATTTTGGAGAGACGGTCGGATGAGTTTTGGGCCATTTTGCGTTTGGGGGGACTTGACCTAAGGTTTGGGTTGCTGTGAGATGACATTGTATATTTATGCTTGTGGTGCAATCTTGAAGGTTGAGTGGATGAGTTGGGTAATTGAGGCTGTTGAGAATGTGTTTGTGATTTGATATGCATGCGTACAAGTAGAATTATAATTTAACACGACACAGCTTGGAGACTTCGTTGTAGTGGCGAGAAAATAAGAGTAAAAGTGTAAAATTCAACAATAAATAATCAGAGTCATAAATTCAAAGTCAAAATAGAGGTTAATCAACAAAGAGAATAGTTGGTAAAGCTGAGCAACCCCTCTTAAAAGAAGGAATGGGAAAAAAAGGCATGGCAACTTTGCCTCGAGTATCAGAACGAAAAGAACATTCCATGTCAACGGAATTGGAAGTTGTAACAAAGAGAATTTGGAAATGAGGATGGGCGGAAATAGATCTGTGTAGTGTGTATAGATAGACAAAGGAGATCTTGTGCGCTCGACATCGATGTGTTCCTGAGGTATTTAGCGACTCTTTGTTCAAAATTACCTTGGATCAATTGCATTTATTCCGACATGTGATAGTGAGTGGTTGTGTGCCAAATTATTAAATACTATTGTAGAACATTATAAACTATTAACCTGATACTAGAAGAGCACTCCTAGCTAACTAGAGACACGCAAAAACAAACAGCGTACCTAAAACCATGCAAATACTCTATCCCTAACGTCTAATCCCAAACTCATTTGGCCTAGAAAATTGTGAATAGGAGTAAAAAGGGGTAATACAAGAAATTTCGAATCAAAACAAGCCAACTCGTTATTGCGTAATGCTCACCCCAATACTAGACAGGTAATTACATCTCTTCAGCTGCTTATCTGGTATACTTTCCATCTTCACACGGGGAGTTGCTGTTCCCGTAGCATTCTGTGCTTGGAAGAGGATTCTTTGATAATTAGTAATCGAAAATTCTTTCCATTTTGGTGTACTCTTCAGTTTGTACGTATTAGGATCTTTGCTTCTTATAAAGCTGGTCCAGTATGCTTGGATAGATGGTATAAGCGCAGAATCTGGTGCTTTACTGTATCCCCAAATCGAAGCTAATTCAGCAGTATGCGTTACTCCAAATCCATTGGCAGCATTTTCAGATGATAGGACATCCCAATGATAATTCCAGTTTCCGAGGGAAGGGGCCAAGACGTCGTTACGGCCAGATAAGTAAATTCCGGGACAATTGTAGCGCATCTCGCCATAAGCAAGAGCTGCTGCGCTCCAGTAACTACCAGCATTTGGATATTGAGGTCCTTTGGGGTAGTATTGATGGATCTTGCTTATTTGATCATCAGTGAGTTTGACGAAATTGTTTTTCAGAAAGCTGGTCATATCGGTACTGGAATTTATGGACTTTGGCGTGAATACTGTGCCTTCGTTTGTGTCATCACTAGAATAAAGGAAATTTTCCTGTTAGTTGTTGGTCCGGAATAGGCAAGTAAGTGATAGAGGAGAAACATACCCGTATATTGCAGGGAGTTTAACATATTGCCCGGTAGTAAACAATTTGTAGGTATAATCCGAGGAAAAGTCCCCATCAACAACATTCGACCACATGAATACCGGGCTCGCTCCTGCACCACCCGGAGTTGGAAGGTTGATGTTGTTCTCGGCAATGACGCTGATATCCAATTCCCTCAAACAAGCTAGAGTATCATTTTGCCCAGCACAGCCAGTTCGTTCAACTAAACCATCATATTGGTACTGTGACTCGCTGACCGTGAGCTGAGCACCAAAAGACTGGCTCTCAGCCGCGCTAGCATGAAATAGTCCATCATCGCGGCCTCCATATGCAGAAAGTTGGAGATCTACAGAGGCACCACCAGCACTGGCCCCCCCGATGGTTACATGGGATTTATCGCCTCCGAACTTTGTTATGTTAATATCATAGGCCATGATGTGTAGATTATCCTCTGCGGTTGGGAGCACTTACTTTTTCAATGTTCTCCTGAACCCACTCGAGTAGGAATCGTTGATCCTTCAATCCGACATTCGTATCTCCGTTCTCCACTACTTCTTTGCTAGTTAAGAAACCCCAAGGTCCAACGCGATAATTGAATGTGACTACCACAATATCATGATCACCCGCTACGATCAGGCTAGTGCCATTTAAATTCGGGTTAGAAAGGCTATTGAAGCCCCCTCCTTGAAAGTAGACGAAGACAGGATGGAGCTTGCTTGCATCGGTGGGTGCATATACGTCCAGAAAAAGGCAATCCTCGGTTGTATTGGGAGAAAGTGATGTTGAAGGCGAGGAGTGACATAGTCCGCCGTGCTGTGAATGCTTGAATTAACATCAGGAGTTAAAAGTGGGTCGAAATACACACCTGGTTAGCTATTTGTAAAGTATCATTCACCAGGGGACTTTGGGGAGCTCGAAAGCGCAAATTGCCTAGAGGAGGAGCGGCATATCGTATCCCAAGCCACTCAGTGACGTCATTACCATTATTTGTCCCTAAATACTTCGAGTAGCCTAGGTCAACAGTTGTGTTGATAGATGATTTTTGTGTTGGAGCTGCAAATGTCGAGGCAGCAAGCGCCAGGAATGTTAGAGTATTGGGCATCTTCCAAGTCAATACACACATTCTTTCTTTACTTGAATGTAGTGAAATTACACTGGATTGGGGAGAGGAAGTCATCTGGGGAGGGATTCAACGTTTATATACACTATGCCGAGACAATCTGATCCACTGCCTGGAATAAGCTTGTTGAAAGAGACACTGGAGCTACGGAAAATACGGAGATTATAGAAAATACGATCTAGTACAACTACCCTAAAATCCCACTTACATCTTCTTATTCTAAGTTGACAAGACTTTTAACGGAAAATCAGTACATTAACATCCCTGCTGCCGAGATCCGGAGGCAGAAACAAGGGCTCCGTGATACAGAAAACAAAATGAAGGAGACATAAATCATTATCATACCACAACTTGTCATGCAGTCATGCAAACATAATGTAATTGATCATCTGCATTTCTGTTGCAGATGTCTTGATGTCCGAGGTCATCAGAGGTGGTAATATTCGGACCCGTGGGCTTACATGATAGCCAATAATACCATATAGAGAACAGGGAATGTTTTTAGGTTCGATAGAAGACTAGAGGTAATTGCGCAATAGATTGAATCACTGTATTCGTTGCCATTTAGATGAAAAGTTGAAATTGTGAGATTTTTTTTGGGATCCAAAGTTTTTTACAATAATTGGGGCTAATAAAAAATAAAAATAAAAATAATTAAAGAAATTTAAACGGATGGAGATATCATCCAATATACTTTGTACTTGAAGCTTAAATCAGATCCTGTCACTCGTCATTTCAGTCTCAATTGGCGTTAAAGATGTTTAAAGTTACACCAGCCAGTAGACGCAATCCGTTCGCAACTTTGTGACATGTATGTGAATCAGAAAGACAGCAGAACTATGTAGCCTGAATTTGCACAAAACTCCTCGAGGTATTCCAAACTGTAGATATTACCGAGAATGCGGGAAAATGGTGAATATTGCAAAGGTAGCGTCAAGTGATATCGGAAAATAAAATAAGGAAGTAAATCGCGACCAGGACATCTCGTGCCATCTTTTTTTCACCCATGATCCCCGAGGATGAGGCGAGATAGATTAAGCTTAGATTGGATGATATGCGATCCAATATAAAATAAGTTGAGAAGCGAGCCCCGGCCGTTGATCACCGACGTAACCCCAAACGCACAAACGTCGCTTGGGGATTTCACGTGATGAGATATTCCTCAAGGAAATATGAACTGCAGCGGGCAGCTTTTGTAATCTTAACGTTTTGCCACGGCTACAAAGCTTGTTGCATCTAGCCCCTGTAACTCTAACTAGGGCGAGCCACCTATGAGTTCGTAGATTTCAATATTAAAAGAGAGGTATTTAGCTTGTCGAGAAACTGGTTATCTCTCGGCAGACTTTCCTAATACAGATTTAGGGTGATTTTTGTCAAAGCCTTCAAGGTGGAAGCGAGGTTTGCATTTTATTCATATCCACGCTAAAGATTTCTCACAAGTGGACGTAAGAAATGAATTGCCTCGTTGTCAAATCCATCATGTCCAAAAATGGTAAAGTGTATTAAGCATCCTAGTCATTCCTTTAAAGACAGACCGTTTTTAGTCTGTGGAGAGATAACACTAGTTTCTTGACAAGCTAAATACCCCTGATTAGATCAGAGCTATCCATTTTCCCTCTTCCACACTTCCCCTACAACGGGGGTAAGTGGACGTAGGTGTCCTTCCGTTCCCTGGCGTAGAGGGGTCTCTGGAGTAAATCTTGGGATCATGTGATACTTTCCAAAAAAAAAATTTGTAGCATCACTCAAACAACACATGAAAATTCTAACGATATACAAACAAACCACACAGGAGAATTTTATTCGCCGGCTCTAAAACACACATATATATTTATATAGCGAAAAACGATGAAATCGTTGTATGCACGCAATTTGAAGTTTATACAAGACAAGTCTACTAAACTCATCTGAATCAATCAAAACTGTCAGATCCTTGTTTAGGAAACCCCTCGAATCCACATATTCGAATAACTCGCATCCATCGATACATCCTTGCTATAACAAACAGAGGTTTGATAAACGCCGTCGAAAGTACATGTCATCCCTAAAGCAAGTAAAACAGGATCGTAAGTATATAAATCAACAAAGTTAATGGAGGTACATATGGTTCGCTCTGCAAGTCGATCGAAGGTATCGGTACACTCGAGAGTCGTCCAAGGTGGAAGAGAGGATTAATAATCCCAAGACCCTATTACGATTGCTTTACCTGAGTTTTCAACCTCCCTCGTCATTGATTCTTCGACATTGAGAAGAAGCTGTGTTGTTCTTATAACCAATTCTGAGGAAGAAAAAAAAACCATTAGTAATCTCATCTTCAACCCTTTTGAATCCGACATACCTTCATGTTGAAGCTTATAAAAGGCAGGAGCTTCCTCATCACGGTGAAGCAAAACTGGTGCGGGTGCTTCTTCCCGCTTAATGACTTTTAATCTTAATCCAATATGCTTCCCGGAGTCTACCCACAAAAGTCGCTTTTCACATTCCTCTGGAGTATCAACATGCCTCTCGTTCGCCTCAACTCGATCAGACAGCCAGTCTCTAAATACTCTTATAACTCCCTCACCAAGGTTAACACAGCTTAAGAACAATCCTCGTTTCGGGCCAACTTTGACAATATTGGTTATGGTACAAAGCTGAGAGAAAAGCTCATGCGATTCGAGATCAACGTTGTGGGAGACAAGCTCTTCTTCAGATTTTGGTAAAAGGCCTGGTCTAGCTGCGCCTGCTGGATTTCGTGTCCATACCATCCTGTCTTCAGGTTGAACTGGTCGGAAGTGCGAATATAGACCAGACATCTTGCCTAATCTACCGGTATCATTGACATCTTTGTATAGTTCTCCCTCTCCGACTACGTCATCACTCAGTCCATCTGTGCCAAGATAATTGCAGAAGAGGTATGGAGTAATGAGTTTCGTGGAAGGATGAAAGCATTCGAGGACCAATTTGTGATTCTTTAAAGATGCTGCTGCGATAAGGCGATGATGTACGATTCGGATTATGAGATCATGGAAACGATGGCAGGTACATGCGAGAGGAAGGAGTTGACGAGTAGAGAAGAGTGAGAGGGCATTGATGAGGAGCTTTGACATTGTCAGCAAATCCACCCAGCCAGATGAAAAGTAATACTGACCTCGTTGGGTAATGAAGCGATTCCAGTGAAACTATCCACCATTTTGTCGACTTTTGATATCAACTAGTACATAGAAAAACAAATGTATGAACTTGAATGATACCAAATTCACTTTGGAACAAACCCCAAGTTTTATATTCTTTAGGCTTTCCGAATATTTCCAGGATATAATTTTCTGTGGAACTTGAGGGCAGGAAGGTCCCGGATAAACATGAGATTCGTGGGTAAGTCGGATGATATTGAATCAGGAGTAATGCTGGTGGATGAGAGTCGGTAACCACCTAAATGATCTAGACTTTGTATTCAATCCTATCAATTGCCCTGCACAATGTAAACCTTGGAATGTAACGATTCTGGATGTGATGATTCTGGATGATATGATGGTGAATAGTCCTTTTCCCTTCAACCCATGAGATGGAACGAAGCGAGTAATTATAAGGTTACCGGACCGTACGATACCAAAACCAGCAGACTCGGGTCTTATTTGCTGCCAGCCAGCTATAGGTAACAGTGAATGTTGTGAATAGTTGTACTGTGCTGCGCTGTTGGACTGAATGCACGAGTTATATGCAGTGTAACTTCGCTTTCTTCTTCTCGTTCATGACGATGACGATGATGATGATGTGTGAGGTGATGTGATGTGTATTGATTCAGAGATAAGCTGATTCCGATGATAAGAGATTTATTCTGAGGTCACGTGCATCGGGCCGACCTAGATCCGCTCGACTCCAAGGTGGTCAACCTCATAGTCACATACACCATTTTTTGACTATATTATTGCAGTGTAATAATTGGTACAATGAATTAAATATCCTATTCAAGTGAAATGAGCTATTTTATGATTGATCGATCCAATACACCCTTTCTAACAAAGACTTCTTTGTGACACATTCCTTGTGGGAATGGTAACCTTGGTCATCACTCATCACTCATCACTCATCACTCATCACTCATCACTCATCACTCATCACTCATCACGATATCATTAAACGTTCGTTTTTGGGTGGTTTGAAACCCGCACTCTCAATCTTGAAGTTATTAGAAGTCTCAAGTACCGGAACACAGCCAGCGTCACTCCTACTCATGTGTTTGCCTTGCTGCTTGAGTAAATCTTGTGATTATCAGTACTCGAAGTCTGCAGCTTGACCTAAAACGGTTGAAACAAATTTACCTTCTAGGTTTCACACGGTAGATGAGAAAGATCGAGGACTATGGCTTGTTACCCGATCGGGAATGTTTTCTAATCATTCCTTTGACATTCTCTACTTTATGTCGTCCCCTGTTACTAATTTTACCGTATGCACATCTACCATCTACTCTAACTAGTCTATCACTTCCACAATGCTTAGCATCCGGCCCACGTTCCCGTGTGAGCTGAAAGTACTTCACAACCTATTCATGACATGAAAGATAATAGACAATTGGCCATAGTTCTTTTATGTATATCTAACAACCGAAAAGAATAGAACAAAACTCTGGGAAGCTTCTGAAGCGTACGCTCTCGACTTCAAAGAATTCTGGCAACAAGAGCTAAACATGACCATATCCTGTCTAGAGAGGGCGTTGTATATATTTGGTCTGGCAAGAACAGAATTGGCATTCACCTGAACAGCGCCTACAATATGACTATAAAAACGATTCATGTCCTTTTCCATTGTGTTTTCTCCTCACTCACCATCATCACATTAACACACTCAAACATCCAACTATCAACATCCACTTTTACGATAGCAAGCATTTCGAAAAATCTTCGCCTTTTAGCCAACATTTTCAATCAGCACGCAGAAAAACGCACACTTCATTCACCATGTCTGAGGTATACTGTTTCCCTTTTGCTACCTTGACTGAGTGTGAGTTTGAAGTAGAGATGGCTCACTTCCTTCACAAACATGGGTGGGAGCAGGATATTCCCAATCCGTGCGTGCCTTTTGCCACCCAACCAACTTTTGTTGTTCAATTTAAGTTCTGGGTTTCATCCCTGAAGAGTTACATCAAAGATCCCGAACCCTACCTTCCTGGTCGAGTTCATGATCTTCAACGCCCTTATGGATCGATTGCGGGCCGTACACTCTTCCACGCCTTCCACAGCAACGGAATCACAAACTGCACGCAAGACGGTGGATCTGATGAAACAAGTAGTCACAAGAACGATCCACAGCATCCGCTTTGTCGAGGATTGCCATCAATCTCTGCATTATTCGGTAGGTTACAAAGTCCAATGGGAGAGGGAGGGGGCTACAACATGAAAACAGAACCATGGATTCCCCTTTGGCAGATCGATGAAATAAACGTACGAACAGAACGAAAGCCAATGAATATTCAGCGGTACGACCTTTCTTATATGCATGTTATCTCTCCAGTACTTCCCCTCACCGAAGAAAGCTACCAAGAGGTAGACCGTGTCGCTGACACAATCTGCCAAACGCTCAGAGTGCAAAACGAACGTGGTCCAGGATTCAATGTTCGCTGTGAAAGCCGCACTAACTTCGAATGGTCGAGCACCCAACACTGCGTTCCCAAAGATTTGAAGTATACCTTGGAAAAACGTTTCTCTCGAGTTCCCCAGGTGGACAAGAGAAAAAGAGCCTCTTATGCCGATAGAATGTTCGAGGAGCTTATCACCACAGGGCCGCAACCGAGAGGACGTTAGTCGGAGGAGGCCCTTCCAACCTGATGCTGCGATAAGGAATTTGATTTTGATAGCCTGGCGCTTCTACTTATGAATTCCTACAGAACGATTTCCTAAGTTTGAATTTAAAAAAAGAAAAACAAAAAAGAGACTGATGATTGAGCTGATCTCTTCTCAGATCCCCTTGATGGGTTGACCTATTATGAAAACAATTTCGCCAAAAACCCGAACACCTTTTGACTATCGATCTCGTGAATATATAATAAATTGAATTTGAACTAATTTCTAACATGTGTAACTTGTATATACAATTGCATCCAGTCATGAAGAACCCGGAATTTGCTCGATCAAGGAATTAAAGGAACGAGAAAATATATGCTTGTGCTTCGAGAATGAGAATGGCTTTTTAAATGCTAATCAACGTCCATCTATTTGCTTCGGCCGTCATTTCGTGTGAGCATAGCATACCATTACCATATTGCGTCCCTGGACCACGGGTATATCTGGTACACACCGATACAAGAAACCTAAGGATTTGACGGGATCTCTGGCCAATTCTTCTACGCTGTGTAAGACAGCAGACAAGCATTAATACAGTGAGTGTTCTTGCATTTGCTAACAATTTGTAAGATTTATTTATAATTAGAACATAATTACTGATTTGTGTAGTTAATTATAGGTAGAAATCATTTTTTAGTTCTGGTTAGAAGCTAGCAATGCACACTCTATCGAGATGTTCATTGTAAGATTACTGTTGTTGCAGATACATACATAGAAGCTGAGTTTCAATGTCGGCTGCAGTTATGAGAGACTGTATATTTCGTTTCGGGTATGGTTTGTATGAAGTGATATTGATCGAAAAGTTGAAATTATTATGCATGATTGTATCTTTCGGGCCAGTACGTATTCATGTAGACATGAGAAGTTCATTATCCTGTTCGAATGCTGGGTACTGAGGAAGTAGTTGATTCTGAGTTTTGTTGGAAGGATCCCTCGATTAATTAAGAAGGTGTGTATCATCGATATCTCTGTGATATAGCGGATGGATGAAGTGATGTTAAGATTCCTATGTCTTTATAATATTAGCCCTGGGCGAAGGAGATTATTTATAGTATAATTTTGAGAGGTGCATCCACTAGGACGAAAAGGTGAAAATATCAAATTTTTATATTGTTTTAGAATAATTATTTTAAAGTTGATATGTAATTGAAAGCTCTGAGTTTTTGTAATTTCTGAAATAAAAAATTATATAAAATTTAATAAATATTTTATTATATTATTAAAAGAGATAAAAATTTGAATTTAAGATTTTAATTAATAAGATCTTTTGAAATATTAACTTGATATATAAATTATAATTTTGATTTTTAAATTATTTATTTTTCTTATTTAATTATTAATTGATTTAAATAAAAAATATATAGATATTTAATTTGTTTTCAAAAAATGTTAATTAAATATAATAATTTGAAATGATAAAATTAAAAAAATGAATATTTTAAAGTATTTCATTTTGAACTTTTGAATCAAAGTTATTATTATTAAATAATAATTAAATAATTTATTTTTATAAAAGTTTTATATATTATAAAAATCTTTATTTTATATCATTTAATTTTTTTTTAAATGTATAAAAAGCTTTTTAATAGATTTTTTAAAAAGAGAGAGATCAAATAATCTTTTTCGCTTTTTTATCTTTTCATTTAAATCATGCCGTAGATTAAGGTTACCTGAGAATGAGCTGCGGAAAACCAATCAACCGATGAATGATTTGTCACCGTGATTGTGAACTTAAACAATTGCGACCGCGATGCGTTACAAAATTTTGCAACCCGGTTGCTCAGAGTTAATTGATATATTGATATATCAACAAGAATGAACATAGTGAAATGATTATCTCACTTAACTCATTCCATCCTATTAAGATCGAAATGTCAAACGAACGGGCGTCATATTCGATGGACGATGCCAGCATTCATTCGAACCATACCGAAGCTATAGACGATGCGAACACTGGCTCAAAGCATGTTGAATCTACTGATAATGTCGGCACTAATTTGAAGCCAAATCATTGTGAATCTAAGGATGATGTTAAAATTCGTCTAAAGCAGCATATCGAGACGAATTATGGTCAAGGGGGTTTTCATCCGGTGCATCTCAACGATACCTTCAAGCATGATCGCTACAAGATCATACACAAACTAGGACATGGAGGATTTGCGACCGTATGGCTTGCTCGAGATGTTAAGAGAGAAAGATATGTTGCTGTGAAAGTTCTCGCATCACGATTGTCAAGTGGTTCACCAGAAGTTTCCATATTACGCGCAATGAAAGATAGGTGAGTAACGTACCATGGGTTTTTACTCCAGCATTGTTAGGTTCTAGCCTTCAATTCAATACTTCGCATTTTATCTTTCTGATAATTATGCTTGTGTCTGTGTCTTATGCCGTTGATCATTCATTACAAAGCTGATATTAAGCTGGAAATGAAATCTGTATTCTCATTCCTACTTTCAAAGAAATTTTGACCTTGGATTTCTTTTGCCCCTTGAAATCTATACGTCGAATTACTAACCCCGTTGTTTGATTAGCTCAGAGCATATTGGAAAGCCTCACGTCATGTCCTTGCTAGACCATTTTACCCACCAGGGCCCAAATGGAAGTCATTTATGCCTTGTCTCAGAGGTTGGAGGCCCCAGCATCAAAGAGTTCAATGATTGCCCTGGTGAATACAAAGGAAGTCGCCGTTTAGAAGCATCTGTAGCCCGAAACGTTTGTTTGCAGGTTATAAATGGCTTGGATTACATTCATACTACCGGCATCGCTCATGGAGGTATGCCATCTACATAAGTCCTTTATTAATCCATTAGTTGATCATGAAATATAGATCTCACTCCTGCCAATATCTTACTACAGCTTGCTAATATCGATGAGTGGACCGAAGATCAAATCCACGAAAGATTAGGTGTCCCTCAAAAACAAGAGATTGACTGTTCCAGCTCTCAGCTCCCAGCATCAGCATCTTCCTTCCCCGATTATGCAGTTGTCGCAATAAATATGAAGGAAGTGAACCCTATCTGGCTATCCGAGAAAATCATTATAATCGATTTCGGTATCGCTTTTTTTCTAAAGAAGTCATCCTTAGACTTTGGTACTCCCAAAAGCTACTGCGCACCCGAGTTCTTGTTTGGAGGCCATCGAAGTAGCGCTTCAGACATCTGGGCTTTGGGATGCACAATATTTGAAATTCGTACGGGATCTCGATTGTTCAAATATAATGGCATCCCAACCAAGGATGAGATGTTGATAGCTACAGTGAAACGTTTAGGAACTCTTCCTCATAAATGGTGGGCTGTATGGCGAGAAGGTCTGGAATGGTATAAAAAACAAACCGAAATCACTACAGGATCGAAGATAGGAGATATACTTGAACAAATCTTGGAGACCGGTGCACACGATGGGGATGTTCCTGAACGAACCAAACGTAATATGGAGGCTTTGAATTATATTAAAAACGCCAAGAAGAATTCTCTCAACAGCATTCCCGAGAGAACAGAAGAACTTGTACGGATCGCTGAGAATATGAGAACTAGCGAAGCAAGCAAGGTGCTGAGACTGGTATATAGTTCTGGCCAACGACAATCTGGTTCTGGTTCCTTGGAGGATATAAAAGTTTCGGGATCATCCTCAAACCCGAAGGGTTCTGGCTCTAAGAGTTCGGAAGCCAAAAGTTCTGAGGCCAAGAGTTCAAATACTAAAAGCTCGGGGAAGACTCCGTCGTCTGAGGGTGTCTCTACCGGCATGTCTAAAACGAAGACTTCTACAGCGTTTTCTGAAGTAACCGAGGAGTCTAAAATCAATGCTTCTGCACATGCATCCGACCCTAAAGGCAATGCAACTGGGGAGATGACAATTTATCCCGATAAGAATTTACATTGCGGCCCTGCCCATATTCATAGTTTTCTCGAGCCTCCCGGCTTGAGGATATCTATTGCCGAAGCCAAATCCCTCGAAGATCTACTACGAAAGTCCCTGAGATACTTGCCTGAGGAACGCAGCACTGCTTCGGAGTTATCGAAACACACTTGGCTCTCTGGTATTTTTAATGAGACCGATCTAAAGCCAGCATCAAGCACTAGTCCTGCCACCTAATTGGGACCCGTCTTGCTTTCTGTCTTGGTTACAAATTCTGAAATCCATTTATTGTAAATTTGCAACATTACCACTTTCCCAGGTTTTCTCATCCCAATATCACTTTATTGTTGTTGAATTGTGCGGGTTTTTTAGTAGAAAAAACTATTAGTTAATTTGGATTTTAGTGATTTTCCGGGCAGTGGTTGTTGTCATTGATGGAATTTAAGGGTCCATGGAAGAAATGGCTTTTTTCATGTTCTCTGGATGATTTTGATTTTCTCCATGCGCAGTTTTTCCAACCTTCTAGTTTTTTATGGCCTTGAAATGGAGAAGCAATATCTGTGGAGTGATTTCCTTGAGGGTAGCCGCTCATCCTCTGCTGTTTGACGCACAAATTGTTATTAAAAGGGGAACAGTGTTCTGGTTCAAGATACCATAGCGTGCGCATTGTCTACTGATATCCATGATTCTTCATCCGTACGAGCTTTGTTTTTATCTTTCTCATGACATGATTAACTTTGTTTTGGGGCGGGAGGGTGTGTCTGGGAAAATTGGTTGATATTAATTTAGAATTAAACGGACTTGCTGGATGTACCAGCTAAACTTTGTGGCGAAGTCATATGAAGAATCGAGGGACTAATTAGTCTGTTACACTTCCAGAACCCATCCTTAGAAAGCCAGTAAATGGAATCAACAAATGACTTTTCTAATAGAGGCTTTTTGCGACCCGCAACTGCGATCTCTACCACTGCTTACTTAAGTACTCCCTAATATCTAGGTGCCAGTAAAGTAGCTAAAATCCCTCGCCCTTGTAACTTAATCAGCTCTTAATTTCTCGCACATTCAGTATCTTGTGCGACATGGGACTGGGCGACCCCACTTTTTTCGCGGCAGTGTCACGCGTCTTTACAAGATATTCTCGCATTTTAGATGGCATGATTCGTGTCTTACCGGATGATTTTGCGCGGGGGAAACCACCTTGTGTTCACCGGAGCAACCTCGTATTACACAAGAAATACTTTCCATAAATTTCTCTCTAGACATTGGTCGAAAGAATCAAGTCTCGAAGAAACGGATCAGAAAGAAAAGATTTGGTAAAAATGCAGTGGATTGGAATATGCAACTCTGTACGTAATATTGAACACATGGGCGTTGAATCCCATATCGATACTATCGATACACTTAAAAAATCGCGATCTTGACCACTTGCCGAGGAATTCTGTGGTTGCCACTGCAAGAGTGCCAATGGTGCTTTGACGCCCATACCGCCGTTCCAACCACTTGAGTTCATCCAGATAATGGATGTCGTGCAGATATTTTATTCCGACTGCCATGATGCGGGATTTATCACTTTTGTGTTACTCAAACATGAGTCATCGTAACTGGTAATGTTGTGCTCTTACCTGTTTTGCGTTTTCGGATCTCGTGAGGGTGTAAAGACGTGTGTATGCTGCCAATGGCGTCTGTTGATATTGGTGGCTAGTTGTTCTCTCGTTGACGTGCATGTATTTCGAATTAGGGGGTCGAGGAAGAAATATTTGGTCGTCCATATAGAGTGTAGACTGATGGAATTGATCGATATGATGGAAGTGTGATCTTGCGAAGGTTTTGCGTTGTAGCTTTTGGCGGTCAATACCACATGAATAGATACCACGGAGCTTAGATACTAATATACAAGTAGATATTCAGTGACTTGAATCTGCGAAGAGAGCGTTTAGGCAGGTCGGAGAGAAGATGTTTGAAATCACAGTCTTCCGGTCAAAATTTATGTCGATGTCAGACTGTTAGTTTACTTCGATCAATCACCAATAGCTCCACTAGTTCTGTTCACAAATATATTCTCCACGATAATTCAAAATATCTAATACATGCTGAAAGACGCGCTGCAAGCCATAGGTGAACTTACACTGAGGTATACCATTGAGTTCATGAATAAACATGAATACAATCATAAACACCATGACTTAGAGTTCTGAAAGAGTCTTCGAAGTCAAGACGAGTGCTTGATGCTGGAGATTTAGGAAGTTCCACTAGTTCGGGAGTCAAGCTGGTGTTGACGAAAGGGGCAAATGGTCATATTCGCTTAGGTTGCCAGTGGGGTGAAAACGAAAGGGTCGGTAAACCACGGTAGAGAATCTGAAAGTTCATACTCAAATGATACCTTGGGATAATCTTGTGAGAATAGTTCAAAACGCTTCAACTGTCAGTTTCATTGGGGCTCTGAATACAAATTATTTATGATTGGTGCTCTTTGCATTTTACAAGGCAGCTCGCACATTGAGAAAATCGAGTCGGTAAAGATGGTAAAGGTGGTAAAGGTGGTAAAGGTGGTAGAGGTGGAATCTAATTCTATTCAATTTCATACCTTTCAATCGCTACAACTACAAAGACCAACCCTCAACATACTTAATTCCTTGGGCGTCGGATCAGTCACGAGCTTGGCGTTGTGATCGCATCACTTGATGGTAGTCGTGCCTTCATATCGACTGTCAATGTGCAGTTATGGCTTGGTGCGCGTTTGGTATATCCTGTTGCCACAATGAATCACATCATATCAACCATGCACTACTATCAACACGGATATAGGCGTTTATTGAATACTGCTTTCTCACAACTTTTGTGTTTATATGCAGACGAGCTTATGAGGGAATATAATCGCGTGATAGTTTGTGAAATGCGACACCTAGAATAAGAAATAGGATTAATATTAAAATCTAAAACAAATTATCTATTCTTTGAAACTTTATTAAGATTTTCTTTGAACTTCTGATCAATTGACGATTTTAAAATAAAAAAAGAGTTCTCTCTATTAAATTTTACGAATTTTATAAATTATAATATAATATTCTAACTTCTTAAAGCTTTACAAAAGTTATTTTTTAATTTCTTTAAAAACATTTTAAATTTATATTTTTCTATCAAAACGATTTACTTTACTGACTATTGAATATATAATAAAATAAGATTTATTTAAATTAAATAATTTAACTCAATTCAAATTATACAAATATTTATTATCTCATTATCTAATTCATATTTTAACAATTCTAAAATCTCAAAGAAATTAATATTCCTTCTCTTGATTATAGATTCATTAATTTTAATCGATTAATTGATTACAATAAACGATATTTGTATTAGTTTATTATTTTAATATTATCACTCAATGATATATTAAAAATTTTAAAATTCAAAAAGTTTTTTTTCTTTGGATCAATAGTACTCTTATATATATAATATATATATATATAAACTCTTGAATATATTATTTATTAATTATATTATTTATTAATTATATTTTTATTATAATTATATTTTTTATTTACAAAATATAAAATATAAAATACAAATACAGATCTCAATATTATTATAAATTCTTTTTTTTATCATCAATTAAATCATTCTACTCATCAAACTCAATTCTTGAAATATAAAACAATATAATAATATTTAAAATATATATCTTTATAAAGCTTATTTATATTTAATTCCAGCTCTTAAAGCAAAAAAAAAATAAAAAACTATCAAAAATCTCAAAAACTCAAAAAGAAAATAAAAAAATATTATTATTTTCTTTTTATTCTTAAAAATATAATATTATAATATTGCTTTTTAGTTTTTTAATTCTTTAACTCTTAACTTGCCCGCTCGTTCGCTCGTTCGCTCAAATCTATACAAATTAAATACAAATTAAATCAAATCATTTAACCTTAACCTAAACTTTACATCATATCATATCATGTCTTATCTTCCTCTTCCTCTTCTCTTCCCTTCCCTTCCCATCCCCATCCCTATTTACTAACCAATCCAATGAGCTAAAAACTTACCTTAACTTAACTTAAATAAAGCTAAGTTAAGGACCAAGATCCAAGAACAGGAGTAGTCTCCAAACATACAAAAAAAGACAAGGTAAACAAGCTATGCTAATGCTACGCTCGCTAGCTCGCTCACTCAAAAATTTTAAATCTATACTTTCTCATTTCTTCACTTCCATCCCTCACCACTCAACAGCCCATCCATTCTCATCCAAAAACTCCTCAATAGCATGTCTCAATCCCAGATTTGGTCTCAAATCACTTGGGAGGAGGGGTTCTCTCGTTAGAGGATCTGTGTTGCTTCTTTCAAGGTGTTGAAGGATACTTGTGCGTTCGTAAGATTGGCCTGTTTTAGTCTGGGTTTTTGTTAGTTGAGGTGGAAGATGCAAGGAAGATGGTATGGATGAGATGAGATAGTGGGAATTGAAAGGAATGGTAAAAACATACCATGACGGGATCACTCATGACATTAAAACTTATTCCATCAATAGCCCAATCAGGCATTTCTCTCCTTCTCCCATCTTTCCCTTGTGTTTCAACTAATCTGAATACCCTCTCTACTTCTTCAATCTTTCTCTTCCATTCTTCTGTGATACTTTCACCATTATTCAAAGATCCATTCACATCCACATCCATCTCATCACCTACTCCTCTTCTCCCCGCCTCCCTCCTAATCAATCCCACAACCTCCCCACACAAATCCCCACGTTCCCTCCTCCTCCTCTCCTCCCTCGCCTCCCATGCCTCCTTCCTACACCTCAAACCCAACTCCAATATATTCGGTAAGCTCTTCCCGCTTCCCACCAAACCCTTGCCTCCAATCGGCATATCTTTTACACAATATTCCCTCGCCTTTTCCACTGCTTGAAGTGCTTTTTCATATTCGTGCATGGAGTGATAGGCTTGTGCGATGGTGAAGTAGGCTTTCATGCATACGCTGTTTACAGGCGATGAGGAGACGATGGCTATAGCTGATTTGGAGGAGGCGATTGCTTCGGGGTAGCGGGCGAGTTTTAGGAGGGCTTTGGAATGGTTTGTGTGCAGGATGGGATTTAGAGGGTCAAGGGATATACTGAGCTTGCATGTTAGATTGATAAAATGATCATACTAGAGTTGGTATGAACAATAAAGTTGGGAAGAGCAGTGCGCAAGAGAGTAAGTGGTACAGGGAATCAAATTGCGCAAGATAAGGAGAATAAGTCAAGAAGATAAACTAACGCTTTACTATAAAACTGTTCCGCAGCTTCATAATTTCCTGATTGAAAGTGATCATTTCCCCTTTTCTTGAATTCCAGAGCTTTTTGAGGATCTTGAGGAAGATCGGATCCTACCATGATGCCACCTCGCTGTGTTGGTAATGAGACCAACAAAGAGTTTGAGAGTCTGCGAAAAAAATCGTGCAGATTATGGAACTATTAGCACCCAGCTGCGGCGTTTGTTTACAATCGAGATGCTTGTAATTATAAATTCTTTGTTCCTCTACACGTTGTTTGAAATGTGTAATCTCAGCCTCGTCTCACAAGAGGATTGTACTATGTTGAGAATGTCGTGGAAATGTATGCCACCGTATATTAGGATATTAAAGAATCGTCTTATTATAACATATAAAGTAGGTATAGTTTAGAAAAGAAAGTAGGTTGTGTGTAGTGAGTTGTTGACATGTATTGAATATTATTGGAGATGATAAATGTCAGCCTCGCGATAGGATTGGAAATGGATTGGTAATTCTGAATTTGGAAGGTTCGAGAACTTCGAAAATAGCTGTGTTATGGACTTTTAGAGTTTCCAAGTCATGAAATTGTGTCTTACATGATTCTAAACGATACATGCTACATGGGGTAGTAAATGGAGATGTGAAGATACTGGGATGAGTGTGAATGTGAAGTTTATTTCATATAATCTCTTTTGTACAGTCTGGTATTTTGTCTCCCATGCACTTTCTGTCTTCACTCCACCCTGTCTACCCAAGCAACAGTTGCAGAAACACTAGAAAGGCTAGAGAAACAGTATTAGTTGATGAATGAGTAAATGATGTGTAGCTGGTGTGGAGTTTTATATTGTAGTCAAGAACTCGGTTCCATAAATGGGAATTTCGGAAGGAAGCAACCAATGTACACTAGTAGCATTGGGTCTTTCAGATGTGGACGGCAATTCCAGAGTCCAGCAGATGCGTCACTACATGGACTTTCATTCCGAGCTAAAACTCCGATACCAATTCCAATAATGTAGCATGAGGAGAAATAAACGTACGTTGTCTGATGCAGGAACTTCCCTTCTCCACCGGTCACCGATAATTGGGATTTTCTGTTTAACCATGAGTAATAATACCGTGAGATAGCTAATGTGCCAACTTACAACCATGATATCATTTCGCACTTTAGGGATGTCGGAGAAGAAGAAAAGGGCGAAGAATCCGGCTGAAGCACCAAATCCTGCTAAAGTAAGGCCACTGCATGCCATTATTAGCTAGATTCATAACTCAATTCTGCCATCCTGAAAATTGATCGATCCCCAATGCAGATGTGTAGTATCATGGTCCTGATTTATGGATGGCTCATGTAGGGACGTCGCGCCCAACCAAAGAAACTCTACCTACAGTCTAGTAGCTGCCTTTGGAGTCCATCCAGCAAAGTTTGGTTGAATCTTATATCTACGGGCCAATTAGTATCTCATTCTTTCCATGAGAAATCGCGCATCGTACTTGGGTCCATAGGGAGATTTGTATGTAGAGTAAGAGATAGGTCCCTTTCCCACGTTTGTGACACCTGTGGAAGGATGGTACTGTAATCGCAAATCTCGTTAGTGAAATGTGCCAAACAATTGCCAACTGCAAGAGATACTTACATCGCCCATTTTGAAGAGGAGGATGCGTAGGTGGTGGATAAATGGTAGTCTTGAAGTTGAGGATATATTCTTGACTGAGAATGTTTATCGGGGTTGGTCGGAAGAATTATCCCGGCCTCAGGCAGTATTACATAATCAACATCAATTTTGTGGCCGTAAGGTCGTTGATTTTTGAGTCCTCGAGAACAACTTTACGAATTTCATTGCATTGATATAGTGTTACTTTATGTATTCTGATTTTTATCGACTTCAAAGATGATGTAGAGGTACTTAAAATACAATTATGTTATATTCTTCATATAAAATTTATTTCCAAGTAAGTTACAGAACCAGATTCTTGTCCGTCTGCTGTGAGCTCTCTCCCCTATTCACACAAGCGATTTCTTTACACTGAATTTGTTTCCAATAAAATTTGTATTATTTTGTACCCCTGTACTCGAAAAACGTCTCTGGCAGAGCTCAATCACTCGAAGATGCACTCCCTTGTACTGGTAATGTCATTGATATCACTTTCTTTTCATCTCATTATCCTTCTCACGGTCGTTCTTTCCCTTGGATATAACCACAAGCGAGGAATTTCCATTAAAAGCTTCTGAGATTGAATGAAGCTGTCCAAAGACACGATGAAATAAATGAGACTTACATCTATTCGGGATAGAACCGGGTTGAACTGAACAGAAGAGATGACATAAATTTTGATCGAGACATCCGAACTGGATGATTATGGTTTATATCTTCATGTGACGATGCTCCAGGGAAATTATTCGGGCGTGATCGTTAATCTCTCACAAGACTTTTGAATACCGCCAAATCCTAAAGCAAGCCTTTCGTCCGATAAATGGCTCTTCGAGTCTTTACCCCTTCTTGTCCATCCCCACCTCCATCCACATCTTGTCCCGAGGAGCTTATTACTCCATATACCGAAAAAGTTGTTCCAATATGCAAAGCAAGAAAGTCCGGCATTGGTGGACGGAATTCGATGTGTATTCAAATTTGAAGGATTTTATTGGTTGACATGGATTTTATTCCGTACAGTTTTCCCCATGCTTGGGTCCGATATTTTAATGAAGGGGGTCCTTTTCTTCAACAAGCGCATTGTTCTCCCTTTTCATGAACCTACGACCCATGTTGTCCTTGGAACCTTGGAACGGTCTTTTGTTGAATAGGTGAGTGATATCATTGTCATTGTCATTCTGATCCTCACCCTCATTCTCACCCTCATTCTCATCAAATGAGTAGTAGTAGTAGTAGTAGTAGTAGTAGTAGTAGTAGCAGTAGTAGTAGTAGTAGTAGTAGTACACCTTGATTGATATCTTCAACAGAAATATAATTATAAGATTTATTTATCCCAATATTTTGGTGTTACTTCGTCTTTTTAATTAATCATTTTTAATTCGTCCCCGCTTGGTTACTTTTATGTCATACTACTACTGTACCTAGGTAAAAAGTTAACTTTTGTTAATCCTCCTGCATAATCTACATGCATCCGATCAAACCAAAACACATTCCGCTTATTTCCGATATCGATCATTTTCTCTATCAAGATTCAAGAAGGGTAAGAACAAGTAAGAACAAGTAAGAACAAGAATAACAACTCAAGAAGTCGAAACGATTCCGTGCAGTAGCTGCGATTCGAGAGACTAATAATATCCTCCCGTCTTCTCCGTATTTAATCCCGATATATGTCTCCCAGACATCAACATAGAATCAATGCATAAATCAAAGTACCATCTAATTTTTGGAACCAAGCCATGATTAGGTATAATCAGACAAGGAATACATATACCAAGAAATGCAAGAGCCGAGCGCACCCGAAATTTGACATCACAACACCAAAAAAGGATGCCCTTCATCAGATATTAACTTGAAATCCGACAAACGTCCTTCAAGAACCAGCCTTACCATCGAAATCCGCCAAAATCTACCTGTTGACCGTTTAACAACACATCTGCCACTTCATCGATCATATGTACATGTTCAAAATTCAAATAGGAAAGAAATCCACGCTAAACTACCTTGACTCTGGAGTTCCATACATCTGCTTGGACGGATTAACGGTGCTTAAGCGGTTTTGCCTCCATACATTACATCGTCCCATCATTCCCCTCCACGCATGAAATACATGAAATACATGATCCACAATCTCCTTTCCTACCAATAGCCGGAGTTATACAAGTCCTCGAATAAATCAGCATCGTATATCCATCCACGTCGGACGGCAACTCCTTATAAGTCGCTCAAACCATCAACAGAACAGAAAGTCTTTCAACATCACCAGCTCACCATCACCAGCTCACCATCACACAACCTACCTCTGCTCCATCCAAAAATGCCACCCCCAACCCAACAATCCCGTCCGTTCTTCTCAAACTTCCTCGCCGCCTTTCGTTCCTCACAACTCTCCTCTACCCCAATCATAAGCAACACCTCTTCATCCTCACATCAAAAGCCTCACACGCACTCACATTCACATTCACATTCACAATCCACGCCCTCACAACCACGTCAAATCAGTACGAGCACAAAACCAAACGCTACATCAAATGCCATACGAGGAATCGATCGCACACTCACAAATAGCGGAACTAGTCCAATAGGAAGTTATGATTCGAGTCCTAGTCCGGGAGCATCGAGTTATCTAAACCAAAACCAGAATTCGAGTTCGCATCCAAATACAACGAATACCACTTCTCCACCTACAAGCTCAAGTTCGAATATGAATCAGGGTGTGAATGGAAATACATCATATGCTCACGCGAATAAATATGGACGTTTCAAAACATCGGCAGATAGAAGGGGGAGCGATAGTAGTTCGGAGGGATTTCGAGATGTAATTGGGAAGGAGAAATGGTATATTGGGGGCCGTACACAAGGGGGAGAGGAGAGATATTTTCAGTTGGGAGTAGTGAGGAGGAGACGAAGCGGGGGCGAAATGAGTTTTGATCGGTTAAGTTTGTGAAGGTTTGGAATGGAAGAAAGACAATAGGGTTGTTGATGTTAATATATTGGTGTGTTGAGAGAATTTCAAAGGCGTAATGAGGTGGAAGTGGTAATATGTGGATTTGATAAGATGGATGGATATGGATATGGATATTCAATACACTATACGAGGAAAAGCTATAATCTCGCAACGAGCCTTCATAAGATTGAGATTGGAGTTACAATACTATTTATTTACTGGGTAGCTGGTATGGCGTTGACGACATGGGAATGGAAATGGATATGGATATGGATATGGATATGAATATGGATATGGTATTGATTGGAACCTGGAACCCGACTGGATGGATTGCGCATTATATCGCATAGCAAATTATTTTATATTATGATAAATATATGGAATGGGATGGTTTGGGATGGATGGAATATGATGGGATGGAATATTGGATGCTTGGAGTTACTGTTTATCTTATATGAGATTGAACTTTAAGTGAAGATTTGAAGAAATGAATATTTATATTCATATTATATTTATATTTATGTTTATAGGAATATCTATATCTATAGGAATAAAATATAATTGAAAATAAATTTTAATATACATTATTGTAATAATACAATAGATTATATAAATGAGTATAATATTTGAAAGGGATATATGTATCATTATCAAGAGAGGAGAGTATAAAAAGAGTGAATATAAGAGGAAATGAAATAAAATAATATAAAATAATATAAAACTCTAAATGATTTATTTATTTATTTATTTATTTATTTATTTATTTATTTATTTATTTATTTATTTATTTATTTATTTATTTATTTATTTATTTATTTATTTATTTATTTATTTATTTATTTATTTATTTATTTATTTATTTATTTATTTATTTATTTATTTATTTATTTATTTATTTATTATACAAATCTTATAAATATAAATGTAAATATAAATAAAATTTATATTCTTTTATAATAGAGAATTATAGTTTTATAAATAATATAATATAATATATATATATATTTATTATCTCAATCAATTTATTATAATCAGTATTTGATAATTATCTTATATTCTTTTTATATAATTATCTCATTTATTATCTTTGGATCTATTTACACTAATGATTTAATATCTTATATCACTTTTCTAATAAATAAATATCCCCCTATCACCTCACCTCTGTCCGCAACCCGAAAATCAAAAATTCAAAATTGAAATTCAAATCCCTCCTCTCCTCTTTTGTCTCCGCACAATATCGATCAATCCCTCGTCAAAAAAGTCAAAACCCCAACCCAACTCACCACATAAATCTCTGCACTCTCCCCTCCTCCTGCACCCATTCAAACCCGCGATATAAAAATATATACCCCGTGATTATATTTATGAGTAGATACCAGATGGTTTCTATGTATATGTATATGTATTTGTATATATATTTATATGAGTATAAACGCTCTTTCGCTTCTTTGAAGTTTTGTATGGGATGCCTGGGTTTAGTTTCTGCATCGGAGGGAGATTCGGATGCTGGAGCTGGGGCTAAGGTGGATGAGTGAGATGGGAATGAAGGGAAAGTAGGGATGTGTAAACGTAGGAATATGAAAGGAAGGATGAAGTAGCGGGGTTCGACGAGAGGGGCGGTTATGAGGGAGAGGGTTGTGGTTAGGAGGAGGAGGAGGTTGAGAGGGGGTGGTGGGGAGGTTTGTGTTCGGTTCTGATGGGGTGGTGGGGTTGCGGTCGGTTGATGAAGATGGTGGTGGTGGTGGTGAAGATGGCGGGGGTAATTCGTGGTTGGGTTTTAGCTTATACTTTTCATCGTGAACCCGTAGGAGATGAAATGAAGCGTCTTTTCGCATTGGGTTTTCGAATGAGGCGAGGAAGTGGAGATGTTGCATTTCCGGGGAAATGGGGTTTTGATTTAATGAGTCGAGGGTAGATGACGATGAGGATCCCGAGAGAGTTCTAACAATCAGATAGAAACAGAAAATGTAGATAGGAGCGAGGAGATAGCGGATTACCGGGTGTCGTAGGATCGTGTATCGGAATACGTAGAATATGTAGTGTCTGTTGTCGGCTAGGGTGAATGGATGAATTATCGTGTTGTATTTTATGATTACGAGGGATGCGAGTAACGAGGCTAGCAGGAGGCCAAGAGTTACAAAAGCGCGAAGTTGAGTGTTGAGAGGGGAGGTGAGGAATTTGGATGGATGGAGAAGATTGTCGATGGAAGATGAGAGGAATGAGAAGAAAGCTGGGAGTAGTAGTGGGAAAGAAAAGAAGGTGATGAAAGGCCAGAGGTAAAGGAGTTGTGGGAGATGTATGGTGGCAACGTGGTTTGATTTATCGCCTAGGACGACACCACCGTTGATGAAGACGAATATGCCGAAGGTAATGAGAAGTAAGATGTGGGGAATTAAGCGGAGGAGGATAGTTGGGAGACGATCTATGGCAGTCCAAAGGATGGAAAGAGGTGTGAGGAGAAGATCTGGAGGTGTTAGCTCTATTGTAAAAGGTAATGTGCATCAAATCGGTCGGGAAAGCTGAATATATTGAGCAATTACCTTCAAGACTAGCAGCATGGATAGGTGGATCATGTGGATGCTCCAATTTTGCAAGATCACAGAATTCTTTCAACTCCTCCTGTGATGGTGCTTGAGGATCCTTAAAAGAAGGAACATTAAGGCGATATGTCTCCTTCATCGTCCTTATAGCTTCCATTCCTCCTAGGAATATGGCAACCCAAAATATATTTGTCTGTCTCATACATAAAGCCAATATACCACAAAGATAAAACCATGCCCCATTTCTCTTCGGCTTCTCAAGTTTCTTCATTTCTGCTTGCTCAAGAAATTGTTTATACAGATATAAAACTACACAAGTAGATAGTACATCTGTATAATACAATCCAGAGAAGAAAAAGAGAGGGGGAAATAAGGCGATGTTTACAGCGGTATGTAATGAATCCACAGATCTCAACTTAGGGGCTTGATCTATGCGGTTTGCAACTCCGGCTCGAATAATAAGATTGCGACATTCCCAGGCGAGCATCATAATGAATGTGAGGGCAATCACATTTGTTATTCGAAGAAAATGTACATCGCATATTGTAAAACCAGAGACTATACTCAAAAAGTGACTCCACCAATACCTATATTCGATTAGTGATTTTGTTCATCATGATATATAGTCTCAAAGGACATACAATCCAGGCGGAGTAGTGAGTTTTGGATCCCAAATCCCATAATCCCATCTACAATATGCTTGAGCTTGAGGTATATGAAACACTTCATCCTAGATTTCGTGAGCAACTATATCAAATTCAAACCGAGGTAATGCTGAAGAGGAACATACCAAATAAGGCTCAGGGACAACCTTGGTCACCTGATATTCCCAAAGACTTGCAAAACAAGCCACGGATAGAGGAACCGCAATGGCAATCCTTATATTTAAGCCTTCATTTGAACCAAGGTTTGTTCCTATGGCAGTGAGGACTCCCACTAGGAGAGTGGAAATGGCGCCAGCCATGAGGACACCTTGGTGTTTGTAAGATGTGGCTTTGATTTACTCCTTACGATGCGATGAAAGGTTTGAGTATCATGATTTGAATAGGGTTATCTGATTCGATGTTAGAATATTACTGAGAGCCATTTCATATGAAATCACTTACGAAGGTTTTGCTTGATTACTGTCGGAAAATGATGATAATTTTGGAAATTGAGGCTGTTAAACATGATCTTTCGAATGTGGCTGTGTTGGGGTGGCTGACACAATCAACAACAAGTAATGCCCCACATCTGGTGATCATTCATATATTTCCACTCTTCGCTTCCCCTTTACTTTCACTCATCCTGACTTCTTTGGTGAAGTCTCTACTATACATGAAGTGCTGTGCGTGTATGAATGTCATTGTGGTATTGTAGAATACCTACTATTCCCCCATCCTCAGTGTTCAAACAATAAGAAGAATGACATTCTTCCAAGTTCTTATCAGACTCCTTTCTCTTCGAGTGCGAGCTGCATTCCAACAGCAAGTGACCATCTTGATACCATAGGGGGTAGTATCCAAAGTATCACATTAGCGTTTGTCACTAAAATATGTCTTTTCAGTAGACGTTTGGCAGCTCTGACCAATTTTCATTTCTGGTAAGCAAATGCATTATCTTTACTTCAATCCATCAAGGTTACCTCAACCTAAAAGTTTCTAGAGCAATAATTTTTCAGCCACTTTCTTATTCAAACACTTAAAATTCCTCAAGAACTACCTACTTTGAGTACAAGTTCGAAGCAGCTGTAATACCCAAGAGCCTCTGGTTGTTTGTTCTTCCTCTGCTTCCGTCTCCGGAACCACAAGCAAGCCAAGAACTCACAACCAATAGATCACCAGTTAGTATGTATGGCACTTATGCCGGCGAAGTTTTGTCGAGACGCAGGTATGACCCATCCAGATTTGGTTCCCATGTTTTGGAGTAAACCCCTTCAAACTCCCTTTCTCATGGCGTTTTACAAGTTTCTCATAACAGCTAACTTGATTTGCGAGTTTTCACAATTTTCCTACCAACACCATTGTCTTGCCTGAAGCTTTGAAGTGCTTTCCAGAATGTTTTAACCTTGGTTCTTTTAATATCAGAGAGATTAATATACTAATACAGCATTTCTGCTTGCTATGGTGGGTTCTTACCTTCTGTCTATATGGAGATAGGCGGAGTCCCGGGATATATCCGTCTTCGTTGGTTCTCCTTCCTTCCTCCGCAGAATCAATCCCTTGTACATGATTTGGATCTCCTGTCAATAACGCTTCTTCGATGGAGGTGCCGAGATCAGAAGGGATGTAATTATAAGGTCTAATTTCATTGCTTTTGACACCAACGGAAGTGTTATGACGCAAATGATCAGCCGCTTCAACAGATGCTTTGGCAGTTTTACTGCTTTCATATGCTTCTTCAAAAAACTTATTCTCCGGTAGTTCCTCTGCCTTGAAGGGAAATCTGAAAGATTCTTCCTTTAAAGTTTCATCCGTGATTCTCCTTTCAGCCTGGACTCCTGTGGCTGCATAATTCTTCAAATATCTTAGATGAGTTATCATGAGTCGATATCTCTTGCCCACCTTGTCTATTATCCAATCATGAAGATCCATCGTGTTGACATAAACCCCGGGATTGATGTTGCCTTGATCTAAAATTTCATCCTGGAATAGTGTGCGTAGCCCGAGAATCATCATTTCTTTTCTTGCTTCAAGTCTCCCAAGCATACCGGGAGTAGATGAGTCTCCCCTAGCATGGACTCGTGAGATTGCGTAGCTAGAGGCTCCAAATTAGTCTCTGCTGGCATAATGATAAGTATCTGTGTTATCTAAAAACCCCCCGTCAAGTGAAACGGCGACGCGCCATGCTCTCAAGAAAAACTTACTCGATGAGACTGGGGTCACGGTCATCGCAATTATCCCTAGGCTTGGATGTATATTTCCAACATTCAAAGATTTTCTCAGCTCTCACTTCCGTCCACCCGCTGAACCACAACGCTCCAATGCTCAAAGCGCTTTCGGGAACTTTAAGTGGTGGCCAAGGGGAAGCATCAATCGGGACTATGGTTTCAAAAAAATTGGTTGATTCTGCATTTTTCCGTCCTGAGCTTACTTCTTTTACCTTCCTGTGAAAGCTCATATCTATTAATCAGTGACTTTTTAGATTGTGCCCACGCAATTCCTCGGATATGATGAATAACTTACTTAAAATAGCTGCATTGATCTTCCACATTCCCTTGACACAATCACCCAAAATAACTTGCTTCTGCTGTAGGTACACTACTTCCTCGAGGTCAAGTTTAAAAGTGGGGACTCCATCTTCATAGGGAGGAAGAGGAATGTAATCCCATAAAGACATTGTCGCAGCAAAAGGCAGTTGTGTTGCAGAGATACAATGTCAAAAATATGATAGGAAGGATAAGAAAACAACGTTATGTAGTTATGCTTTTACACTGAAGATAGAAATGCAAGACTGATAAAAAGTTGTTGTACATGCTGTGGGAATCCTCGTGAAATAATTAGAATTTCAATTCTACAAGAGAGCGAAATTTACTTGCCCGAGATGGGCTCGTAAATATGTAGAATAGGCGGACAATACCTCCTTCTTATTTTGAACCATATTATACTTTAGTTTGAGCATACTCGAAAATTTCATAAATGGCTCCTGCCATTCTTATCTACAGCTGTGAAGAACACAATGTTAAACGTACTTGATAAATCATCGCACTGGATATGGCATTTCAGAGAGATTCCTGCCTCATTTTTTACCAAATGTTGTACTGTGGTCAGGCTGACCAGTACAGTTTCACGCACTCAAGAATATACATCCAGTTTCCCGCCCTTCCCATTTCATTTCACGTCATTCCATTCATCAATACACGTGCACACCTAAATTTGTTATGAAATTCCAGCTTCGAAATTAGAAAACTGTGAAATTTTCTCAGGAATAATACGTCGACGCATACATCAATGCAAATCATGTCTTCTATCACTATCATTATTTTACTATTCATGAATTTATCCGAATATAGAAATAAATATCTTGTCTGAGCAATTCTCTTTATTTTGAAAGAGATCTCGAGATGATGAGTTCAATAATTAGTGGCCTATGTGTGTGTGACAAATTTTTATATTCTCATTCTTGGGCTAGCATAAAAAGTTTATTATAAGAAGCACTGCTTATTGTAGATACTATCGATATTTATTGAGTCAAGTGCCAAAAGTTCTGATAAATATAGTGTGCCTGCCTAGAACTATTAAAACCAAATTATGGCATTTTTTATGTTAGTTGGGGGAAGTGTTACAGGCTCATTCGAGACATAGGCATCAGCCCTTGTCCTGAATTGATAATGGTGAAGAGGAGAACAATAGCAGGATTAGGCGTGAATTTAAGCTTGGTGCTTGTTGAGCTTTGCTGTACTTGTTGCGGTATGGTGGAGTAAAAAATGTTTATGATGACTTTCGATTTCCGAGGAGTAGAGTAGCAATCAAGAATTGGAACCAGATATTTATACATATATACATATATATATATTTATAAAAAGACTCAGAAGATAAGAAAGTCAAAAAATCGAAAATCATAATAATAGCTCATTCCATACATATAGGAAGGAGCCTTGATCAGAAAAGCAAGACTGCTTGATAGTTTGATTGTGTCTCGAGTTATGAATGGTCGCACATATCTACATATTCCCTAATCATATCATTCTTATATCGAATTAATTATATCCTCGGCATACATTCAGTAAATATATAAATATTTAGATCAAGTCCACACATAGTGCATCAACGAAATAGTTCTAAAGATTGATTAATAAAACTAATAAGATAGTAATAGTATATGATGGATAGAACAGTACAAATCGAAAATTCTGCGCAGTAACAGCAATAGCAGGAGGAGTTTGAATCGGAGACAGAAGACTGAGGAAACGTTAGTATCTACAATAAACTCAATGAGTGAGTGGTGAATAACACGAGTCACATAATATTTGATAATCTAAAGTAAGAGAGAGGGTACAAGCTGGCTTCACAATGGCGTTGGCGGGAGACAAGGTGTGTGTAGGGTCAAAAAAATGTCAATAGGATCTGCAAGTTTATTGAGATGAAGGAGATGAAGAGGATGAGGAGAGAATGTTATGTCCTAGGAAGGGATACTTGAATTTCTTTGTACGTACCCTATATGGACCGAATGAGTACCGGCAATCTCTTCAATATCCACATTTTTTTTACAGATCACCACTCTCGTGAGATGGTTTAGCAGAAGATGAGTGTACAAGAACAGTCCGGCCGGTCTATCGCAGATGTTAATTGTAACAAGGTTTGTAGATACGGAGTTTGTCCTTGATATACACTCCCAAACCATAAGAGATTGAAAGGGCTAGTCTTTATTAACTAGTGCGGCTCGCTGGACTACTAAGTCTAACTAAAAAGAATTTCCACTTCCATTACCATATTATCCGTCGCACTGACGACACATTAGACTTTTCAGCCCCAAGAATTAATGAGCAAGGAGCAAATACTCCCATAATTGTCCGTACGGAAAATGCTTCAACTCCGAGTTTACCACGGAGTTCAAGAGTACCTGGGCATAAACATTATGGGGTAAGAGCTGTGCCAGGAAATCAAGAATGAGATTTCGTGTTCCTTGATTCAATTTCAAAGGCAAAATAAAAAGAAGATAGAACAGAGACAATTCTGGTGTCCTTTAAATGTTGCACAATGGAAGCAGAAATTATCGACTTTCGAGTTTCAAAGTACATGACTGATCTCTGATCTAAAGACTACTCTGATCACCCGCGGGCCCAGAGGCAGCTGCCAGGGGACCATAAAGCCATGCGTCGATTGAATGGCCTAGAGCCATGATGGATAATCGGTCTGTTCGAGCCACATCTCTATATATGCAAGCTCATCGCGTTCGCAGAGATTTTGGTGTTCAGTAATTTCAAACTTCCGACTCAGAGGAAGTTTCTCACTTCGTGATGACGAGTAGAGATATCTATGTGGAGGGATCGCAATATGTAATTAGTTCCACATTTGCAAGTTTCTTACACGAACCACTAAAATAGCCGATTCGAAAACCATAGATCATTTGGAAGATGATATCAAAGAAAATGATATATATAAAGATATAGGGAAATCTTTGGGGGTGATATTTGAAGATGAAAATGTTGATAATGCTCTGGAAGTTATACCTGAGTTAGCAACCCAATAGCATAATATGATTGTACTCAAATCTGAATCATTACAATACAAATACTATTTAAGTATTATTATTGATATCGATAAAAACCTAATAGAATCTGTTATTATAGTAATATATACTTTAACTATAAAAGTATTTCTCGAATAATTATTAAAGATAAAAGAAGATATTAATCTTATAAAGATTAAAACATATACTAACAATAGATTAATATATTATTTATATAAAGTTAATAATATTATTATAAATAATTAGAAAGAAAAGTTGTAAGATTATTCATCGAAATTGAATAAACATTAGAAATCTTTGTTTTATAATGAAAATTGGAAATAGATTAGGAAAATAAAACAAATTTTTCTGAATAAAAGATTTAAATGCCAATATAAAAAATATTCGAAAAGATATTTCGAATATATAGATCATTATAATTTGAAACTTTATATTATAATTATTATATGATCTTTGAATGATGATATTTATATATAAGTTATTCGAAAAAATGAATAATTGAAATCAAACTTCTTTGAAAAGGAATTATTAAAGAGAAATAAAAAACAAAAATTAAACAATGTAAAAATAAAAACAAAAATAAAAAAAAGAATAGATATATTTCTAGATGAAAAAAAGATATTAATAAACAAAAATTAAGTATTTATTATTTTAGAAAATTCAATCGGAATTCTAATATCAATAATTACAATTAATTATTTTTCAAAGAAATTTCTTAAAAGCTATTTAAATAATCTTAAAGTTGATTATAATATATAACTTATCAATCAATAAAAGAATTTGTTGATAAAATTTAAAACTTAAAATCATCAATAATCTTAATTATATAAAATAATAAAATATAATTTTAATAAAAATATAATCAAAGTATAATAAATTTATATTTTTATTAATATTTTTGAACTTTAATATAAAAGAACTTTTTGTTATATTTATTTTTATTATTAATATAATTTATAATATCAATTATATCTTATAATATATTATTATCATTATAAAATAAAAATTAAAAACAATTATTTTTGATTTCCAAAAGAAAAATTATCCCATTCAGGAAAAGATTAAAGAAAACCTAATAAATCTCAATTATAATTATATTATATAATAAAAACCCTCATTTTTTATTATATATATTGATTTCATTAAACTCTTTAATTTATAAATGTTTACAAAAACAAATATAATAAAAAAAAATAAAAAAATAAAATAAAAATAATATTAATAAATATTAAATAATAAAAATAAATAACCAAAAAAAAACAAATAATAAATAATGAAATAAAAAATGATAAAAATTCAAATAAAAGATTTATTATTTTTCTCAAAAAGTATTAATCAATTCTTCATTATCTATTAAATCTATATATATTATATTTTATAACTTTATAATAAGATTTTATATAAAAAACAAATTGTTTTCAAATTTTAATAATATATAATTTTCTTCATTTAAGATATTTTTATAACAATAATTTATATAAAATTAATAATGAATTTTATTTCAAATTTGATAATATAATATTGTTTTATTATATATAATATATTACTTTTATTTGTTCTGATTAAACTTTTATAAATCTATCACAAAAGTTTTTTTTGTTGATATATTAAATCTAACAAAATTTGATAGGATTATTCTAAAATCTATATCCAACAATTAAATTTCAAAATCGAAAACACCTAAGAAAACTTTGAATTGAATTTGTTTTTTACAATATCGATAAATTATAATCGAAATAATAAATATTGTAAAAGTGGTAAGTCGAGATATGTACGTCCCGATAGTATATTGTGAGGAGGGAATTGGAAGAGAAAGCTGAATTAGATTATATTGTAATATATCATTTATAAGTAAAATGGGGTTCATAATGGTTTTGGGATTGATGTTATATAGGTTCAAATGTATATATATAGAAGATTGATTATTGTGAAAAGAAAAGACAAAAGACTCTTCTTTTATATCTAATTACAAAAGGTCATATGATTGACTAGTTAAAACCTTTATGTATTTGGCTTATAATTTCAACTTTCTTATAATATATAAACTTTATCTTCATTTTTATTAATACTATAATATCATTTATATTCATTTAAAATTGATACTAAACAATCAATTTAATCAAAATACTATATTAATCTCTAAAGCATTTATATAATATAATAATAATATAATCGAAACATAATAAAAAAATGAAATCATTAATAAAGAATATATATCTTTAAAATTCTTATTACTATTGTATTCTCAATTTCATTACAATCTCTCAAAATCAATTTTGATAATTTTATAATGGATTTCTATCCTTCAAAAAAAAATTTATATTACAAATTTCTTCATTTTGAATCAGGATTCCCTATATTATATTATTGTTAATATACTTTGAATATTAAATCTAACAAACATTTTTTATCTCTATTAATAAGATTAATTACTATATTGATTTTTATTATAATATTTAATTAATAATCAATATTACTATCTAAAAACTCTTTATATATATTTATTTCAATAATAATAACTACTTTTGATACTGAATATAAAAAATTGATATTATTTAGAATCACTCATCAATAATATCGAAGCTCCTCTTACAACCTTACAACTTATTATTCGAACATCTGAATTCTGACTTCAAATCCCCCACTCCCCTCTCTCTACTTTCCCCTTCCTCTCTCTCTCTCCTCTCCACTCCTCCTCTCTCAATTCCTTTGTTCTTTATACTATTGCTTTGTTATAAATATCAAATATTATATAAAAGTATATTTTAATCACACTTCAAATATACCTACTTCACTTTTCGGTTTTGAATAAATTCTTTTTTGAAAATAATAATATCGAGAATAATATATAATGAGACTATTTATAATAATATTCTGTAATCCTGTTGTATTATCACAACCAGAGCCTCAGTTAATCGAGGCAATTTGATTACTTGATGGGTTAATGATCCCACCTTGATAATTTGATAAAGTTAATATAGATTATTCAACTTCAATACTTCTTTGTATTTAATTGAAGTAATGGATTGGAAAATGGGATTATTCTTCGAGAGATACTCTTGAAGCTTACTAATAGACCTTTTAAGATGATGTTGTTAAGTGTCTAATGTATTTTCAGTATTCCATATGTATCCAGAATTGCCATTTGAGTATATATCAGGATGATTCACATCTTGGATCTATGTACCTTACTCTTTTCCAGTGGAATCGACGAAAGGTTCGCATGCACTGTATGTACGTAAGCATGTCTTTATCAACATGTGGAGGCGGGGCAGAAACTTGTTGTCATCTACTCGTACCCTGCATGAATGAATAATCAGAAAACTGACATGTTTTTCTGCGCCAAGTATGCGTTAAAAGTGTATGTAATCGGATTTAGTGGGGAATGATGATGGGTACAGAAGTGGCATTTTTTGCTGGAACGTTCTTGGCTGAAACCTGAACCTTTGGTCATCCTTAATGGAGTATATAGTGGAAAAATGCTAATTCTGTTTGCAGTGTTGGATTTGATGTTACAAGTTGAGATGGATTGATATCTACTTGTAAGATTGAAAATTCGCCCCTATTTGTTAATTCGTTATTCGAGATTTATTCTTCAAATTCATGTCTTCAGAGGACTAATCGTGTACCGAGATGGCGCTACGAGCCGACTTGTGTATTAGCGTTTCCCACCGGGTCGGAGGTTAAGATCTTACAACTTACCGATAATTACTTTGATTCGTTCAAGTGGCTGGCTAAAGCACTAGTGTTCACTTATAAATCAATATACATTGATCAATATCAATTTACAAATTTAACGATGATATTCTCTGCCTCCACTGTTCTGATTTAACTTTCAAGGCTCCAGTAGTGCCAGCGCTAAACGTGATGATATCCGTATCTATCCCGCTGATCACAATCGATTCCATCCCGTTGGTACTGGCTGAAGAGGAAATCTAGAGCGAGGTCTCAGAGGGGCAGTCCACATGGTGCTATCATCAATAATCAAACTGCAGAAGCTGAATTGAAAACGAAGATGCAAGTCAGCAAAGTCAATAGTTTGAAGACTGACGACAGTATCGATGTCATGGTCCGAAAAATCATATAAAAAGGTGAAGAAATTTCCCTTCTGGAGATGTATTCCTCACCAGCAGAACACTCCATCTACACTTCTCCAATAAATCTAGTTCACCGCAAAACACTCTCAAAATCTTCATTTTAACAACTACATTCATCATGAAGTTCATCTATACCACCAGCATCATCACCGCCATTTTGGCAGCTGTTGTTCCAGCTCTACCGGTCGCTGAACCCGAAGCTAATGTTGCTATCGCCGCCCTTGAGAAGCGGGGAAGTACTCAATTCGCAGTCTACACTGACTCTGGTATGTCAATTTCCTATCAATCCATTCATTCTACACAACTACGCCTATCCTCCTCTTACTATCTCAAACTAACACTCACATCACAGCATGTGGAGGTGGAGCCGTAATTTTCACCGACGGAGCCGCAACAACCAAAGGAAACTTCGGCGCTACTCAACACAGTATCAAGATCTTGAGCTTAACTCCCAACTTCCATGTTACTTTCTATTCGGGTCTTAATCAAGGAGGTGATAAGTCTCAATTTGGAACTGCTTCTGTTGGAGGTTGTGTTGCGAATGTTAATTATTTGAGTTATGGGTTTTATTCCGGTGCTTAAGTAGTGGGAGGAGAGGATTAGAAGGGGTTGGGGTCGGAGAATTGGAATGGGAATGGGAAGATTGATGGCGAGGGAAGGGAGAGTGGTACTGGAGTGTATTCAGTGGAAGAGAATGGAAGCTGTTGTTTATTCATTCTTTCTTTCATTTGGCTCAGAACGACTGTCTCCGACTCTCCGGACTGTACCGGAGAGGCTCACAGAATTTCTCGTGTCCATCTATACATACACTCTTTTATGAATTTAACAACGGTTCATTTTATATTGATTGATACTCAGTTCATTTCCTAGTACCCCAAAGCCAGATTTTGATGATTGTTATGATGAAATAATGAAGGCAATGATAGAATGATTGAATGATTGATTAAATCTCTGGAGTAATTATATTGTTTTATCTATCAGTGCAGAGCTGGCGAGCGTTAGAGAAATTTTTTCTCCGGGTATAGTATAATATAGTATTCTTCAAAAAATCTATCATTTTTAGTTATTAGATAGATAAATAGATAGATATTTACTTTTATATAGTAATTTAATTCTCTTTCTGTCTAAACTTTGAAATTTAAAACAATGATGAATTTAATATAATATAATCTAACTCTTCTTTTTTTATTTTTGTTGAATATCAATTTTAAAATATAATAATTACTTCAAAATATTATACTCGGGATAGTACTCAAGACAATTTTATTATATTAATTGAATATTTAATCAAATATTAATTTTTATTATTATTATAAAATATAAAATATAATATATATACTTTTCTTCTTTTAATTAATACTCATTTTATCTCAGAATTATCTTTTTTAAATTCTTTTATACTTATATATATAATTATATAAAGAACAATAAAAAAAATCATAAAGGTAAATAATAAGATTGGTATAGTAGTATGTTTAAAAATAAATAGATTCTAACTCTTTTGTCTCAACTCCGATGTGATATATAGTGAAGGAATCAAGGGTGATGCAGAGCTATGACACTTGACGAGCGTCGAGGATACGACAGTGAAGAGATGCTGCACAATAACTTAGAATGGGAGTTTTACGCTGCTGTAGTTTAAAAGAAGACGGTGGGTTTTATGAAAAGTAAGATGGGGCAATACTAGTATGGCATGAAGTAGAATGACTTACAATTCACAGTGTAAGAAATGAAAAAGAAAAAAATACTTATATAATGCGTTAGTACCCGAATATAAAAATCTTATGTAAGATCATCTTTGCTTTATATTAGCAAATCGGGATGAGTATATATAAGAAAATGATGGAAAGGAAAATCTGCATAACCGTACATACTACCTATAGATTTTAGATTACCGGATAGTTACAGCCTTTCGTTCATAATTTTCAGGTGTAATACCGAAGGGGGAGACTAAAGTAGCTGCAAGAAAGAAAGCTGATCTTATGTACATTTTAACACGATGGTCAAATTTTTCGGTATCATAACTGCCAAGTGAACGAAATGGCAGTTACGAACGGGAAATTTACCTTCAGTTTCATTTCCTGACAATCACGACATCCGGTCTTGAATTTACTGTGACCTTTGCGAGGCCTCGAGGTCTACAGGGACTATTAAGTGTTATGCCACTATCCGAATATTCTCTCGAGCTTTTTTATAATGTAAGATCTTATATAATAGTAGCTTTACACAAGAGAGTATTATTGGAACTACCAACAGACTCTATTTGAATTGATGGCATAATTGTAAATTTTGAGACTACTCGAATTTCCTAGGCTTTTAACCTATGGTCTGTGTCCGCATGGCATTCATTCGTTCGTTCAGACACTCCAGTTCTGTTCTCCGGCTTCTTTTATATCATCTGAAGCCGTTCCAATGTGTTGATATATTCGTGGTTCGCTGCATGGTGTATCCATTAATGATGTGATAGCTATAAGTTGGAGACTTGTCAACCTTAAGCTTATAGATCTGAAAAGCGTAACAAAATTCACATGACCTGAGGCCATATCTCAAAAATTGCCTGTCTGTATGCTCCTAGGCAAACCTAGCGGCGTTCAACTTTGCGATTAGTCGATTGATTGGAGTGGCAGTAGTTGCGTTGCTCTCAAGAAAATAGTTAATATAGTAGATGTACTGATTTTGAAGAAATGACGATTTGGAAAAAGCTATCGGTGCTCATTGGCCTCCGTGATGAGGAATGTGAGGTCACCAATGGTGATATTTGAGCTCATTGTTCCAGCATATTGGGTGCGCTAACAATTGTGATTGTTTAAGCTAGAACTGATATCCTTTTACTGCACATGCCAGATCTATCGTATATCTAATCTTCCACTGCACTCCGACTGTTATTATCTGCCAAGGCTTGCCGCGTTCGCCCGCTATAGATGACTCGTTTCTTTGGGAATCTCGAGCCGAAGTCTTTCAGATCCTGTGTCAGAACTATATGATAATACAAAGTAATTTTGATGATATTATATTTTACATTTTATATTTTATATTTTATATTTTATATTTTATATTTTATATTTTATATTTTATATTTTATATTTTATATTTTATATTTTATATTTTATATTTTATATTTTATATTTTATATTTTATAATATTTTTTCTAACTTTTTATAATAATTTTTAAATTATACTATATCAGTATATAAGGTTATTAAGTCTTGTTTTGTGTTCTTTTCTCTCTCGAGGACCGGGCCGACGATGGATCCACTGTTCTTAGCAGGCATATCGGAGCCAGATGCATGTACAGGGAGCATGCATTTTCTCAACGGGCAGGATTATGCAAGTAAATGATTAATCTTATCAGATGAGAACCATTAAAATACACACATGAATCCAGCCTCGGTTCGTACTTTTCCCATCAATAGAAATTTGGCTCTGGAGATATCCCTGGTAAAATCCATGGAATACTAGTAGACCGCATCACTTTGGCGCAAGCAGACGGATCATAACGACAACATGATGGAAAGGATCTAGAGCCAAGAAATCTTATCAGATGGGGATTTTATAGCTGCAGTCATGACAGCGGAAATGCTTGTGGAGTGAATTAGGTTATCAGATTGAAAATCATTTGACGTAATGCCAACTTTAGCACTTAAACGCTAATTTTATTGAAAATCGTGATGGATTGACTCTTGAGTGGCGGTTACCAATAATTATACTATTGAACTCTCACAAGTATCATGCTGTTACGATATTGTCACATGAAATGGCATGACTTTGGTTTTTGATCTTTGGGTTCGGCATCACGCTGTTGGATTTCCGGTGGTTGAATTCATCCCCTGCTTTACCAAACTTTATTTTCGAATTACCTAAAACTAATTTCTATCTTTACGAGTCCCGTCTGGCAGCTGTGCATCGACTGGACGGACTAAGCTTTACATTAAATTGTTTCTCGATTCTAGAGTTTCACTCTACCGACTATCCTGCTATGCTGGTTTGCTCATCGATCGCAACATCTAACATCACACATTCCTCTACATCTAACGCTTCATTGCAATCCTCCTTGTCCCAAAGTTCTTTCAAACCTCCTAGACATCCTCAAGATCCGGTCACCACCAGCACAAAAGGGAGGAACATCAAAAAAATCAAAATGTCTCTCCAAATCCCCAGCTACGATCACCCCCGACCAGCTCTTCCTCGACCCCATCCTCATCTCACCGATCACATTCGCGCATACGACATTATTTCGACAGAATTCTCCATTGGCCAACTCAGTCTTGCTATTACTGCGACTGTGAAACGCAGTCCATTGTCAATCTTATTCTTGAATCAAACTCCTGAATTGCAACTCGAAGGCTTGCACAATGAATCTGTTTTCATGCAAGATTTTGCCACGAGTTTAGATCCAACTTGTCGGTACACATTCCTCAATTACTTGAGTGAGGAAGGAATGTTGGGTGAATGGATGACCAAAGGAGAGCTAAACCCAAGTATGGAAGAGTGGGCTAAATATGTTAGATGGTGTGTTAAGGTTGTTCGGGAAGAGGGATGGGTTGAATTCTCTGAGGGTAGCGTAGAGGAGGTTAAGGAGAGGGGCAATGGAAGAGCAGCTGATGTTATCGTTTCTGGGGAGATGTTCAAGGCGGATAGAATTTTAGACGGAGAAGAGGATTGTATGGCTTTCGCAAATGAGAGCGAGGAATTAAACATAGTACAGGCTACAGATGCGTTGCAAAATTTGTGCGCTGCAGCTTCATCTACTGTAAGTTTTTCTCTTTCTTTTTTCGGACTCCGTGGATAGTGACTAAGATGTTTTTAACAGAATCTAGCGGCACTCACAGCACAAAACGAAAAGCTTCTGTCGCTGTACGAAAAGGATCGAGCAAGCAGAATGGTCAGAGCATTGCTGTAGAATCCAAAGCTGGCTCAATACTTGTAGTACTAGACGATAGATGGCGTTGGGAAACGTGGAATTTTTGCGCGCAAGCTCTGCTGCCATGTGTTAATACCCGTCGAAGTTTTTTTTTTGGGGTTTTTTTTTATTCTGTTGTATATACACTATTTCGACTTTATCCCCTAGCTTTAGCAACGAAACGTTTTACTTTTCTGCTTGATTTCTTCCACATCCAGCCACGAGCTGCCGAAAAATCTCGTGTCTGAAGAAGAAAGGATTTTGCCGATGTTCCTTTTCAGGAAGTTAGAAAAAGATGCACAATGCATGCTGCAACTCGAGAAAATTACAAGCACTTCAAGCTTTACCCATGAAGAGCATGCCACGCACTTAGGTCTTGGCTGGGTAAGCCCTAGCTAGGTGTCTACCTATCAAGCCCCCACCTTCCCGATACCGGTTGTCAGGATCTTAGGTGGGTTTGCTCCGTTTTATCCTTGTCTTCAAGTGGCATGGGATAAAAGTGTCCCGTCAAGACGACGAAACGAGGAAGGTGGAGTTTTATCGGCATGCAGTAGTCAACGGTCGTGCCATCTGATAAAAACAGTTGGCTCAAAGCAGGGAATTATTAGATGCTTGTTTCGTGTTAGGTTTTCAAGGCTTTTCCTTCGAATGAGCGATGATCATGAGTCAATTTGATTGGAGTCTGAAGGTAGATTTCGAAATCACAGTATATATACCAGTGTATATATATGTGTATATCTCTGGAGTTATTGGGTTGGGAATTCCGGTACTCTCGGCAAGCCAATCCAACAAAAGAATCCGGAGACACAAAAAAATGTTCTTGTTCCCCCCTCCCCCATTTGAAGATATCATCACACGCCTCTTCACTACGAATCCACTTTCGAGAATCTTACTGAAGAGTCATCTGAAGTCACATCACTTGAAAAAGGAAGGATTTATTGTCTATATAGAAGATTCTTATCCAATTCGAACTCGGATCTTATGAAACCAGTATTAGCACTGGTGGGAGCTTTTATGTTCCCAGAAAAGAGCTTATGGTTTGCAGTGAAGATGCCTAGATACTAATGTAAGGCCTCGATTCACTCTTCAATTTTCACCCAAGCTTCCTAAGATCTTAAGCTGCGAGGAACTTAGGCTTTAAGGGGCTCCTTATATTGCAGTAAAAGCAATTGCTTTTCTCTAACGCTATTTTCTGGCGTCGTTGGTTTCACCGAGGGCGTTACCGAAAGCATCTTGTCTAACAGCTATTTTAAGTTTTATATATCAATCTCATTTCCGGCAATTGAAGAGATATCTTAGCCTACTTAGCGCGGTGGTAACGCGTAGCACTTGTATGTGAAAAATTACAGCGATGCTAAGATCATTGGTTCGATTCCAGAAGTAGGCATGTATTTTTGATTTCATGGGTCATTTTGTATACATTTTTGGCGATAAAACTTCTTCTTTTCCACATCTTGTCGGGGTGTTCAAAAAGAAGGCAGAAATTTCTAGAAAGAAATCTGTTCTATTTTCGTACTTTTCTCTGGCACTTCTGCTTAAGTGGGTTGGGATTGATGGAAAGTAGTCTGGTCTATTATATTAGTCAACCCGAATATTCCATGATCACAACCGAAAAGAGAAGAGAATGGAGGAAAGAGTGGTGTGTATGTACATTTAGATGGATATGGAGATTGTGGAGTCACACGAATCATATCTATTTTTGCTTCACACCGACGAGGCTACTGCTTCCTGGTTGAGATATTAATATATTGGCTGTATGATCAGCTTCATCAATTCCCTATCTCTCAGGCTCGCAAAGCTCCAGCTCTATGGTCCCCGAATGATCTCGCCTCGACTTTGCCTCTACCTCCATTAAACCATGGGTTCCAGCCCATTGCCGATTCACCAATCTCATCATCTAGCTTCTTTCCATCAGCTCATGCCATCATTCTATATTCCCAGTCCCCTTTCATCAAACTTCCCGCCATCCACTCCAAAACCTTTTCTCACGATGTCCCAGCTGGTCGATGGTCCCTGCAGTCCACTCAAGAACAATTGAACTTAGAATCCAAACACTTCCCAAGCTGAGTCTGCTGGTAAGCATTATAATTTGGACAGCTTGCAACTGAGCTGATACGGAGTTGAGTGTATTTTCCGCATGTTGCCGTAGTACGCATTCCAGCGTGTTCAAAACCAAAATATGTTAACAAGCTTGCACAAATTGTGGAGATTGAGTGGTTATGACTTGGGCTTGGGGCTTAGTTGTGAGGTGAGTTTGGGTGGTTGAATCTGACGAATTTGTGGAGAAATTACGGTTTCGGGTGTTCTCTTAAGCTTGCTGCTTATATGTGCTGAGGGATAGATAGCTCAAGTTACTCCGTTTATGAAGGTCGCAGAAGTGGTTGTCGTTGAAGATGGAATGTTGAAAGCTCAGACTAGGATTTTGATCTTGATATAGAGGCGCCTGAGGAGAACTTGATTATGCCTTATCATGGGACTCTATGGCTATTGGAGTGAATGTCATCAGTCTGAATCTGAATACCTAACAAAGCTTTAGATTATGTACGGTAATATACCGATGTAGTTTATCAGCGTGGCGTGTCACCGTATTAGGATTTAAGTGAATCATTAATGGCTATATATTACATCCAGCCGGGACAGAAGATGAGACTTTCATGAGCATATGAGTATGAACAGGAAGTTTGGTATCTGAATGAGCTTCAGATGTAATTTTAGTGTATGTGAATGGACATACAGAGCTTAGATAGAACCAAAATTCACCATCTTCGTTAAGGAATCAGCATACTTCTACCAAATTCAGCATGTCCAGCCTGCCGCACTCTCATCATTATCCCCTGCTTTTAGAGAATTGAATACCGTCACAGACGACATCTTCTTGAATTTCTTAACTCCATACCTGCCTCTCAATGCAATTTTAACAATTTCGCAAATTGTATCCGACAATGCGATTTATCGAATATCCTCGATTGTTATTTTTGCTATTGAGGAAGTTCAGATAGATAGGAACGGTATTGCTGGATATGATACGTGTGCAGAATTTTCAGGTAAGTCAATATAAATATACATGCTGGACTCGTGTGGGTATTGATGGTGGTATAGTTTGACTCTTGAGAGGGCAATGCTCATGGTGTGTATGTAATATGTGTTCTAGCTCGATGGGGAGGATTTAATTGAGAGAAGGTTCGTGTTGATTGTCAAGATGCTGGTGCAGAATAATTTTGCCACTTGATGGACTTTTCTTCATTTCTTTGATGTTTGGATGTTGTTTCCAGCAAAACCTCCAGGCATTCATTGAGCAGAAAGAAAGGAGTGACTTCGAGTCATAGGAGCTTCGCTGAAAGAGAAGAACCCATAAAAGTATCTAATCCCAGAGGACATTCTAACAATATGCCATAACGATTCATTTTTTCAAAGCACAAAGAAAACTTCTAACCCTCTTATATATCGCACACAAAACATTCTTTAAATCACATCTCATTCCCATAGCTGCAATTCCAGCTCTAAAGATATCTTAATTGTAACTGATGTTGCATTTCCCTCCAGTACTTTCTTCTCAATATACTGCTTTCATAATAAGTCTTACAACATATGTGGAGCCTAAACGATCTGTGAGAGATATCTATAAATTAAGGCCGACTGACTTGATACAAATTTGCACTGCAAGATAACAGCTAATCATCAAATCAAACCGCTCAAGACACTAATCTTATAATAATATAACACTTACATTTCATCAATTTTTAAACAACAAATCTTGATCGCAAAAAGGAAGACGTTTAGATCTCAATCTACTACACGGGACGCCCACAGTGCTCACCAAGCCTAGCTAGTACCTAAAGCCGAAAATTGCATAATCAGCGAGCCGCCAAAAACACCATAGGCTAAGCATATCAATACCGTCGTAATCATCCTACATCTATGATATTGCACAGCATTCAGAATGCAAAATATCGGCCCAAAAAATTCCAACCATTAATGTTGGCCCCGGCTAATATCAGGGGCAACCCCTACCTACCTTTATTTCATTCACGTCAAGAGTCCCCACTCACTAAATAGACACCCCCTCCGAGACTATGGATTTTCAATCTGATAATTATTTTCCAGGATTATTCCAGCCGACGCAACAAAGTGGATAACTTTCGCAACGACTAATCTTATCAATCAATCAATCAATCAATCAATCTAATCAGATAAAAATTTTCACACCCTGCTTTGACTTTTCCTATCTTTTTTGTGGATGTAGATAGATGGAACAGTTGGAACTGCTTGCTACTCCGGGATTATTAGGTGAAGGAGAAAAAAATATGGAGAACTGGTGGGGTGTTTCGTTTTGTGACGAAAGATGAATAGGACGAATTAGAGAGGGATTGGGACTTTTTCGGGACGTTTTATGCCACCGGTTGGTTTTAATTACGGCGTGAGTGATGATCTATATGCATCATTTAAATGGAGCCAAGTTGCGGTGGAGGAAAGAGCTTTTTCGTGGATGATATGATGGTTGTTGGAGGTCTTTTGTTTCTTTTTTTGCTGAGTGGCATGAGATATTTTCCATGTTGGAAGGTTTCTTTGAAGTGAAGACTCTGCGTGTTCACACACGGCCACATCAAGAACCTGCTCAGATTAAGATGGCGTTCGGCCGTCAATTTACCCAGCTTCAAGCCAAACCATCTCCATACATACCCTACTAAACCTGCTTTATGTTAACTAGGGATTGGATGTAATGGATCTCTGTCTCCTTACGTCACAAGATGCCGATGCAACTGACATGTAGGAATTTAGGTGTACCAGCCTCCAGGAAGACCGTACATTGTACAACAATCCTGAGTCCCGCTTCTCCCGACCTTCCAAATCGAAATGGAAATTCTCCCGAGGAAAATTTAGTCATGCCAATGTACGACGCGTACCCCATTTTTTTTACCATGGGTCTCATCAGGGATGGACGGCTATCTGGATCCTGCATGCATCTCGGTTTGATTATTATCTTATCTGATCTTTTGGAACTATCCTTCTGTTCTCGTATGTACTTACATTTCCGTCTTTAGACTTCTAGCCTTTTCTTTCTTTCACAATGCAATCTCTTTACGGAGTCGAGAATGAAACTCCTCGTTTGTCTATTGTTCAGGGCGCTTCAAGTCCTCCGTTATTAGAACTTACTCTTGGAGATCTTCTGGATCAGCAAACGAGGCTTCGTGCTGGATATGAGTGTTTAGTATGTCCGTCTTTGGGGACGAGATGGTCGTATGGAACGTTGCAGGAGGAGAGTGTTGCTGTGGCTCGTGGTCTGTTGTCGTTGGGTATAAAATCGGGAGATAGAATTGGGATATTGGCGGGGAACTGCGCGGAGTACATTTCTGTTTTCTTCGCCGCGGCTTATATTGGATGTATACTGGTGGTCTTGAATAATACTTATACAACACAAGAAGCGAAGAACGGGCTGAAACATGCTGGTAAGATGATTTGTGAGGTTTCGAAGACTGATGCTGATAAATATTAGGTTGCCGAATCTTGTTCACTGTACCGAAAATTGGAAAGCAGAGTACTGAAAGACTTATCTCAGAACTAGGGCCTTTACCAAAAGAAAATGGAAATTCTGAAGCTCTGGAAAGGGTGGTGATATTGAGGGGTTCTCGAAATGGTTTCATGAACTACGACGGACTGAAACATCAAGGTCAAACAAGTTTAATGGAGGAATTTGAGAGAGTAAAGAAGAGAGTCAAGCCGGAAGATATCGTGAATTTACAGTTCACCAGTGGATCGACAGGAAGTCCCAAGGCAGCAATGCTTACACACTTGTAAGTACTACCTCATATGGTCGAGCTGAAAAAGGAAGGCCCCTTTCTGACAGCCTTTCATAGTAATTTAGTCAATAATGCCAACTCAATCGGCGACCGTCTGGCATTCACATCCCGAGATATCTTATGTTGTCCACCACCACTGTTCCACTGTTTCGGCTTGGTACTGGGTGTCTTAGCAATTATAACACATGGCGCGAAAATCATTCTTCCAGCGGAGACCTTCGATGCTTCCGCGGTACTGCGGGCAGTATCGGATGAGAAGTGCACTGCACTTCATGGTGTCCCAACCATGTTTGAGGAAATTCTGAGCCTACCACGGCCAGAAGGTTTTAATTGTGATAATTTGAGGACGGGGATAATAGCTGGGGCACCAGTACCGAGACCTTTAATGAAGAGATTATTGACGGAGTTGAATATGCGGGAATACACATCTAGTTATGGTAAGTCAGGATCATGAATGGTAGACGAGTGTAAATTGACGAAGTTTATAGGTTTAACGGAAACTTCACCAACTTGCTTCAATGCCTATACTTACGACACTATCGACACGCGTCTAACGACTGTTGGACAGATCCTTCCACATCTTCGTGCGAAAATCATTGATCGAGATGGAAATATCGTTCCCCAAGGCGCAAGAGGAGAGCTTTGCATATCTGGATATTCCTTGCAGAAGGGATATTGGAACAATGAGGAGAAGACGGCAGAAGTAATGGTTAAAGATAAAGATGGAATCTTGTGGTTAAAAACAGGTGATGAAGCTTCTTTCGACGAAAGAGGATATTGCTCTATCACTGGGCGTTTCAAGGATATTATTATTCGAGGCAAGTTATCAATCAATGAGGGATGTTAGCAGAAAATTAACTTTTCCTTAGGTGGTGAAAATATATATCCCCTCGAAATCGAAACTCGTCTCGATGCCCACCCTTCGATCTCCCGAGCGATAGTAGTTGGCATTCCAGATCACAAATATGGAGAAGTTGTCGGCGCCTTCCTAGATGTGCGAGAAGATTCGGCGGCAGTTAAAAAGAAGCTTTCAGATGCAGAAATAAGAGATTGGACAAGAAAAGAGTTAGGATGGCATAAGGCACCCTACCATGTATTTTGGTTTGGAGAAGAAGGATTGAAGATGGAAACTCCTAAGACGGGTAGTGGAAAGGTTAAGAAGTTTGAGTTGAGAAATGAAGGAGCTAAGATTGTGAAAGAGAGAAGCATGATGCCTAAGCCCAAGTTGTAGATTAGACTATCGGGAAGGACAAACTGTCACCTGGGACTTGTGATTGGGTATAGCGTGTAGATAGATTATTTTTTGTAAATTGTTTTCTAGTATATGATCTTCATGTCGGCACTTGTCCCCGAAGGTAGCACGCCATTAACGCATCTAGCCGTGCTTAAAATTAGCCTAGCAGCGCTCCATGCTGAAATGTGGATGATCGGTCTAAGCTGCCAGGTAAGCATGTGGACCAGAAGTCACCAACGCTTATTAGTACTGGGTTGGGCACATGATAGTAACAGAGGTATAATAGTAATGGTAAAGCAAGGGCTTGGCATCCCGAAGCCAAGAAAAACATTGAAGAGTGACAACCATGGTACGAATGATATTCAAGCTTTGGACACACAAATGACTAGTGTCGTTTGGATCATCCACTACATTGAGTCCCTTGGAACATGTAACGTAAAACTGCTGGACACCCATCCATTGAGAAAGACGAAGGGATATTCAAATGGAGAGAGGAGTAATAAGGTATCATTTCACGTCGAATAGACATGTTTCCTCGATCGGTAACGGCAAACTTCCAGGACCTGACAGACTATTCTTTCCGCAAATCATATAGTATATCTCCAGAAAGTTGCGTCATCTCCCTCGTGTTGTTGTTCAAGCTTCATTTCAGGTGTATAAGTATCCACCGTAAGCCCTCTCTCCGCATCTCGAGCATCCCTTCGCGAATTTTCCCATTTGTAATAACTCATCATGAGAGCTGTCAGAATGAAAGCAATGGATAACATCCCGAGAAAAATCGAATGTCCTTCAATGAACCTGAAATCAAGAGGTAGTAAGTACCGATCTTCAGCGAACTAGCAATGCTGATAGGAAAATTGCATTGAAGGGGTTTAGATCTTACCTAGGACTGTCCACGGGACGATAGATAAAAGCTGCCACAATACCCCCAAAGTTGGCGAAACCAGCAACCATGCCGAAACCAACTCCTCTTTTTAAACTCCCGCTTAAATTGTTTCCTACCCAGGCGGTCATCAATGGAGTAGTTGGGAACACGCCTACATGATTATTACCATCACTATGTGTTTGAATATGGTGAGCATATGTTTTACATACCGATGGCCGCAAGGAAAGCGCCAGTGTACTGAACAGGTGTTTCATGACTTGAGATAAGTAGCGCGGACCCCGTCATAGCCACAGCTAAAAATCCGAGGATAAAGATTCCTCTTTTTTGCACTTTGTCGGCAATGAAGCTGACTGATATTGTGAAGAAACAGGCAAAAATGTAAGGTGGAACGGTCATGAGCTGGGCCTCATTACTGGTATAGCCCATATCTTTAACGATAGTGGGTAGAAACAAAGATAATGAATACAGTGGCGTGACCATGCAGAAAGATATGATCATTTTGACATATATTTTCCAATCTTTCAATGCTTGCCACACGTATTTTGAATTCCAATCATCCGAAAGAAGGTTCCGATCGTTCACAAGTCGCGTCAAGACCTCTTTTCGCTCTAGGTCGGAGAGAAACTTTGCCCTATGGTAAAGTAAGCTCATACATAGCGACATATATGTAAAGGAAGACATGAAAACATACTTATCCGGATAGTCTCCAATCGCCCAATACGATATACAGCCAATGCAAAATGTAAGAAGACCTTCGATAATGAAGATCCATGACCATCCACCTTTACCACCTACTCCAGATATTTCCGAAATTCCACGAGCAAATAGCCCACCAAATGCACCTGCGGCTGTAGCCATAGCAAAAAATAATGCCATACGGAAACCACATTCATGTCGAGGATACCACATCGTGATATAGTAGACCACACCAGGATATAAACCACCTTCCGCAATGCCTAAGAAGCATCTGGCAACAAGCAATCCGGCAAAGTCATGTACCAGACCCTGGCAAACCATAACAACGGACCAAAACAACACGATGCCTGTCAACCAGATATTCGGACGAATTTTTTTAATTATCATATTGCTAGGAACCCCTACAGCAACGTAGAAAGGGAAGAACACAGATAGAGCAATGTTATAGTCGAGACCAGCCATATGAAGATCCTTTTCCAGTCCTTCGAGTCGTGCATTTCCAACGTTGGTACGATCGAGAAAGCAGACCCTGATTAGTGTTAGCAATTATAGACATACCAATAAGCAGCCATACAGATAAATTGTAGCAAGGATTGGCATGAGGCGGAGATCAAGCTTCTTGACCAGCTTCTTTATTGCAGCGTTGTCAAAGCCAGTTGAAGTAATAGTATCACCGGAATGAGACTTGGATATCTTTTCTTCATCATGGATCTGGACTTCATTAGATACTCTAGTACTCATCCTATTGTTCCCATTTGAAATCCTTTCTTCGTCATAGTGAAATTGTAGTCCGGCAAGAACACCTGAGCTTATCCTGTGAAGGGTATTGGACATATTGTTGAAAGGTTAAGGATTGAATTTTGAGGGTAGGGTATGAATTCTAGCTTTCGTCGCGAAATCTGTTTAGGCTGTGGTGATTTCCTTATATAAACCGATTGATACCGTGAGGGACCAGTCAATGTATGCACATCCAACCCTGAAATCGGAATTGGTATGAATTACCGAGCAGTTATATAACATAACAGCATGCAACGCAACCAAGTGCAATGAGGAAAGGAGGAAAGATAACGTACCTATCATAGGAGCATTCCCCATTCGGATCTTGCCATTGAACGATAAGAGATATAACTATCGTATATTGTCTATCATCCAATTGAACAGCTCATAGGAGAGCTTAGTGAAGCTCGCGTAAAATAGCGAATTCAAATGTCCCTTCAGATATTATTGCAAAGAACACATATACATTGAAGATCAAGTCATGCGTTTCTACGAAACAACCTGCTGAAAGAGATGTCCACCATTTGAAAGGCATTAAGAATCCTCCGTTGCGCCAATTCTCGGATACAACGTAACAGAGATATCAAATGTCTGAAACCAGACATGGGTAACCTTGAGAAGACAAGGCGCAGATGAATTCCATTAAATGAAGCAAGTATTTTGAAAGCAGATCCCACGATAGGAAACAAATTTGATTTCACATTGCCACGATAACGGAAAGTGTTCTACACGAGGACCTAGTACAATGTTGCAGCCATTACTCGTAATATTGTAGTAACAAGAGTGAAAACTTGGAAATGTAAATGTTCACACGCCCACGGCACCTTGTATCATAGCACATCAATAGACTCAGCTTGAATGCAATGTGTGACATAAACACAACATGGTTACTTTGGTGACAAGGTAATTTGAGGGCTTGAACAGGTTTAGGTAAAGGGTTCAAACACTGACATGCCACACCTCGATTTGCCTGAGGGATGCGACGACTCCCGGAAGGTTCTATCTATCATGCTGCACTTGCTGAGCCCATGGTCCATGATATATGCATAGGAAATCGGTCAAATCAGTTGTGGGGGTTTCGAAGCGGCAGGAGACAACTAAACCGGATGAAGATTGAAGTTACACTGGTATCTCAAAAACTCCGTGATAAGTGTACATTGGATGTGGTTGACATAGCGCATCCATGAGCTTAAAGGTAAGTTCTAAGGGTTTTCTTGCCTCAGGCATAACTTCAAAGAACCCCGTCGCGTCCATTTCTCAATCACTTGTTTTCGTAGTCCAGCGAGAGTCAAAATAGTTACACAATTCAACATGGCTCTACCTTCACCTCCTGGATTAACGCCAATGGAAGTTGCATTTCTATGTGAAATGGAAATGGTTACAGTCGTCCCTCGACAAAGACTTGAGAGTCTCGATTTATTAGGTGTAAGCTACCCCGCCATTTACCCCTCCAACAACAAATACAATACTCAAAAACTCGAAGCTTATATCAAACCTTCCGCCTCTAGGGCAAGACACCTTCTCTAAGGCCACCGCATCGTGCACCTTTACCTCTATGGCTCGCTCTGTTACTCAAACGACAGCGTCGCGCGAATATCCTACCACCTCCATGGCTTCATCCTCAATCTCTCGATAGAATCCTCAAAATGGAAACTGATAATCCTGAAGGCTTTTCCCCTCCTCCTTCTCTAGATCCTCGCACACCATCCACAGTATCTCCTCCATTCCTTCCTTCGAATACGGCAGATTCTTCACCAGATTGTTTACCATACCATTGGATTGATATGGGCGAAATATTACTAGAAGCTGCGGGTGATGATATACAGGATCCGGATAAAGTTCGAGAACTACTTAGAGATTTAAGGGAAGTGAGAATGGCAAAAATGAGGAGCAGTACGCTAGCAGTTGAAGGAGGCGGCTTGACTAGTCTACAAGGTGTTGGTGCAATGGAGGTTAGTGAAGGACGAGGGTTCATTACAGGAGTTATGGATGGACTACGAAAATTAGGAGCTTCTAGGGAAGTTTCCAGGAGGGAAAAAGAACAAGAAGGTGCTGAGAGCGGAGGTGATGGTAATAGTGAGGATGAAGGTATGGAGTTATGATCAAGATGAAATTGGTTCTGCGGCATTTATGATATACTGGGAGGATTGGCGTTGAAAGGATATTATGGTATATACCAGGTTTGTACTGTATATTTGGATGATGGGCAAGCGTTTTACGCCATGAAGGATGTGATGGCTTGCCAGATTTGCAAGACTAGTTAACATCTAGTGTGTGGTACTAAATTCACGATCGCGTCATGCTTTTCATCATTCTTTTTCTGCAGCATTTCAAAAGACAGGAGATTCGTCCTTGTTAGACTATTCAATGCAGTGATATATATTAAAATGATCTTCATGACATATACGGAGGGACTGGCTGTAAATATTGTTATACTGCCCTGTTCTGCTGGCAAATTATTGTTTATATAATTTTTGAAGCGTTTATTGTCGGCTTGCCGACACCAAAACCTTGCTGTATGCGAGGCTTACCCGGTATAAGTGATAGAAAATGAAAAACTCGCTTAAGTGAGTCGCGATCCTGATAATCTGATTGGTCTAAAATACCCCAATAAATAATCTAACAAAAAGCTTCATATAAGTCTTACAACCTTAAGTAAATCTGACTTGAAACTTTTTTCAATTCTATTAAAATGATTTAATTTTATTTATTAAATTCATCTTATTCAATTCATCTCATTCAATTTAAAATAATAATAATAATAATATAAATATTATAAAATATTATTATTATTTTTAAATAAAAAAATTTAATTTTCAATTATCAAAAACAAATTAATATTCTGTCTACATTTTAATATATGTTTAATATTTGAATTTATTATAAACTTTCTTGAAAAGCCAGGGGTCCAGGGGGCGCAGGCCCCTGGTAAAATCCTTACAAAAATCAATTTTTTTTATATAAAAATTAAATATCAAATAAATTGAATTGAAATTTTGAAATATAATTAATTATAAAGTTATTACAAGAAAACTTGTAATTTATTTTTAATTATTTAAGTTCAAAAAGATATAAAATTTCATCTGTATAAGATTTTTGTTATACAAAATAAATGAAAATTTTAAAAAATTTGGAATTTTTATTTTTAATCTTATATATCTTTTTAATAAATTTCAATTGATTAATTTTAACTTTCTTCAAATTTATTTATTTTATTTTATATAAAAATTTAATAAAGATTTAAAAAAGTGAATAAATTAAAGTTTTAAATAAAAAACATTATATTATACAATGAAAGTTTAAAACTTTTATAATTTAAAGATTAATTAATAAATATTATATTTTATAAAGAGAAAAATTTCTATAAATTTTTTTTAATTATAATAATTTATATATAATATTAATTTTTATTTTTAATATGAGAAATTAAAATATTTTGATTAATTAATTAAATTTTTATTAAATAATAAAATCAATTTTTGATATTTTATAAAATAGTAAAGAAAGTGAAGTTGTTTATTTAATTATTATAAATGAGGAGTGCATCCGAGAAAGATTCGACGAGACTTGTCAGTCATTTTCTGGGGAACATGCAGTATAACATTGTGGATTAATATTAAGAAGTTCACAGGTAGATTTCTAAGCTGCGCGTGTAATGTCCTTATTTCGATCCCGAAGAAGAGACACAGGACTGTCCATCAAAAACACGGTATTTTCACCGCTATATATTGTAAAAGTGGTAGATCGAGATACGTGCATCCCGGTAGCATATTATGAAAAGGGAATTGGAAGAGAAAGCTGAATTAGATTATATTGTAATACATCATTTATAAAGAAAACGAAATTCATAATGATTTTGAAGTTGATATTATATAGGTTTAAATGTATATATATAAAAGGTTAATTATTATAAAAAGAAAAAGCAAAAGTTCTCCTTTTATATTTAATTACAGAAGGTTATGTGATTGATTGGTTAAAAACCTCTATGTATTTGGCCTATAATTCCAACTTTCTTATAATACTATCAGTACAGCACAGCCATTAATACCAGAGACCAGAAACAAAACATATACCTAGTAAGGTACATTACAGCATGAACTTTGAGTCAAATCCTAGCGACGTACCACGGCTGCGGAAGTAAAAAGTCTCAACGCTAGAAATGATTTAATTCCTCCTGTAACTTTTCAGTCTGTGATTTGTATAAAGATGCGGAGTTTTGTTTCTCCTGCCTATGCCATAACTCGTTGTCGTGCAAAAGGGCAACAGCAACGAGTCTCACACCGTGCATGTCCGTTTTCATGTCCATTTAATGTCTCACCTAGGACAGCAACAGAGTTTGGCTAATCCGATAAAATGATATATCGGAGTATTTGAAAATAGTGTAACGAAATGGTGAGCGAGGGACTTTTCAATTGAGGATAATTACGTATATGCAGAAACATTAGTTTGGGGTGGTGCAATCAGATCATTTTTCCACGCGCTCTGTCATCTTCTCCCCCCCTGGCGTAATTTTTTAACCCAGTACTTGGTTCATCATCTAATTAGGCATTTACTGAGAGCTCCCAGTGATAATACTCTCGAATTATAATTTTAGGTAGAGTTGTAATATTACTACAGGAAATCCCACTATACTTTCTGTCATTACTATGTGCAATGTTATTTTACCTTCATGTACCTAGCTATCATTTACTTCTTTTCTTCTGCCACAGTACCGTATTTTCCAATTTTGCGTAGTACACTATCATATTATGCTCATTCTATCCTCTTCCTTCGTTTAGTTGAACTGCATCATTCAAATTCTTTAGCTCATTAGTGACTTATATCCATATTCTACTCGACCCCGTATCCAATTTTTCGATAAGCGATGGTTAGTAAGATCTTACAACATAAGTCTTACCGAGCCTTAACCACGACAGGTCTTGACATGTACACTGCGAGATGAACACCGACTATGAGGAGAGATTACAATTCACATGTGATTAACAGAACCCGTAGGAGTCTGGGTGCAAGTGGCTAATTTTCTTTTCAGAATGCTGAAATATAATGTGTATTATTGCTACTAATGAAATGTTCACTCAAAATAACTCCATATTTAAAAGGATGAAGATATATCTCTTGACTTCAAGCAACTGGACCGAAGTGTAATATCGAAGTTCATCCCATTTTATACCCAATCCATCCCCTGTCCGCAGTTCATTCTTAGTTACTTCACTCTCTTTAATCCACCATGATCCGAATTTCAATTTAATCTTGCTCTCAATTTGTCTTCGATCATGATTATACTGTACCTTTCATTTTTCTTCTTCATCCCTTCATCCACCTCGCACTTCAGCACTACCTTCTCCTCTTTTTCAGCATTTTTTATTTGATTCTCAAAAATTTTCCCTTACATTCAATAAGAAAAAAGAATCAGAGTTTCCACCATTATCTTCACAACAATTGCTTTAAACCAAAGCTCACACGTACATTCATAACCTAATTTTGTAGCTCAAACTGGAAATCTAGTCATGATTCTTGTAGAAGAGAATTAACCACATGAACAAGCAGAAATGCTCATACACATTCAAAATCAAAAACAAATACTGCTCTCTCAAAGAATCAAAACCATGCATTCATTACTAATTCTCAGACTCATCTAGCCTCAGCAACCCTCAAAACCTCAAACCCTAAACCTTTATTAAAACTATATCTCCTCCTAATCCTTACCTCCATCTCCACTTCTTCTTCATCACTATCTGATCTGCATCTTTCTTTTCCGGAGCCTCTTTCTCTTCCACTGCTCTCCCGCTTTCGCCTAGTAACGTAATATACTGTTCTTCTCGTGCCTTCAGCTCTATCTTTATGTTTGTCTTTATCTATACCTCTATCTTTTTCCCTTTCTCTAGAGCTTGATCTAGACACTAGGCGAGGAATACTCCTCCTTACATAACTGACTCTTTCTGTGCTCTTCTCTCTTTCTCTACTTCTTCCTCTCGCTCCGCTATCTCCAAGCCTATTTCTATCCATATATTTAAACACTCTTTCGCCTTCCCTTACCTTAAAAACAGGTTTCGGTTTTGGTGATGGGACCCGGGTTATATATTCATATTCCACCACTCTTTCCCTCTTTCTACTTCTTTCACCTCTACTCCCTGTTCTCGTGCCCCCCTTTCCCAGCCCGGCCCTGACCTAATAAAATCTTCATAATAAGCTGTAGGTGTCCTATCTCTTACCCCCACATTTTTTTCTCGGCTTCGGCCTCTGCTTCCTTCTCTCTCACAGGCCCTCTGACGACAACAACACCGTTCACCATCATCCCGTATCTTACAACAAACCCTAGAATCTCTGCCCCTTTTACCCTCAGACCTCCCATCACCAACACAAACTCGTACCGTACTTGCTGCGGCGATTGGAACTGGTGGTGTCGGAGTATAATAATAATATTCCTCATACCCGCCAGGCCCCCCAGAATCCCTATATCGGTGTCTTCCCGGACTATAATATCGCGAAGCCGGTATAAATGTGCTACATGGACTATAGATATATCGCCCCGTAGCAGAATTACACGAAATCGATATATCGACCTCTAACTCCCTCCTTCTCGAGTCTGGATGCCGTATTGAGCGTGGAGTTGTTGCGGAGGAGGAAGAGGATGATGACGTCGTTCTCTCCGTGGTGTATCTCTGTATTTTGATGTTGATCTCGATCTCGATCTTGATGATGAATAATAATGTCCGGATCTTGAAGGGGAACGATAAATGGGTGTTACATGGGTCTCTATCGTTCGAGACATAGTTTTAAGAAGATAGTTCCAGCGATTAACTCTTGAAATTTGAAGTTTGATAGAAGATGTATAGGGATTGAGAAAAGAAAAGAAAGAGAAAGAACCAAGGTGGGAGGTGGGAGATATCGGTATCGGAAGTGGTTCGATTGGTGGAAGTGAATAATTAGACTATGAAGCGGTCAAAATGTGATATACGCGTAATAGTGTAAAAAAGTATGGATATTGTAATATACTGGTTCTTGGTGCTTCAGAGCAGCGAAGGAGTGACTGAGATGGATGAAGATCCATACGAATTTGGTACCTAGTGCCTACAAACGCTTGCTTTTTCTAGATATTTGGAGTTGCATAATCATCTCGAAGTAGCAATTCTAAGACATTAATGAGTTTCTATACAAATCGCATTGAAAGATGGATGTTATTGTAGTTTTCCTGAGGAGATATATAATTGAACATATGACAGGAGTATTTATGAGCACCAGCCAAAATATGCGCAACTAGCCCTGTGAAGCAAAAGAGATCTTACCCGAAAGAAATCCCAAAACAACACCCACGAAAGAAAGAATAAGAATTCAAACTTGTCCAACAATATACACAGTACACATCCCCCACTCCTCAGCCCTCAGACGCATACATCCTAGCTCGATACCCATTGATCCCTCTATGGCTATCACATTCCTAGCTAAACGTTGACCCTCTTCAATTTAACCCGCAACTCCGGGCTCCGCCAAGTCGTAAACATCTTACTCCTCTCCAACCAAGTGCTAATTTCTTTGCCTCCCTCCAAATCAAAACTCCAAACAACATTTGCAATCAAGGTTCTTATTTCCGCATATGCCAAATTCTTACCTATACAATTTGAAGGACCCAAACTAAAAGGCTTTTTTGCCTTTTTATCATCATTTTCAAAGATTTTAGGATCGGCAAGCTTCATATCTGGAAATGCAGTTCGGAGTTCTTCGACATCTTGGGAACTGAGCCAGCGTTCGGGATGGAATTCCTCTGCTAAGTGAAAATTTTTGGGAGAATGATGAGCAGCCCAGTAGCTGACGCCGACAATTGCTCCAGCGGGAACGAATCTTCCGGCGACAATCCCTCCATCTTCAGGCACTACGCGAGGCAAAGTGCCGGGGCCGGGTGGATAGATGCGGAGAGCTTCATCGACGACTGCGCCGAGGTATTTGCATGCAGCGAGGGCGTTGAGAGTAATGTCTTTTTGGGTCTTGAAGGCGCTTCTTAATTCGATTGTCAAATTTTGAAGGGCTGTTGGTGTTTGAAGAAGAAAGTATGTTAAGCCGTTGAGAAGAGTTGCGGTCTTAATCGTATTAGTACCGTTTGAAACAAATCAAGGAATGAGGGAATATATACCGTTTCACCACCAGCGATAATCAAAACGCTTGCATTTTCCCGGATCTCATCAAGGGTCATCCCTTTATCCGTATCATTGTGCTTCAGGATAAAACTCATGAAATCTGGTCTATCTTGCGCACTATTCATTCTTCGCTCCGCTTTGGCGCCCGCGAGCTTTCTGTGCTCATTAAATCCATTTAATAGGCTACTTGGAATCAAAAGACGAAAGAGGAAGCGAACAAATGGGTAATGTGCTAACTCATTCACTATAAAGTCAATGCTAAGAACTTGTTTAATTATCTCGATCCATGGGTGCATTTGTCCAGTTTCGACACATTTGAAAGATTCTCCAAATGCGAGATCGCCGATTAGATCAAAGGTGGTATAAGTGTACCATTCACCTAGATCGATGCTATTATCCGAGGTGAGAGAAGAGAATTTGATGAGTCCAGAAATGAATTCTCGGGCATACTCTTGGATGAGGGGTTCCTGAGCTACGAGGGCTTTGTCGGAAAAAGCGTGCGTTTGAACACGACGTAATCTTCGATGGTTTTCTCCCGAAGAGTTCGCTCTTTCATCACAAATGTCAGCGCTTCAAATTTAGTTTTAGATGAGGTGGATGACTCACATATGTATTGGTTGATTTGGACCAGGTCCTCGTTCAGTCAGATCTTTATCAAAATTCTTCTTGTGGTGCCCTTTTACAAAACCATAAATATCCTCGAAGGCTTCAGACGTGTTGTATTGTAGATAGTGGGGAGCAATTCTAACTACATCACCATATTGATCATGAAGCTCTTTAATCTTCTGTGGAAGATTCCCCTTGATCTTGTAATAAGTAATGGGAAATCTACAAACTACCCATAGTTTCGGTCCTGGGTATGATTTCAATGGATGGAAAAAGAGGTTATAAATGGCATAACTGAGAAGATAGAATGAGGATGCAGCAGCAGCTACTACTACTACGTTACCGATGGAATACATTTTTGAACCACTGGAGCTCGAGTTGCTTGAATAATAATTGCTTTATGAGCTGGAACACCGTCGACTTATGTACCGTATAAACTCAGCAACTTCGTAACATACTAAGTCTATTTCGGGATAAGGTTTTTCGGTTCAGTAGAAAGCTATACTCATTTTGGGATTAACTTGATATCAAATTCAAAAATGGGGGTAATCAACTGTATAGAGCAGGATTCGTTTTATTCGATTTGATTTTTGATTAATCAAAGGCGATAATTATAATTATTGATATTATATATAATTTCAATAAATTGAAATAAAATATAATATATAAATAATATTATAAAATTTCAAAAAATTATATTTATAAATAAGAAAGTTATAAAAATTGATTTTCGTCATTTTTGATATGAAAAGATGGCCGAAAAGTGGGGTACTAGACTTATTCTATTGAATACCTGCAAATCATCTGGTTGATTGTATTTAAGGTTGGAGATTGACGGTATCGAGAACAATTGGACAGATTGAGGTTTTGAATTATTCCATTATAGAAGCTTTTCTATTTCATCAGGCCAATGCAATATTTCCTCAAGAATAACGGCTTAGAAAACTTGGTCTGTGATAGTATTGTAGTTTCAGTCATATGTCTATATAGCATTATATCGATCGTTTCTCCACAGCTTAGTCCAGTAGAGATATTGAAGCAAAATTAATGTCATTTTAACACTGTAGAGATTTAGAATTCTAAAAACTCTAAAATAAACATTTTAAATAATTATATTATAGTAAAAAGAGAGTCTCAAACTATTATATAATAATAAAACAAGTATTTTAATTAATCAAATAAAATAGAATAATAATTTTAAAGATTATAATATCTTAAAGTTTGAATTCTAAAGAAAGAATCCAGGGATTAATATTCTAAAATGAATAATTTAAAAAATTGAATTATATAATAAATAATATAGATAATTATATTATTCAAATTATTCTTTATATAATAAATAATATAAATAATTGAATTATTTCAATTATTCTTAAAATAAAATTAATATATAATTAATAGTTATTTTATAATATAAAAGCTTTATACTCAATTTAATTATCCATTAGTTTATTTATATTCTATTTAATCTAATAACGATTTTATTTTCAAATGAATATCAATAATATAACCTTAACCTACAACTATTGTAAAGAAATGAGGTGCCAGGGGCCCGGCACGGGCCAACTAGATTAGCCGGCAGGTGACCGTAGGTCACCTGCCAGCCCGAATAGGGCTAGTGGTAACCCTACGGGTTATATAAACAACCTGTAGGGTTGTACAATAAAAAACAGTGAAACCAATTCTTCTAAATCTGATTTAATAACTCTGTGATTCTTCACAACTATCAACTAGATAAACCTAAGACAATCGCTGCCCGATAGTACCGGAACGTTACAGTATGCTAGGGTTCCGAACTCTAGCGTTCGTACAAGGGCGGCCACCGAGCGGTCACCGCTCGGAGTTTAGTCGAGCAGGTGTGGGCCCTATAGAGGGCCGATCCATGTGATCGGGCCTAGACCCTGTAACATTTATATTGAATAAGTTTTTATCTTGAAATTTTTATTATAAATTCATTTTTTATATAATAATAAACTTTAAACAGTTTGAGTTTTTTACAATTTTATTAATTGAGATATTAATAATTAAAATTTTTAATTTTTAATTTATATTTAATTTATTATCAACTTGTCAATACTATAACCTTATTATATATAAGGTTTACTTAGTGAGTGATAGAAAATAAGAAACTTGTTTAAGTGAGTCACGATCCTGATAATTTGACTGGTTTAAAATACCCCGGTAAATACCCGGTAAATACTCTGGTAAATAATCAAATAAAAAGCTTGGTATAAGCCTTACAATTTTAGATAAATCTGACTTGGAGCTTTTTTTAATTCAATTTTATTGAAATCATTCAATTTTAAAATCATTCAATTTATAATAATAATAATAATAATAATAATAATAATAATAATAATAATAAATATTATAAACAATATAAAATATTATTATTAATATTATTATTTTTAAAAAATTTAATTTCCAATTATCAAAAACAAATCGAAATTCTATTTGTATTATAATATTGTAAGAAAGTTAGAATTATAAATCAAATATATAGAGGTTTTTAACCAATCAATCATATAACCTTTTGTAGTTAGATATAAAAGAAGAGCTTTTACTTCTTCTTTGAATATAATCAATCTTTTATATATATATATTTGAATCTATATAATATCAACCCTAAAATCATTATAAACTTTGTTTTCTTTATAAGTGATATATTACAATATAATCTAATTCAACTTTCTTTTCCAATTCCCTCTTTATAATATATTATCAGGATGTATATATCTCGACCTACTACTTTTACAATATATAGTCAATATGTAAATTTATTATAAACTTTTTAAAACTTAAATTTTTATTAGACTTTCTCAAAAAGCCAGGGGTCCGAGGGGCGCAGGCCCCTGGTATTATATTATATTCAATCAAATAAAATCAAATTCAAATCTTTATAAATAAATTTTATTTAATTTTATAAATCTAATATTTTTCTTTCAAAATATGTAATTATTTGATTGAAAAAGTTTTAAATTATAAGTATTTGTTAGATTGTACAGTATAAATTAATTGTAGGTTTTAAAGAGTATAAAAAATAACTATAAGAAGTGTAGTGAATCTATTATTATTTTTAATTTTGAAAAGACTGAAGTCAAAGCTCGTTATACCAGGGGCCTGCGCCCCCCGGACCCCTGGCTTTTCGAGAAAGTCTAATGAAAATTTAAGTTTTAAAAAGTTTATAATAAATTCAAATATTGAATATATATCAAGGTGCAGATAGAATATTAGTTTGTTTTTGATAATTGAAAATTAATATATTTTTTTTAAAAATAATAATAATACATTATATTATTATTTATTGTTTATTACTATTATTATTATTTTGAGTTGAATTAAATGATTTAAATAATTTCAATTGAATTGTAAATTGAGTTAAATGATTTCAATAGAGATGAAAATATTTTCAAGTCAGATTTGTCTGAGGTTGTAAGGCTTGTTTATGTCAAGCTTTTTGTTAGATTTATTTACCGGGGTATTTTAGACCAATCAGATTATCACGATCGCGACTCACTTAAACGAGTTTCTTATTTTCTACTATTTATATCAAGTAAATCTTATATACAACAAGGTTTTAGTATCGGCAAACTGACAATTAATCTTTGAATATTAAATAAAATAGATAATTAATCTATCTAATCTATCTTTTCAAATAATTATTTAATTTATTTAATCTATTTAATATTATATAATTTGATTTTTCAGACTATTTGTTTCAAAACATTAATTCTAAGATCCTTTTCTTAAAACTCAAATCTCAGGATATTATAATCTTTAAAACTATTGTTCTATTTTATTTTTATATAATGATCTGAGAGCTTTCCTTTTATTATATTATAATTGTTTAAAATATTTACTTTAAAGTTTTTAGAATCTTTATTATATATAATAGAAGTCGATAGTTAAATCTCTTATATCTATACTATTATTATAATATAGATTCATAATAGAAATTTTATTAAAAAAACATCAAACTTAATTATAATAATAAATATATTATCTAGGAAACACCCAACTACACTCTTTAAAAATCCTTGTTTAAGTACTCAATTAATATATCACAAGGCTTTAAAACAGATTAATATAAAAAAAAGACTATCTTGATACCTCTCTCATTCACAGCTCACATCATGTATTATATATATATAAACACAGAGATTAGTTTAATTTTTTTTGTACAAGATGACTTATCTGCGAGTAATGTAAATCATGAACCGCTAAGTATTACTGATAGTAGTTGCTCCTAGCTAATTATAGGTTGATATAACTAAACGCCTCACCAACTTTGACTCGGTGCTAAAAGTTGCTAGTTAACAAAGAGTTCATTTTATAATCTTACCTCGAGTTTTAACATTATAACATGAATTTTAGTTAGGTATTTGAGGGTCGGGGAGGAAATGGGGTGGGGTTTGTTGTTGTTGGGTGGGTGTTAAAGGAGTAATTATACTTCACGTGCTACTACTTCGACTGAAAAGCTAAATGTGTAGTTTCCAGCGTTGAATCGGCTGGAAGAGCGGAGATAAGGGAACAAAGAAGAATGAGGAATTCGAATGAGCCTCATTTTTTGCCAATGTTTGAAGAGAAGGAGAGATACAGAAAGAAATACAGTAGAGTCTTGCAAGGAAAGAAAAGAAAGAGCTTTGCCTCTTGTCATTCTTGCTTTGCGCTTTCCTCCATCTCACAAAAACTCCCTGTTATTCTACTTATTTTCTCTGACATAGAGGTTCCCTTCATCTGTTTCTACTCTATCATTTCTACTTTCACTTCTCACAATACCGTTCTCAGCCGTGATAACCTTACGGGCTGGTATTTTCCATTTAAACCACCGAAGTTAATCTGCTAAATCCAATCTAATCTCATTTTTCAAAAAAACACGATTCGGCCCAACACTGGAAAATTTCCTGTTACATCCTGTAGTATAAGGAAGTAAGTGTGCTATTATCCACTGGCCGCTGTCCAGCCAAGTGGCTTTTGTCCCTACGGTATATACTTACTAACATCATTATCCACGCATCAGTTTGTTGTTTCTACCGAATCGCAATCCAATTTACTATCCGCCCATAGTCGGTAAACCAAATCTGTCTAAGTTTCCTACTGTAGATCACTTTCTGCTGTATTAGCAAACGTGTTAAAAGAGGCACTTTGCTTTTGTAAATCTCATATCTATCTCCCTTGTAAAACACACAACTATCTTCAAGCCCAATTTGCGTTCAAGAACAACAACTTCCTACTCTAATTTGCCTTTATTTTGAGAATAAGACAAAGAGATTCTTGAGTTTTGCTGGTTGTCTAGCATGACAATGGAGAGCCAATCTGAGCGAAAATGCTTAGTAAAGGTTTCACCGGAGGAAAGAAGTTCCCAAAAATCCACATCAAAGAGAAGAAGATCACAAGATTCCGAAGTTAGTATTATTAACTTATCAAGGATATTGTATCTGCTCTAGAATGTTCAAGCCGGCGCCCATCTTCCTTGTTCCACATCTTCTGTCCTACAACTAGGCTCACCGCATCTTCTAGAAACTATACTAACACTTAATACTTTTGCTACAGGATGGAACAAACACTAGTAACTCCAATCGGCGCAAGAGGGCGCTCACCATAGATCCATCCACATTTATGAATTCAAATCCAGCAGAAAAACAGTATCTAGAATTGCAAGCATGTTCCAAAACCTTTGACAGAGATTTCAAAAAGCTCGCCGCAATTGACAACATCATAGAGGATGTCCTTGACAAACATCGTAAGCTGTTAGTGAGTGTTACTATTCAAGCAATGCCACGAATATCAACGCTAATATTTGTCGCCTTTAGGATGATAACATGACCAACTTCAGAAATGATTTCCCACATATGACTGAATTTGTGTGGCGTGACTTCTTGAAAGCTGCATCAAACAATCAACTTCTTGACCAGCTAGATGGCTGTCGCAGGGAGAACGAGATTATTTGCATGGATTCCCGGAAGAAGCTTGCGGAGATGAGTGGGAATTTAAAGAATGTTCGTTTATCACTTGACTATACAATATGAGTACATTTACTGACATCGATCAGGAGTACCCGAACTTTAAGTCTCAAGACTATAACATTTATGTTGCCAGTCATGCAGATTCCGCTATTACTGATAACGAGCAATTGGCTGCATTCTTCGCAAATCGTTCGCCCAAGGATGTTGCCAAGGACTACAAGAAGTTGCCGAGATTCAGAATAACAAGGTGTGAGGAGATCCATTCTAGAGCTGAGCTTCCTCCGGCATATAGAGCTTCGCTCGAGCGTGCACGACGATTTCCCGACCATCTCGGTCTCATCTCATATGACACCGCAGGGGTTATACATAAGATAAGGAATACACAAAGTAGAAGGGACAACGACAAATTTTGCGTCACCTTGGATGATATTTGGATCTATAATGAGACGAGGAAAAAATATGAGCCGCATCCAAATCAACAGATCTTCCACAGTGCTTTTCAGCTCGAGTACTATCATTTGCAAAGGAGAAAAATAGTCTATGTCGAAATTTCAGAAGAAGACCTGCCAAAGACAAGTCGCTCAACACAAATTTAAATCCTCCAAACCATTCAAATTCATCTCAGTAATTGGACTACGAAATCACTAGAGAACATGGGTAACTCGGGTTGATCATCTGACTTAGGGGATATTTCGAGAAAATGCCGTCGAGCTCGAGCTACCGTTTCAGACACAAGGAAGCGTGGCGAAAGTATGGTGTCTTTCATTTGACTTCTCGATGCCACGAATTACCAAAAAAAAGGGTAAAATAAAGCCCAAATCATTATTAGAAAAGATGACACAATACCAACCGCAATATTTTTGAGCAACTTTCCGTGTCAGAGACTGCCGGCGAATATCAATCAAGTCAGTATTACGTCGAAGGATCATTGGGCAAGGGAGCAAGATTGATGATGTCTGGAATCCATAATGTCGGCCATTCGAACATGAAAGATCACCTCACCATCACCTGCGTTCTCTGAGCTACTCACCACACACACACACACTCGACGACGGTTCGGTTTGTGTTTTCTTTTTATGCGTGTCGAATTTAAGATCAGATTTGCAGTTGAGACGGAGTTTGTCTAGTTCGTAGTTACATTTCTTTTGCACGATGAATTTTATGGCAGCTTCTGTCAGGCGGGGTCTGCTTTGCGATCGACTTGTACTTTCCGGCTCGCACTAGTTTAGCAATATCATACTAAGAAAATGTAACTCAGTTTCGTGCGCAAATATGATGTAGTAGGGACTAGGCTGGGTATTCGTCAATATTTGTGTTTTTGATTTGTGAGGCTATTACTGTCTACTGCACGATCTATCCTTTTCGTGATTTTGACTTCGGTGCAATGATTTCTATTTCCTGTGAAATGACAGGAACTCTAGCGCGTTTCCAATGGGGGATAGCAACACGATAATAGTATGGGATACTGACTATTCACAACTTGATCCGACGAGAACCCCCGGTTGCGTTGTCCTGCTTCACGACGGGAGACTGCTTAAACAACGATTTGTACCGAGTATTTGTTTGAATTCGTGCGTAACTGAAGGGCTGGGAGATCAAGGTTTTGAGGAATCTTGGCTTAACCTACCAAGTTCCTTTCGCAGATATGTTAAACTCATCGATAAAAACCCTCCCTGATCTTCTCCCCAGTCCATGTCGTGTCCCCCCCCGACTCCCGGGCCTGCAGCTCTGGAATCCAGACGCGTAACTGAACTTAGTTTTGAGGTATTCTGAACTATCAAGTAGTTCTCATATCCAGAAATAACTGAACGTTATCCCTCTTTCGAGAATCGTACTCTCGCTTCTCCTTTTCCGTTTTCTGCTCCTCGGCCTACTTTCCGAGTGGAAAACAGGGAATATTAAATATACAAGCAAAGGACAATCTTTCGTCGGCCGGCTTGTGAAGTCCCTTAATACCACAATTAAACACCACAGAACTCCAAGCCCCTTCCCGTCAGATGAAGCTTTCTGCCCCCAATTCAAGATAAGTGAGCAGGAGCAGGGCACATGTAATCTATTTTAGCCATGTTTATCTTGTGATTTTCACCCACCGGATACATCACTTTCGCTCATAAATTGAAGCGAAGATAAAACATAGCTAAGTAAAGAAGAAGAAGAAGAATTCGTTTGAGTATCATTTTCCATTTTGTATCGCTGATTTGGTATAGAAGAAAATTAAACTGGAGGGTGGAGGGATTTCGAAAACTGGCAGGTATTAGACGTTTTACTTGGACGATGAATTGAAGATTGATATAGTATAATATGAAGGTTTTCAGCGTCAAGCTGTGTTGTCTAGTTAGTAGATTGTAAAGCCGGGCTCTCGGTCATATTGGACTACCTTATGACCTCTACAACTTTCCTGTCACTGGGACCAAACATCCAGTGCAGTCAATGGTAAACGCGGATACTTATCTCCTTTTTTTTTTGTAAGAAAGATAAATTTTGACACCAACACTAGATGTAGGTATGACTGATATCTGTAATTTTGTGAAGCTTATACCAAAGCCTGACGTCTCCAGCTTGGATCAAACACCCCATTGACTCTCCATACATGTTCCACCTAACTCCATATATTATATCCTCAGAAATTCTTATTTCTTTAATTAACTCCGCAGCAAACCACAAGAATACAGGGTTCTTCACCAGGAGGACCAGACAACTCTGTCAGGTTATGATGATATGAACATGTCCCATCTGCTTCACTTATTTAACATAGAATCCCCACTGCATCCACATCCAAATCAACGTCGCGGTAGATACCGCCGCTGGCCCTGCCAATCCCTTCCCCATCTTCGCAGTACCGAACACCAACCACTCACCCATAAAATGTAACCAGGCAACAATAAACGTCGCGTACCCCAATTGATATATTTGTGGATTATTGATGTGGTATGCAGCCTGAAGACGCACAATCGCGGTGATGAGAGTCCATGTCCCGAATGTGCGAGAAGAAAGAGGTGTCGCGGAGGTGGTCGGAGGGTAGGATTGAGAGGTGCTTTTGCTGAGAGGAGTGTTGGATTTAGGAATTGCGTTGTAGATCTGGGAGTTAAAGTGGAGAGTGAAGTAGCATTGAACTGTATTGAAGAGGGACGTTATGGAGATCTGGAGAAGTGATGGGGTTAGTCCAGGATTTATGTACAAGGACAGTGAGTAATACTCACGAAGAGAAGCCACTGCGGGAGTACACCTTCATGTTGAGGTAGATAGCTGGTGAGGGTAGTGAGGAAACCCATATTGCGTGGGTATATTTGAAAATATGATTTCTGATGGAATTGGAGATGTATAACGGTATGTATATGTGGTGGTGATTAGGTAAATGTTATATTATCGATCAATATTATCAAATAGATCTCGAACATTTTATATGCAATATGAAGCATGAAGTATGAAGTGTGGATGGAGTGAAGAATAGATAAACAAAAATAAAAAAGTTCAGCCTCGTACAAGGGCTCGGAACTGGTTCCCGTCCCGTGTTATCGACCAATAAATAAATTTACTTATTTTGGTAAAGTTACCTTGCTCCTGCCAATAAGTGAGAAGAGAGCTCTTGTCTACTGGGTACTAAGTGAATAGCTAGCTAGCAGCTAATCTAATCTCAACATTTATCCCCTCCCTCCTCTCCTCCCTCCTCTCCTCCCTCTTCACAACAAGAAAGTTCCCCCACCTCCACCAATTCACACCAATTCCTTCCCATTCATTGTCAATTGACAAAATGGTTCTCGATACTATTCTGTCATATGTGCCAAAAGTTGTCCTCACCGGGCTTGCTGGTATTGGAGCTTTCATAGTCGCTGGAAAAGTCATCAGCTATATCCGGCTTTTGTTAAGTCTATTCGTCCTATCCGGAAAAAATGTAAGGATCCTTGATAAATTCATAAGCCAACTAACTGTTTGAGTCGGGATTAATTCTGTATGGTTGGCTAATCAAGACAATAACAGCTTCGTACCTATGGAAAGAAGGGAACTTGGGCAGTAGTAACTGGAGCTTCTGATGGCCTCGGCAAAGAATATGCAATTCAACTTGCCCAGAAAGGCTTCAATATTGTTCTCATCTCCCGCACCGAATCAAAACTTCAAACCCTTGCCTCCGAGATCCAAACCAAATATGCTGGTTCAAATACTCAGACAAAGATTCTTGCAATGGATTTTGCTGCAAACAGGGATGAGGATTATGCAAAATTGAAGGCTCTTGTTGATGGACTTGATGTAGGAATCTTAGTCAATAATGTTGGACAGAGTCACAGCATTCCAGTTCCATTTATTCAAACTCCAAAGGGGGAGATGAGGGATATTATCACCATCAACTGCATAGGTACACTTCGAGTTACTCAAATTGTAGCACCCGGAATGGTTCAACGCAAACGAGGATTGATTTTGACCATGGGTTCATTTGGTGGATGGTTACCTACTCCTTTACTGGCCACCTATTCTGGAAGCAAGGCATTCTTACAACAATGGTCAACATCTCTCGGAGGTGAACTTGAGGGTACAGGCGTCGACGTAGAGTTGGTATTGAGCTACCTCGTTACAACCGCAATGAGCAAGATTCGACGTACCAGCATGTTTATACCAAATCCAAGAACATTTGTCAAGACTACTTTGGCCAAGGTTGGTAGAAGTGGAGGTGCTCAGAAGATTGCTTATACAAGTACACCATTCTGGGGCCATGCGTTAATGCAGTGGTGGTTGGAGAATACGTTGGGTGTTGGAGGATCTTTTGTGGTTAACCAAAATAAGGTTATGCATCAGAGTATCAGGACCAGAGCCTTAAAAAAGGCTGAAAGGGATGCTAAGAAGGCCTGAGTTCGATAAGCAATCCCTTCTTTACTGGATGGGAAGTCATGATGCAGTGGAGCGCTGGAGACACGGTAAGGGATGAGCTACCCAAATTGTTATATACGCGCTGCATATGCTAAGAATCTTGTGGTAGATCGAAGAAGTATTATGATGATGAGGAGGGACTCACGAGAACCATTAGATTATATATCTGATCTGATTACTCGAGGGCAAGAAGCTAAAACAATGGATGTCCATCATGGATTACGCGGTTATGCTGTTGCAGACTGGGTATGCAATACAAAAATCAATAGAAAGGCACGGCTAGACATAATAATTATTCACGGCCACTTGTTACTGTACTGATTACTTGTAGAGTGAATTGCAGGAAACCTTTCTCACTCGGGAGTAAAGGATCACTAACATTTTGTGCAGATACATCTCCCTCTGCCATCTCTCGTCTTCACTTTGATACCTCTTGCATCCATTTTTGTCTTTTTTTTTTTAAATATTCCAAACCTTGGAAAACTCGATCGGCTTCTCATTGTTTTTTGCTTTCCATATCACGTGACTCAATAAATATTTACCCTGGAAGCTTCGACCGCGTCGCGAGGCTCATCCAGAGAGTTGCAGCTCTAAACAGAAAAAAAGAACAGCTGCAGGTATAACAACCAGGACCTTGGCCTCGATCAACCTCGAATTTCACAGCCATTTTGCCTTCATCGCACAACTTCTAAAGATTATCCTATCATCACGACTCAATCGCTCTTTTCTTCATGAAGTTTTTTTAATCTTTAATTCCATCTTCTGCAGAATTCCTTCTCGCGACAGCATTTATTTCGAGATTGGTTAATTGTCAGCCGGCAAAATAAAATAAAAGATGGCTCTTCCAGGGACACCACAAAGGCCTTTACCAGGTGCATATTTCATGACACCTGCTCCTCCGAGATTCATTCAACCTCCTCCACCGCAACCTCCTCTATTTCGACCACCGCAGCCGCATTCAACTCCACCTCGAGATGGTTCAATGCCTCCTCCAATTCAAGCTCAAATCATACCGCAACCCTTATCGCCTATATCGCGAGCTGCAAAAACCATCAATGAAGTCCTACAAAGAGAATCGAGCTTTCCCGACCTCGATAGTTATGTCAAGCGTGAGTGTACTGTACATTCTTTACATGAGATACAACTAACGGTTCCGCAGAGGGCATTTCTTCCGACTATGAACTTCCATCTCCTACCTCTGATCCTGCCTGGGTTCCTTTCCAAAAGATGAGAATGTACGATATTCCCGATACGATTTACGACCAATACAATAATGCTGCTTTTGGGACTTCAATGGGTCTTTTCGCCGAGTTAAATCATGCCTGGGCTGCTATCGACAATGCGCTATATCTATGGGACTATACAAGTCCAAATCCAACGCTACGAGGATTCGAAGATCAGCCAAACGGTATTAGAGCTGTGAAACTGGTTGTACCGCGCAGAGGAGTTTTCATTAGTGCTATTACGCATATCGTGGTGGTCGCAACCACTCAAGACATTATCTTGTTGGGTGTCGCAAATGCAGTGGATGAGCATGGAAATAGAACTCTGGAGCTTTACAGAACGGGCATGACGCTATCTATTAGAGGGCTCGATGTTACAGTAATTGAGGGATCAGCAGATACAGGGCGCATATTTTTTGCGGGAGGAGCTAACCAAGTCTACGAACTTACATATCAAAATGAAGATAAATGGTTTTCGAATAAAACGGGAAAGCTCAATCACACGACTCCTGGATACACGTCCTTGGTTCCCATACCTTGGGGTCGGACGACGACCGAGGTTGTAGTGGATATGGTTGTCGATGATTCCCGTCGCCTGTTATACACTCTTTCTTCCGAATCCACCATTCGAACATTCCACATGGATAGCGCTACTACTTTAACACAAGTTATTGAGAAGAAGCGACAAGATGTCTTGAGAGATATCTCACACATGATTTCCCCCACGCCTCTTTTGTCTTCTCATATGCGAATCGTCTCAATCAGTCCCATATCTGCAAGGGAAGGAATAAAGCTTCATCTTATGGCCACTACCACATCTGGATGTAGGATATTCCTCAGTGCAACTCGTGGTTATGCTTATGGTTTCCAAAGTGGTCAGGGTGCTCCGCAGAGTATGCAGGTTCAACACATTAGATTTCCACCCAGGCTTGATCGAGCTGGAAACAGATCTTATCCGGGACTTGAACCAGCGATTGAGACCAGCTCCGAAGCTTTAGCACATACACGGAAAGGTCTTAGATATCCTCCAGGTTTCTTCTTCTGCTTTGTTTCCAAGGAGACCCGTGATGGGAGCGACGCTCTTTTCCTGTCAGCCCCAGATACTGGTCGCATAGCAGCGCAAGCAAGAGATATGACCGTTCAACAAGGATTGCGATATTGCGAATCGGCATTTTGGCTCGAGATGGGTAGCCGTGCTGAGGCTATTGGCCTTGTGACGAAACCATTCGCTGCTTCAGAGCAACCCCTGGGCTTTGGAAATGAGCTTGCAACCCAGTATGACTTGCCTACTCCGGAAGTCGCTATTATGACAAACTCTGGAATTCATATCGTTCGACGCCGACGTCTTGTGGATATATTCGCCTCCGCAATTCGAAGTGGATTCGATGACGGAGAAACGGAGATTAAGAAGTTCATTCGGCAATATGGTAGAGGAGAGACAACTGCGACCGCCTTGGCCGTCGCATGTGGACAGGGTGGTGATGCTTCGATAGTTGGAGAGAGGAGGATAGTCGACCCAGACACGATCGAAGCTGCAAGAAGAGCATTCGTCGAACATGGTGGACGTGCATCTATGGACCAGAACATGGTTATCGAAGGACCTACCCAGGCAATTGAAAATGTACGACCTTCCTCGAGACACGACGGACTTGCCCTATACATGGCGAGATTGGTCCGTAGCCTTTGGAAATCTCCTGTTATAAAATTGGAGACAAGCAAACAAGTGCTTGCTATAAAGCCAAGAATTAGCAAAAAGAAGCTAGCTGCGGTTCAGGATGAGCTTATGAAATTGTCAAAATTCTTGGAGGACAACAAGACATTCATTGAAGGGTTGTCTGGACCCGAGGGTCTCAATCGCGTCACAAGTCAGCAAGAGGACGTTGCTCTGCAAGGCGAACATCAAGCATTGCATTCCTTACAAATCCTTAACACGAGCATTGTGGAAGGAATATCTTTCGTGCAAATGTTCTTCGAGGAACGAGTCGATGATATATGGGCTGCATTGGATGATACAGCGAAACAACAGCTTCGAGAACTAACATTCGAGTTATTGTTCTCTACTGCTAACGGGAAAAATTTGGCAAAGTTATTGGTGAAAGAGATCGTGAACCGCAACATTGCTCAAGGGTCAAATGTTGACACGGTCGCGGAAGCTCTTAGAAGACGCTGTGGCACTTTCTGTAGCCCTGATGATGTCATTATTTTCAGGGCTCAGGAGCAATTGCAACGAGCAACCAGCGTCGGCCCTTCAACTGATCACGGGAGAGCACTTCTCAATGAGAGTGTTCGATTGTTTCAGGAGGTCGCGGGTGTCCTATCCCATGACAATTTGTATAGCGCTTGTTCTCAATTTGCCGCCAACAAATTCTATGCTGGTGCCATCAGCCTGGCGTTACTTGTTGCCCGCGAATCCGATCGTGGAAACAAAGCTTTGTCGTGGCTTAATGATGGGAGACCTGCTGACGATCCTCGAGCAAGCTTCTTCAATTTTCGCAAGGTCTGTTACGACATTGTGAAGGGAATTCTGACTGCTGTCGACAACGACACTGGGAACGCACCAGAAATGGTCGATGGTAGACAATCCACTCCAGCTAGAATGCGCGAGGAAGCGCATCAAGTGGTTGATGACTCAGATGATGAGGTCTTTCAATATGATCTATTTGATTGGTACCTTGGACAGGGCTGGATGGAGAGAATCATTGCTACTGATTCGCCCTTCATCGTCAAATATCTTGAGCGAACTGCTAGCGAAAGCATGGAGAATTCGGATTTACTGTGGAGATACTACGTTCATCGAGAGGACTACTCTGCCGCTGCTGGTGTACAACTTACCTTGGCTAAGAGTGAACTTCCAATCACCTTGCAAAGAAGAATCGAATACTTGAGCAGAGCCAAAGCAAACGCTCAAACACAAGGTGGTGCGGTTCATAGACAAGCACGACAAATTATGTTACATGAGGCTGGCGAGCTACTCGACGTTGCTAATATTCAACATGAATTATTGCAACGTTTGAGAGCCGATATTAGGATTACTCAAGCACGAAAAGATAATGTAGTGGCCGACCTTGATGGTGCCATTCAACCACTCTCTGTCGTATGTTCACCTTACCTTGACATTTTGCTTATAACTGCTAACTTCTTCCAGCTTTTCAATGAATATGCTGACCAAGGCCAATACTATGATATCTGTCTTCAGATTTTTGCAGCAGCCAATCACCACAATCAGGCTGATATCAAAACTATGTGGGAACAACTTCTACAATTCACACAAGCCCGTGTAGAGGAAGAACCCAAGGCACAAAGCGAACATCCATATGAAGCTATTGTCAACATTATTCGGGAGATGTCGCAAAAGCTCTCTGGATACGAGATTGTCTTCTCTCCTAGTATCCTCATTCCCCTCGTCGAAACATATGCTGCTGAACATGAACACCCAGGTCCAATGAACTGGGTTCCAGATTTGTTCCTCAGCGTTTCGTTCGATCCTGACACGATCATCAATATTTTAGAAGGGATGTTCTACAATGAAGTCAATCCGTTCGTGGGGCCCAATAGGATAGTTCTTGCAAATCACATTGTTTATGTTGCGGAACAATGGTATGAGGATTGTCTTCGACACAACAAAAGGGTTTTTGGAGGGGAAGTGCAGAAAGACATGATTGGACAACTTTTGGCAGAGTTGAGTGCCGCCGCATATAGAGATGACCCAGTGGGAAGACAGAGGATCATGGAGTTGAGAAGGAGGATTGGGTTGGGAGGATTGCGATGAGCGAGTAGCCGGGATGGATAAATTATCGGTACGGAGACGAAAAGGGGAAAATTGTAATTGGAAATGAAAATGAGTGCAGGGAAATTTCTGACAATATCTCATTGCCATGAATGGCATCCGTGGGGAATAATTTGGGCATTGAAGCTTGGAGTTGGGGTGAACTTGTTTGTGTTCTTTTGATGCTAGGTGAAGGAAAGGAAAGGTTAGTCGAACTACCCTTCTCCGTCTGTTGACAGAGAATCGTATGTTTACGTCAAATGGAGCAGTTCCATGTGCGGATACAAGGATGTAGGGCTCGTGGATGGAAAACGCTGAAGATAGATGATTGATATGCTTTGTAACTTCTATATTAGAGATGGCCTGTGTTTGGTAATGATGATTCTTATAGTCAGTGGTGGAAAGTGAAAAGGGAGGGAAAAGTTTGGTCTAGTTAGTGTGTCGGTAGAGAAGGCTAAGAGAATGAAACTAAATAGATATCATGGTAGATAAAACGTACAATTTTTGACTGCTAATTGCTTTGCGATGGGTTAGTGCCATTTTTCTGGTAAAGTGACCCGTCTATTGTGTAAATACTAGTAGTATCATACGTACATCGCGCTTGTGAAATATACTAGTGCATTGTTGCTAATTGATAGTGGCAAGGTAACCTTAATACGTTATCCAAGCGAATGCCGCTACACGCAGAGGGGTTGAAACTAATAATCATTTTTGGGACGAGATATATGCTTTCTTCATCCTTTGAATAAGGAATCGATGTCTACTGTTCACCCATACGTCGCCATGCTTTAATTATCTATGATTGGTCTCAGGCCAAGATGAATTATTTCGCAGGCGTTCGCGATCGGTTTCTCTCTGGAGATAGGCGTGGGCCCATCTTAGAAGCAGAGCATAGTATATGGTGCACGTCTGAGGTCAAGAGAGCACTTGGTATTGGTAGATGATTTCGATCGTGGAGGATAGACGCAATTAGAGTTGATGACCGAAACCCCGTAAAAATGAAAGACATTGCCTATTACGAGTCTAAATCTAGCCGTGATCCATCAATTATTCATACGAGACTTTCGGTACTACTACCGGTTTTCCTAACTGGCTTCCCATTGCTTACAGATATGTTATCATGCCACTTCACTTCAGTTTCTGTCCTTACTGCAATACCCATCTGACCTTTGTGTGGCCCGTCTCCCTTTCCCTTACCACTCTCCTCATCAGTGATATCGCTCATTTTATCATAATCTCCCCCTATATCACCGGCCCCAATCTCTGTATGCGCCGTCCTCCTGCTCATTTCGTAACCTTCCGGTCGCCGACCTGTCCGTCCCTGTCCATTTCCTTCATTAGATCTTTTGGCACTGCGTGAACGACTACTTTCTCCAAATATTTTAGGGATGATGCGCATGATGATAGGTTTAAGTGCCGGTGCACAGGCGCAAACGAATGATAAGCCGACTTCGATGGTTGAAACACAGAACAAAGTGGAGTACGAGAGGTCTGCAGGTGGGTGTCGATCGAACGCATCGAGAAGGATTATGCGGATTATGCCAATTATGACAGTCCTGAAGTATTATGTCAGATACAACTGGATTTGCTCAAGTGATGGTAGGATTTGAACAAAACTTACACGAGACCAAATGATAAGATAGCAACAAGCATTATTTTTTGACCCCGGGGAATCTGCAAATTGTAGACAATCCAGGTTGGCATCCACAAAGCCAACACATCGGTCAAAACGCTAACACTGGCTGTGCCGGTAACAAAGTTCGCGAAATTCATGCACACAGCATCAGGGTACAGTTCAGGATACCAGTTTGCTGCAATGGGAACACAATGAAAAGTCGTGAGCAGAAATGTCACAACCATCATGATACCATTGAATATCAAAAGACCAATAATCGACAGTCTGACATCGGTTTTTTGCCCGGTAAGGCGGAGGAGGAAGAGGAGGATGGAGGTCTTTACGAGGGCCAAAATAGGATTATAAAGAAGTTCGGTCTAGAAATATTAGCAACGGAATGGTTAAGGATTTGTGTCAGAGACGAACCGCATAGCCATATTTTGCGCCAGGTACAGAGCTCCAATCCTTCGGAACGTCCCACATGTGAATCCCGATACAATTATATATTACCACTACTGTTTGTTAGACAGCCTCGTTGTGGGTTAGGAAGGCTATGAAGGATTGACTTTACCTTTGTATGAAGTATATGTCTCTGCCCAGTAAAGAATCTAGAATAAAGTTCAGTGAAAGATCTTGCTAGAAGCCATGACCAAGAGATCAAAGCATGCCCTAAGCCGAAATCCAATGACAACCCTGACGGCGTATCGATGGGTGTCCAAGATAATCCCTTGTTGGGTGCTCTTTCATGGCTAGAAACTGTAAGACTTACCATCGCAAAGCAAATGACCCAATCATCTGCACAATATTAGCAGTGTTCCATTCATGAGTGGGAATGTCCTGTAGCCTTTACTAACCTGCAGCAAATGATCTAGTCAGAGATCTACTATACAACCTTAAAGCAAGCGCAATCGTAGCAATAAAAGGAAACACGAAAATTATAGCGAATGCCTGGGCCTGACGGCTATCGTGGGGAAGATCCGCGATGTCAACAGCGCTCGTAGCCATATTTAGTCGTTAAACCAGCCACAAACTTTACTCTGGGGTTCATGTAAAGATAGTGGATGGAGAAGACGACGGACCACCCTCACTGACACGAATGAGAAGAGAAACAAGAATGAACATCAAATATGGGACCACACACGCCAGCGATGAAGACACCATTTATGTGGTAAATACAATCAGCAGAGGCAGATGAAAGCAAGAAAGGGTCCATTAGCACATGGCACTACAAGGATTGAAAAGTCTGAACTTGCGAAAATAAACCGAGTCAGAATATCAGTGCTGAAATGTTGATTGAGAGCGAGGATACTTGAAACGAGGCCATGAATTTCAGGGATTTTGACAGCCAACGATGCAGCTAATTGGGAACAATGGATTGATATGGTTGTCCGTCTAAGTCTGAACCATGAGACGAGTTAGGTGAACCACGACCTCATTATGGTATGAACGTTAAGCTATCTTCCTCCATGGAAGAGATGGATCTAGCTGATCTCCTTTATCGTACCATGCTGCTTCGAGGCCAAATTTGTTCTTTACCCAGGAGTTCGGCTGCGGAAAGGTAATTCCCGCACCGCAAGACAGGGTCACGCAACAAGGTCTTCTAAGTTGTGGAGTACTGTTTTTCTTCTTTGCATCACGATTTAAATTTGAAGCTCTGTTTGTGTAACAAAGGCCAAAAGTGGGAGGCAATGATGGGCATGGGTTAAGTGCAACCCCTATTTGTCTCGCATATTTTTATACCCATATACCAGGTACCTGCCGACTACGACGCTGTAAACATGCACTACTGTACATAGAGATGGCGTCCACATGGGAAGGTGTCACCTTACTTGCCGGTACTAGACTGGGAGAAAAGTCCACCAAATGAGCGCAACGGCGCGGGTGAGGGCGGGGTTGTATCTTCTTGTGTCTGTCCACATGGATGTAAGTAGGTATATATTCGATATCAATGTGTGATATCGAAGATGGTTATATTTGGCGGATCTAGTCAATCGTTCGACGATTCGACAGTGGAACACTCCCAGGAGTCAAAGGGTCTTAGCGTGGACTGCAGATTAATCTTCTAATATGTCAAGGGTTTACGCAACAAGTCGCCAATTAGGTTCAGTGGCGTCCCGAATCCGTTAGCAACAATATGCAGTTTGTTGAACCCTAAATTGGTTCCCTTTCTGTCTTCATACCCTTGGAAATGGGACAATTTGACCAATAATAACAATTATCTCCTAGCGTGCGGAGTTTTTTATACCTTCTGAACGCACGAGTTATCAATTAGCTTAGTTTATGATGGGGCTTCCCGCTACATGACAAAGCTAGTGGCGGGAAAGAGTCAGAACGTTGTGACGGAGTTTTTTCAAGAACTTACATTTTTATATATTTAACAAATAGTTTATTCATAGTTATATATCCGTTATTATTTGAGTATATTCGAAGTTTTAATATAAAAAACGGATTTCACCAATTTCTTTTTTTACATTTTGAATAACAGAAGTATATTTATTTGATATATTTTACAATCGAATGAATACAATTATTGTAACGTCATTACAGAGAGTATATCTTGACAAAGATTAGTCATACGTTGTTTAGGATATAATTGATAAACCCTTTGAAAGAGCCACTTGAAATATTCAATCAAAAAGTGTAAAACGGCCGATGTGAAAACAAAACTAGATCACGTCACGGTGCCCCGATTTTGTTTAAATCATACTCCATCCGATCCATCCTACGGAATTCTGTTGCATATTTGTGATGGCCTACTTCAATTCGTCCAGTTTCGACAACACAATGGGCTTTTCTATGCAACGCATTGAAGACCGTAGCGTACGTCCGCAAACCACCGGCCATTGGTGAATAAAGCTTATTCAGCGGTGGATACTTGGGAGCCGTGCTTCGTACATTAGATGAAGCCAGCAGAGGATCAATTTCAGCAATTTATAAGTTCCAGAATTAGCAAACTAATGTCCGGAAGGAATCGAATGTTGCGTGTGCACTTGAACCTTTAACGGAGCGAATAGAGAGTAGCATAGTAGCGACTAAAGCAATTGTCGTACAAAAGCAGTGATTCTGGTATCTACATGCGCGATACCCGGTAGACATGGCTAAAAAACGTGGTTAACACCGAACAAATCCATGCCGCAAATTCATTTGCGCTATGTATGCGGAGCGATATCTGCAGTGTTATGGAGTACAAATCCTGTACTCCGAATGTTCGGTCCACTATCTGCTAATTCTGCTCGGCTAAGTGGAGAATGCATCTAATAAAACCTCAATGAGTTCAAACTTGGACCACAGCACAAAAGTTATACCTCGCTTGATGGATACTGGGATCGGTGCTGGGTTGCGCAGTTCTTCCTGTACCTTGGAAGTACCCGTATTAATAATGCTTAGCTGTGTTTATCGCTCCACAAGACCCATATCCCCAATCTCAGTTTAGTTCTAGTCCTCAGATGCAGCGACCGGCCGACCAGGGCGCGGGGCGGATTCGGTGTCTTTTCAGGTGTCTGCGCCGAAAGTATCATTGGCCATTCGCGGCAAATTTATATTCTGTCCAAATGTTGTGATTTGTTCGATGCCGTACTGTCCGAAGTTTGAAGATGGCAAGATTTTAATCTATGATGAATCTCAATATACCTAGACTTCTCTATGGAAGTAATTTTCGTTAAATAGTTGGCTCCCATTCTCTCTATTCAAGAGCACGCCGCATTTCACATTCCAAGTCCTGAAAAGTTCATACATTCTCTTATCTAAAAAAAGAAAGTTAGTCTTGCATAATAGGTAAGTCTCTCTTAGATCCTTGAAATCTGCTTGCCATGTTTTGCCATTTTCGCTGATAAATTGTAGGCATGAAGAACTCGTTATCTTTAGCGGTAGCTGCCGCTGCCTTGGGTCTCGTTTCAGCTCAAAGCACAGTCTTGAACCCTGCTACAACCACGGTGGTTTCCACTTCTACACCATCTCTTTTCCCTAACGAAGTGGTTCAATTGACTGATGGTGTCCTCGACACCGTTGCTTCTGCCATTGCCAATGAATCTATATCAAATCTTTTTGCTTTTGACACTAATTCCACCGTCTCGAAACGAAAAACAAAAGTGTGCAAGCTTCTCCCTGGCGATGCATTGTGGCCTATTACTTTGATTTGGGATATTTTCGACATCCTCCTTGGTGGAGCTCTGATCAAAAGTACTCCTTTGGCTGCGGTCTGTTACCCAGATTGGCCAGAATATGATGCAACTAAATGTGCATCAGTCACAGCTGCTTGGTTAACTTCGGAACTCCAGTAAGTAGCTCAAGTCATTTTCAAGTCTCAACGAGTGCTAACTTTGACACAGTGAGGCCGATCCAACGTCAATTCAATTACCTCTCTACCAGGGTCGTAGTTGTATGCCTCCCGGATTTAATTACACGGACATTTGTGAACAAGGTGGTTATCCGACGTATGTCGTTAACGCCACAAATGTAGCACAAATTCAACTCGCTGTCAATTTCGCAAGAAATCTTGATATTTCCGTTGTCATTAAGAATACTGGTCACGACTTCAACGGTAAAGCATCTGGCAAGGGTGCACTCACCATATGGACTCATCATCTCAAAGATAAAGCTTATTACCCCAACTTCGTAGCTGCCAACGGTTACACTGGGCCTGCTATCAAGGTTGGTTCTGCCATTCTGGTACACGAGGCTTATGAATATGCCAAGACCTTGGGAGGAAGTGTAGTCGGCGGTGAAGCTGCCACTGTAGGAATGGGTGGTGGTTATATTGCTGGCGGGGGGCACTCACCTTTGAGCAGTATGTATGGTATGGGATCCGATCAAGTCTTGGCTATGGAGGTTGTTCTTGCCAATGGTAAATTTATCAGTTGCAATTCTAAAACCAACTCCGACGTCTTTTGGATGCTTCGCGGGGGCGGGGGTAGTACCATTGGTGTCGTAACATCTCTTACTGTCAAGTTACTCCCCAAACTCGAAACCACTACTGTTACTTTCAACTTCACCGTTGCAGACACCCCTGGCAATGACTCTTTCTGGGGAGGTATTCAAGCTTACATCGACAACGCTGAAGCCTTCGTTGATGCCGGTACTTATGGGTATTATTACCTTGGAGCTAGCGCCGTTGAAATTGGAACCGATGTCGGTGGTAGTGATGCTTACTACTTCCGTATGGAATCTTTCGTTGCACCAAACATGACCGTTGCTCAGACCCAAGCACTTCTCAAGCCATGGTTTGACGTCCTCGATAGCTTGAATATCACTTATACTCCTTGGTACAACCACGCCGATAACTTGTAAGTCATCACGAAACATCCTTTTCTTGTCTACCACCACAAACTGAAGATACTAACGCTCATTTCCAGCCATGATGCATGGTTTCCTTCTTTCCCCGAAGAATATGTCGGCACTGACGTTGTCAAAACCGCATCTCGCCTCATGCCTCGCTCTGTCTTTGCAGACGATGATCTTCGCAATCAAACATTCGCCGCTCACAGATCAGCTATTGAACAAGGCTTCTTCATCGCCGGCTTCCACGTTTCGGGAACCGGTATTGCAGTCAAGCCACCAACAGATTCCGCTGTTCTGCCTGCTTGGCGTGATGCCATCATGCACACCGTCGTTGGAGGTGAATTTGAGGCCACAAGCACCTGGGCTGAAATCGAAACCGTTACCTATGCCGTTACAAATTTCATGGATGTTTTCCGTGCCATTGCTCCCGACTCGGGCGCCTATATGTCAGAAGGTGATCTCATTGAACCTAATCAAACAGTCGCTTTCTACGGTACTAATTATGATGAGCTGTATGCGATGAAGCAAAGATATGACCCTACAGGCGTGTTTTTCGCCCTCACCGCTATTGGGTCCGTGGATTGGGAAATCCAGACGGTTGATGCTCTTCCCAATAGTTGGAATACGAACGGGAGACGTTGCCCGGTTTAAGAGATAGTGGTGGAGATTTTGTATAGAAACTTAAATTGTCTGTAAAGACTAGAAGAATACATAGCTAATGTTAATAATATTTCAATGATTTCGTTCCATCCTTCATCGGCGGTCGAGAGTTGAAGATTGTGTTTGCAACGAATGGTGACTATTTGGCAACATTTTCCTTTTTGTGAGTTTTATTTAGAAACCAGTATGAAAGACAGGAATATATAAGGACGAACAGTACTCAATCGACCAATATCAAGCTAAGATACCCGAAGCATCCCTTGGTTTAAAGCTTTTGAGTAGCCAGAGCATTAATTGGGGTTTTCATTTTAAGAAGGTGTAGAGGGGTTGAACAGGACAATGTTCAAGAGGGAGGAGCCAAAGAGCCAAAGAGCTAATGAGCCAATGCGAGCTTGGTTCTTTAAGGGTCAATATTATAAATTAGTACAGAATATCGAGGAATGAATTTAAGAAGTTTAATAAGCAAATGAAAATTACAAGCATCTACTCATATATAATTTTTGGATTACTTCGGGCTTGAAATACCTAATATATTAATAGGTGATATTATATACAATTATTTGATATAATACAGAATATTTGATGTAAGATATTTGATATTTTTTATAATACGTAAATTTGATGTGAGATTCTTTATATGCAAGTAATAAGATCTTACTTCCGCAAAACCCCGCACCCTCACCCCTCCATTCCGCTCACTCACTTACTGCACTACCACATCACAACATCACCATATCACAACATCACAACATCATTAACATCATCAGCATTCAACTCTACCATTTCACTTATTTTCCTTTACTTGCACCCCAAATTCTTCGAGCTGAATCCATAAAGCCAGCAATTGTTTTCCAACTAATCATTAATACACATTTCTAACAGTCAACGCACTAGCATATGCGCAGAATGTCTACCATCACTGTTGCAACCCTTCCCCGATTATCCTCAAAAGCTCTTTCGGATATCATTCTTTCTCACGCTTCTTCAAATCTCGATGCACTTTCTACACCGCAGAATCTAGCTATTATTGATGTGCGCGACGATGGTACGCCCCCTCCACCACTTTTTTCTTGTCATGCTTTGTGAATACTTTGACACCTTTAAATCTTGCATCTCACTGACTTCGACCTATTTTCTTTCAGATCACATTGGCGGTCACATAAAACATTCTACCCACGTTCCATCCTCCACCCTCGATTTCAAGATCCCAGAACTAGTTCGAAAACTCAAAGATAAAGATACGGTTGTGTTTCATTGTGCCTTGAGCCAGCAGAGAGGTCCAAGTGCTGCGTTGCGATATATTCGCGAAAGGGAGAGGCTGATGGGCGTCGGCGCCGGAGTCGTTGGAGCAGCTATGAAGAAGAATAAAGAGGAAACAGAGAAGAAAGCTGATGATGAGGAATGGGAGGATGTTGAAGATGGTTCCGATAAGAAAGAACAAAAGGTCTATGTGCTAGACAGAGGCTTCGTTGGATGGCAGGAGATATACGGTGAAGATTCACGTTTGACCGAAGGTTATAGGAAGGAGGTTTGGCAGGATGGCTATTGATATGATGTTCAGGGACCCACCTGATTAGTGCTCGTAATGAACACTTTCTCGCCCATCCATATTCAAGCCTGGAAAACGTGGATATGGGCATACATCTGCTATTATACAATGGATGGAGCGTTCCTTTTTGAGGGATTCATACTATATTCATCCCCCTCCCCCCCCACATCCAACCAAAAAAGACCTCTCTAATGCAAAGCCATCCTCTACTCAATTTCGAAGGAAAACTTGCAGGTGTAGAATATCTATCGCCGCCATCTCTACGTCCAACTCCTATACCTCCTCAACCATGTCCATTACCATTTGAATTGTTTGCGATTTCATGAAAGAGAGACGTAACCGTGGAGATGTCAGTACATATCTGCTGAAGAACATCTACCACATCCACATCTCGCTCATCCAGTTGAGGGAGATACAAGGCTTGCGATTGAGTGATTGGCATCTTGGAATATCCTTTCTCGATACTATCCTTTATGCACTCTCTAAGAAGATTAGTGAACCAACTATCCTGATGAACAACCACGCCTATGGCAGCGGAGAAGGCAGGAATTGAAGCAATGAGATGAATACGCTTTATGCAATCTGCAAGGGATCTGGCTGGTCCCCTTGGTGGTGCACCATGACGTTGGAAAGATTCATTCGCAAGCTGGGATAAAGGTTTCCTGGGGTTCCCAACTGCTGTTGTTTTAAATAGGTTCAAGAACATCAAGATCCTGTAAGATGTCTTACTAGCCTCGGATGTCTTCTCTAGACGATACCATGAAACCTCGGAAGGCTCATTGTAACATAGTCCAGGCTGTTCACCAAGCATCCATACAACGTTCAGGGTAATGGCTTCCTTGGTAATCATCTCCATAGCCTCATATGATACTTCAAAATCACTGATCAGGTACGCTATCAGAATATGATTCAGATTTGGGCATGATGACTCCGAGGTTCCGCCATTGATGAATTTATGAATGAAATCATTCGCAGATTCTACAATAGAGGGATCATCGATCGCAAGACAAATGAGGAGATAGAGTAGGTGAAAGTAAGACTCGATCGCTTTCTCCGAAGCATGCGCCGAGGTACTTTGAATGGTCTCTGTGTTTACATCGGAGGAATTGTTAGTGTTTCCTGAAGCATCCTTGATGAACTTCACCACCACATCATTCATGAAATGAAAAATCAGCTTGAAGGGCGGAATATGACCAAATCCCGCTGCTCTTTTGGTCAATCTCAGATGCCGGTCGGCCAACGGTTGTACCTTCTCTCAATGTCCTTCGGAAATTGGTAAAGGAAGCCAGTATTGGAATCCGATGCCTTGTACTGAACGCCGAACTTGATGTGTCCAAAACGCCTCGTGGGATATTAAATCAAACTCGGAAGAAACTGTCCCGTTGTGTATGCCTTCCCAAACCACCGCCACCCCAATTTCCAAGCTGGCTGTTTTGTAACCCTGCTTGGAGAGAAAACATTGCAGTTCCCGCTTGCGGATCAGTGTCATAGCTTGCAGCGAATTGTAAGCATTTTGCCCAATTTCTTGCAGTGGCTAATTTTGGAATGGACTCACTGCGCCACCATATCGGCTACTCTGTCTCAGGCCTTCCCAAGTAGCAAAAGGTCTTCGGTATCCAAGTTATCACAAATCAACAAGAGAACTTCATCTGGAAGTTCAGATTCTTGTATGCTTCCTTTGAGAGGATTTTTTGAACTTCTGGAAAATTTACCCTGCGGTTCTACCGTGTTGAGATCCATCGTCAAGGACCCATCACGAATTGGAATTTCATCATTCTCAGCAATATTGATAGCAAAGCGGCACTTTCCACAAAAGAAATTCGTCCTTCCATCGGCAGCCTTAGACCTCGCTCGATAGTCCTGCAAGTATACACGTCCCCTTCCATTGACTTGTTAGATTGCATCACTTGCAAAGAAGCTGAACAACTGAATTGCCAACCCTTTCAACGTGTAGGCTGGTGGAGTATTTAGTATGGAGGCGCAAATTTGCCCCCCCATGATGTTTGGATGAGATATATTAGAGTCCATATCGATATTTGGGGGCTGAATTGGATAGTCGGGGAGAAAGTCAACTCTCATATGTGGAGGCCCGTATCCTTCCACAGTGAGGATGAGGCAAGCGTGATTGAGATTCTCATCATCGACATGTAAGAATATGTTTGGATATGGTTTGGCTTGTAGTTCTGCAATGTCGAGGAGGAGGCGGCGACGCAGTGTTTCTGTCATGCTGACACGTATGCAAGTTTGTGGTTGATTATCGTCGAATTATTGAGGGAGGACAAATGTTTATAGAGAAATTGATGATTCTATTGTTCGTCGGCGTAAAATGAAAGTGATGAAAATTCGTAACCACAAATCGTCGTTGATGGTGAGTGACAAAGGGTGAATAGAGGGCAGGTGTCGATGATTCTGGGCTGCTCTTTCCAATCAACCAAGGTAAGAATTTACAAAACCTAATTGCCCGAGTAAATGGGAAACAGCGATCCTGATGCGACATGCGACATTCGTACGAAGATATATCAATAACCATGAAGAACTGGAAAATTGAGAAGGTATTCATTGTTCGGTGACACTGATAGAAATACAGGATATAAACACATCCACAAGTGTATCGTCTTCAACCTTGACCGTAAAACCATACGCACGGTGGCATTTTGAAGCGCGGTGATCCACGATTTGCATGACCCATTTAATGAACCAATTTCATTCATGCCTTTTGTCTCATGTTACCGCTGTGTAAGACTCTGTGCCTTCAGCTATTTAGGATTCTCTGCAACTGCCACAAACCTCGGTGGCAGTAAGATAGTTGTTCACTCCGTCCGTTGATTCCCTTTGGTGTACGGCACGCCAACCTGGAAAGATTATCATCATTTTCTTCGTTGAAAGCGAGGATACTTATCTTATATCAATTCTGAGGAGTGGATTCGATGGTTTATAGGAGACTAGATTTCGCGCACGAGTTCCAGAACTTACCGGTTGCTTCAATCCGCCCTCTTAGGTACATCTAGATACTGCGCAAATAGCCATGCAGCTTTGGGAGGCAGAGATGAAATTTATCTACCAATTAATGGGGCTCCTTCCAATATTTGGTTGCTGTGGAAGTTGCGCCTTGGGGCTGAAGAGTCTGAAGAAGTACCTTGCACAATCAAGGGTTCTCATGCCTCCCCCTTCTTTTTAGCGAATCCCACGACAAAAATCCATCGCGCGAAAATTGCCCAGGACAAGCTTCATTTGGGTTGGAAGAAATGAGGCCCAAAAATGACTCGAAGTCGAGAATTGAAGACTGAGGAGTGGCAAGCCTTTCGAAAATCAGGTTTGTAGACTTCGGTGTACATTTGACGAGCGGAGAGCAAATGGGAAAGGGGATGTCGATTGTCCCAGGAGAGGGAGAAATTCTTTTATGAAAGAACATTCAGAAACTTCATGAATGTTGACAACCATTGGAATTTTAGCATGAACACGAGAGGGAGTGTCTGTCCTGGCCTCTAAACTTTGGCGCTGAATACACATGTATGGAATGTGGCAAGAATTTTGAATTCTGGCAATTGGACTACATCATAGACTGGAGGTAGAGGTCATGACCACGCTTTATTAAAGAGCTCATATCAAATCGTGTTGGAAATTGACACCTATCATACACATTGGGAACTCTCTAGAAATGAATGGATAAGACAATCTTAAAATTGTGGTCGCCGTCTGGTGTTGAAAGAGATTTATGGCCGGATTCAATTCATTTTAAGCAGCAGAGAGGTACTAATGGATACCGAATCTAACATAAATCTCATAATAATCATGTGTCCGCATGATGGTAATGACGAAGCAGATCCAGCCATGTGCATGGCAGCCAAGCAAAATTAAAAGCAGTGCTACTCCCTCAGATTTCGCATTTGAACATGAGTTGAAACGACAGAAATTGACACGTGTTAGATGTAGATTAGAATCAATCGGAATAAGTCGGAACCCGTAATCAAGGGAATCAATGACATTGATAGGCGGGCGTCCTCCCACTAAACCCCAACCCCATGGGCAAGAATGGGGTCCCTCGGTCCGCTCTATCTCTTGGTGTTGGACTAAGGTACGGAAGAGAGAATTGGGTATCGCGAAATCTCAATCGTGCGTGTACGGTGACCTCATGCTCACTTGAGAATTGTGCCTCAAGGGGTTGTTCATGAGGCATATTCTGGCACCTCAGCGACGGGCCGTTGATCCCTAACGAATGCACATGCGCAAGACAAATATTGAAGGAAATGAATAGATGCATGAGTCTGGGAGGCAAAAAGGAGAAGAGGCAAGAAAATGCAAACACGCAGATTTGGAAGACCACGCTAGACATGTCGTTGGAAGGATTTGTGAACGAGATACAAGGTATGTATGGACAGAAGGATGAATCGAGAATTAGCGCGTGGTCACCAGCAACAGATGGCTATGTTGAAAGGTCCGATGTGATGCTGTGCATAGGAGAAAAGGTTAAGGTACTATGTTACATTCAACATTCAACATTCAACATTCTGCTGTATGACGCCACCATGTGAGCCAAGGTTAGGTAAAATGTGACAATGAACACATGAGCGGTACATTGGGTGGTTGGCGGCTATAGCGTTTACATGTATGAAATTTGCTGAATGTTTTGCAACTTGTTTTGGGATTGAGACATGATAGCGAGGCAATGGCGGTGACAATACCAGTCGTGTTCAGCGAATTGATCGCAGGATTCATTCGGGACTGGGAGAATGGTAGTAAGTGCTCGCAATATGCGATATGGACTGATTTGAATACGTTCCTAGTGGTAACAGGGAATTCCGGGATTATTGGTGATGATGTACAGATGTTAAGGTGTAAAGGTGTAAAGGTGTAAGGATGTAAAGATGTAAAGGATGTAAGGGATGTAAGGATGTAAGGATGTAAAGATGTAATTGTACATATTGTTGTATTCTCTCCTATGGTTACCTAATTATATATATTTCTTCGAGTCTAAGTGGAACGTGATAGTAAGAATAGGAGCGAAAAGGCAAGCGCTTTTGAATCAATTCATTCGAATCAAAAGAGCATCTCTCGAATTGAAATGTTGTGACATATTTTCCGAATAACGTGCATCGCACTTTGAACCGAGATCTGTGGGTCGCTGTTATCATGGCAATAAATCAATCAAAAAGGTGGATCGGTTTTAGTCAAGACTGTGAAAGATATCCTATCACATCCTGTCAGATATCACATGAAGGGGGAGACGAGAGAGACGAGAGAGACGAGGGAGACGGCGGAGTACGGAATTTGTTGCATATGCAATAACCTATGCAATGAAAACAAAGAAAGTATATTTTGACGCGTAGAGGTAGGTGAGTAGAATGATTGACTGCATGATTGACTGCATGATTGACTGCATGATTGACTGCATGATTGACTGCATGATTGACTGCATGATTGACTGCATGATTGTCGTACCGAATACACAGAGAGTAGATACATGTACCGTCCATACATAGCACATAGCACATAGCACATACATATCCATTTACCAGACTTCACTCGGCCATGCCCCTTCTCCTTCTCCTCCACCTTACCGACAGACGGTGGTGGTCTGGACTAGAGGGCGGAAGTACACAGCCCACCAGTACAGAGTCGTAAGTATATGTCTCGTACCTTGTCCCTAGCACCTCGCACCTCGCACCTCTCACCCAGCACCTCTCACCCAGCACCTCTCACCCAGCACCTACCTAATCTATCGGTCCATGCACATACCCAGACTTGGTCTTGGCTGATCTTTTCCTAATTGATTCAATAATACGGAATAATATACTCCAGTACACTTACACTTACCTCTCCTCCCCCGCCCCCCTCCTCTTGATCTCCTCTTGATCTCCTCCACGATCAAATCCCCAGCTTATTCCGAAAACGCCAGAACTGCACTGCGTCATAGTTTCGTATTGACATCGAACAAACTTACCAATGGTTCGATGAGTGAAGCCTGCTCTTGATGATGCATAGTTTATGGTTTATGGTCTATAATCTATAGTTTGTGATCTATGGTCTATGGTTTATAATCTATAATCTATAATCTGTAGTTTATACTATAATCTATAATCTATAATCTATAATCTGTAGTTTATACTATAATCTATAATCTATAATCTATAATCTATAATCTATAATCTATAATCTATAATCTATAATCTATAATCTACAGCCTTTGGTTTATAGATCTGATAAATCAATGTGAGACCTACTTCCGAATAGTTTCATGTTGGTGTACTGCATTTGACATCCTGTATCTCCATCCTGTGAATACTAATCTCATTGGCTGATGGCTTTAAACACAACCAATCACATGCCTTCCCCGCAAATGGCTTATGATAGATTAGCGCAGTTTTTCCTTTTCCTTTTCCTTTTCCTTTTCCTTCTCTCTTCTAATCTGAGATGTTTTCATACGTAGCACCAGCCAAGACAAGTGGCGTGACCTTGCTTTTTCCGTGTCGTTTTGGTCGTTTCCTCTAACTAACCATCCAGCAGCGGTAGCCCTCTCCATTTCCGTTCCCATCCCCCCCTGCGACAATTTATCACCAACAGTATAACATCAGCCTCCCAAATATATAAACTTCAACTCTTTCCCCAATCTTCTCCCTTTTGAATTATCATCTCATCTCATCCACACTTTTAATTTATCTTTCAAGAGTATTGTGTGTCGTGTATCGATCACTTCCCAATTCATCATTATATTCTCTTCAACACACAGTCGTCAATCAAATTCGACTCATATCCCCTCATACCCCGCCATACACCAGCTTCACTTCATCCTCTTACCACCTTCGCAAACACAACTATATCTGAATCACTTGCATTTAACCTCACTTGCATTTAACCTCCCACCCAGACATTCCTCAAATTCTTAATCATCATCTATCATCATGGGTTTGAAAGCAGTTCATTTCGGCGCCGGTAATATCGGTAGAGGTTTCGTTGCTGAATTTGTGAGTTCACCTCCATTTCCACCTTTCCGTTTCATCATTTCCATGCACCATACTCCATTGGTCCTCCTTACATATTTTAAACTTCAGTATCCCATCTGCCGTAAAACCGCAACTCTTGCTAACCATACCACTATTAGCTTCACAAATCCGGCTATGAAGTCGTCTTCTGTGATGTCATGGACAGCGTTATCCAGAAATTGCAAACCACCCCTTCATACAAAGTTATTGAAGTTGGAGCAGAGGGGACAAGCGAAGACACCATTACCAATTATCGCGCCATAAATTCGAAAACACACGAAGCCGATGTTATTGAGGAGATTCGTACAGCGGATGTAGTAACTTGCTCCGTTGGTCCGAATATTCTCAAGTTCATTGCACCAGTTATCGCCAAGGGTATCGATGGTCGCTCCAATGATGCAACCCCAATCGCGGTCATTGCTTGCGAGAACGCAATAGGTGCAACGGATACTCTCGCCAAGCACATCAAAGACGACCATACCCCTCAGGATCGTTTAGATGATCACCACAAACGCGCACGATATGCTAACTCTGCCATCGATCGTATCGTTCCCGCCCAAGATCCTGATGCAGGTCTCGATGTCAAGCTCGAGAAATTTTACGAATGGGTTGTTGATCGCACACCTTTCAGTGACCACGAACCGCCCGCCATCCAAGGTATCAAGTGGGTAGATGACTTAATACCTTACATTGAGCGCAAACTCTTTACCGTCAACACTGGACACGCAGCTGCTGCATACCACGGGTACTACCACCAGAAGGCCACAGTCTATGACGCTCTACAAGATCCTAATATTCTCAAGGAGGTTCATGCGGCGCTGAAGGAGACGAGTAGATTGATCGTTGACAAGCACGGTATCGATGTCCAAGAGCAAAAAGACTATGTCGACAAGATCATCACCAGAATAGGAAACCCACATCTGGAAGATGCCGTAGAAAGAGTTGGTCGTGCACCTCTGCGCAAACTGAGCAGAAAAGAACGGTTCATTGCACCGGCAGCTGAACTTGCAGAGGAAGGAAAGGAATTTACTGCACTACTAGATGCTGCTGAGATGACCTTCCGTTTCCAAAACGTTGAAGGTGATGAGGAATCCCAGGAGTTGGCTAAGATCATGTCTGAAAACTCTGCCGAACAAGTTGTGGAGAAGGTCTGCGGGTTACAGTCCGATCACCCCTTGTTCCCTCACGTGGTAACGGTTGTGAAGAAGGTCCAGGCCGATGAGTAGAGTGGTGGGGTTTTCTTTTTTTTTCTCACGGTTTCTAGCATGGCGAATGGAGATGACATGGATGGATTGGATACTGAGCGTTACTCCCGGCGTGTTATGGATACGCAGTTCGCTTTTGATGATAAGGGTTGGTATAATAGTTATCTATAGATGATAGCTGAATGAATTGAATGATTGAATGAAATAGTAAATATAATGGGTGTTTACCACTTGGTTGTGCCTCTAGCTTGGATGTTGTCGGCAAATGAACTTGAAGGGGAGCCTTTACCATGAAGTAAATGAGTATGAAATATTTGAAACCATTGTTGACTCTGTATTTTGATCTAGATAGATAAGCCACTAACGTGAGGACAAACTGTATGTTCCTTGAATTTCTAAATGGGTGAAGTTGAACTTGAGTAGAGACTTCAGAGATGGGATGTGAGGGTGACCATCTAAGAATTCGAACATGGCTTGCAATTGTACCATGCTAATATATTCATTCCAATAATGGCGAGCTGGCAAGGACAGCTGGCCAGCCTACATAGGACTTCACATCGAATAATAAATGTAGTTTTTCGTCTTCTCACTTTTTTTTTTTTTTTAGCTGATATGGACAAATTAAATACCTACCAACGAAAGATATTGAGTACTGATTTGTGCTCGCATTATCTTCCACACCTGTGATTCCTTATTCTCGGTAGGTATTAAATATTCCTGGAGATAATGAATTAAGGTTATTGCACTAAGCCGAATTAGCATTAGTCAGTATCATTCCAAGCTGCCACATCTCGAACTCCAGAGGAACATTGTGAAATATATCCTGACACCTTCAAAATTCCATTTATTTCTTCGCCAACTCAGCTTTTTCCCTAATTCTTGATTTTACGACGTGGAAACGAAAGATCTCAGGTCGCCTGAGTTCTGCGATTGAATATACACCAAATTCTGTCTGGTGAAGGAACCATTTTGTCAAACCACCCACTACATGCGCTGAAAGCCACATTACTGCTTTTTTCTACCCCCCTTACTTTCCACACATAATTCAAGATGAGATTGGACGTAAAGGTGAGAATCACTTCTTTTCCTGCCAGCAATCTGCGACATTGGCATAGCTGTCAAATGCTATGACTTCTTTGGTTATACCTGCGAATCAGGATAGTATCAACAACCTCAAACTGAGGGAGACGGTATTGGTTGGGAATATGGCATCAATTACTAATTCGATTTACAAATGTCAGAGGCAGCTATTTGCACGATCGGAAAGAGTGAAGGGAATTGATTTCCATCCAGTCGAGCCATGGATTTTAACCACACTATACAGCGGTATGTTCCCGGGCGCATGAAGTCTGGGGATAGAGTATTGATACTTTTCAGGTCATGTTTATATTTGGTCTTACGAAACTCAAGTTAGTAGCATTTGTCTCGCGATCCCCTCCTGCGCTGACCATTTGTAGGCCATCGTCAAGACATTCGAGTTGACGGATGTCCCTGTTCGAGCAGGTAGATTTATTGCTCGAAAGAATTGGATTGTTTGCGGTTCCGACGACTTTCAATTACGAGTTTACAATTACAATACTTCGGAAAAGATCACCACCTTCGAAGCCCATCCAGATTATATTCGCGCCATCGTTGTTCATCCTACGCAGCCTTTTGTTTTGACCGCCTCTGATGATATGACAATCAAGTTGTGGGATTGGGACAAGGGTTGGAAATGTGTGCAGGTATTTGAGGGACACAGCCATTATGTTATGGGTCTGGCTATCAATCCAAAAGACACAAACACATTTGCATCGGCTTGTTTGGACAGGACGGTAAAGATCTGGAGTTTGGGATCATCCACAGCAAACTTTACGCTCGAGGCCCACGAAACGAAAGGTGTCAACCATGTTGATTACTACCCTCAATCCGACAAACCATATCTTCTCACTACTTCAGACGACAGGACAGTCAAAATTTGGGATTACACTACGAAATCTTTAATTGCAACGCTAGAAGGCCACACCAGCAATGTCTCGTTCGCATGCTATCATCCAGAATTACCCGTAATTATCTCCGGTTCTGAGGATGGCACCGTCAAAATATGGCATGCAAATACATACAGATTGGAGCAGTCTTTAAGTTATGGATTGGAGAGAGCTTGGTGTGTTAGCTACCAAAGAGGGAAGCAGGGAGTTGCTGTGGGTTTCGACGAAGGTGCGGTGGTTGTAAAGATGGGTCGAGAAGAGCCTGCAGTATCGATGGACAATTCCGGAAAGTTGATTTGGGCTAGACATAGTGAAGTCGTCTCATCTATCATCAAGGGCGGAGGTAAGTTTATTTATTTTTTTTTGCTTACGAGGTTATGACTAAATCGTGTGTAGATGCTTCAGTGAAAGATAACGAACCAATTTCTTTACCTACGAAAGATCTCGGCACTTGCGAAGTATATCCACAAACCCTTCTTCACTCTCCGAATGGACGTTTTGTTTCAGTATGCGGGGACGGCGAATTCATTATTTATACTGCTCTTGCATGGAGGAATAAGGCATTCGGCTCGGCTTTGGATTTTGTTTGGGGCTCGAAGGACAACAGTAATGATTACGCGATACGAGAATCAGGTACAAGCGTGAAGATCTTCAAGAATTTTGTGGAGAAAAGCGGTGGTCTTGATGTTGGTTTCCAGGCTGAAGGTTTGACTGGCGGCGTTCTACTCGGTGTTAAGGGTCAAGGCGGTATTGGTTTCTATGACTGGCAAAGCGGTGGGCTGGTCAGGAGGATTGAAGTTGAGCCAACGGAAGTACGTATGCATGCCGTGAAATTGTAACTTGGCGCTGATTGATATAGGTATATTGGTCTGAAAATGGAGAGTTGGTTGCTATTGCATGCGAAGATACTTTCTACGTCCTCAGATTCTCGCGAGAGAATTACGTTGCGGCTCTGAATGCCGGAGAGGTTGATGACGATGGAGTCGAGGCTGCATTTGAAGTCGTCACGGATATCAATGAAACGTATGTCCCACTAACTTCACACAAGCCCGCGATACTAACGTAACCTAGTGTACGAACAGGTGAATGGGTAGGTGACTGCTTCATCTATACCAACAGCACGAACAGACTGAACTACTTGGTTGGTGATCAAACTTATACCATCTCTCACTTTGATCAACCCATGTACTTGCTTGGATACATTCAGCGCGACTCTCGCATTTACCTCGCCGACAAAGATGTCAATGTCACTTCCTTTGCCCTTTCTCTCGCAGTTGTAGAATATCAAACATTGGTCTTGAGAGATGACATGGACACTGCCGCAGAAGTACTTGGCACGATTCCGGCCGACCAGCTTAATAAAATTGCCCGTTTCCTCGAAGGTCAAGGACATAAGGAATTGGCGTTGGAAGTTGCTACTGATAAAGAACATAAGTTTGAGCTGGCTCTCGCATTAGGCCACCTTCCGATAGCCCTCGAACTTGCCCGTGAAGCAGATGCCGAGCATAAATGGAAGACAGTCGGTGATGCAGCACTTGCTGGTTGGGATGTTGCACTTGCCGCGGAATGCTTCAAAAATGCCAGGGATCTTGGTTCGCTTTTATTACTTCACTCAAGTACTGGTAATAGAGAGGGACTCAAAGCATTAAGTGTACAGGCGAGCGATGCAGGCGCTCATAATGTTGCGTTTACATGCCTTTGGCAATTGGGAGACGTTGATGGATGTATTGAGTTATTGATCAAGACTGGTAGAGCGGCGGAAGCTGTGCTGTTTTCACAAACATATAAGCCCAGTGTTACGGTCAAAACCGTGCACGCATGGAAAGATCAGTTGGAAAACGATAAGAAAGGGAGGGTAGCTAAGACCGTCGGTGTACCCGGTGAAGATGAAGAGCTTTTCCCTGAATGGGAAGAATATCTAAGGTTGGAGCAAGAAGCCGGTGAGAACCTTATTGATGTTAATGGGGATGGACACGAGAAGATTAATGGAGATGGGCCTGATCCTGACGCTGAAGCCGTCGGGGAGGGCTTACTAGAGACGAAAGACGATGAGGAAGAATCAGAGGAAGATTAGGAGTGGCGGAAAAAACCGGGGGTTTGTGCATTTGGGAATTTCTCAAAGGTAGTTATAAAAGCGACTGTAGAGATAAATGTTGTATTTTGAAAGAGAATCAAAGATTTAGTGTTTCTAGTTTGAGCAGTGATAGACGATGAGTATTTAACTTTTATCACTCGAAACGATGATGAGAACAAGAGTTACTAGTAGAGGAAGATGAGCGGAAGGACTAGTGGTTATGAGCGAGTTTACTGTCACGAAATCATTTTACAGAGTGTTACGGGTAACAGTCAACCTGTCTTTACAAACTTAGACCTCCCTGAAAAGCTAAGCAACTTGTATATTAATTTGTATAGCAATTACTTTATATAGTTTTCCTATTTTCAGCAAACTCGAATATATAATCTGATCTTAATTATATGATAGAGTCTTTAGAAGTATAGGCTTCTGTAAGCTTCTTGGAGTTTTCAGGAATATAGACTTCTAGATACTCCCGAAATGGATTAGTATATAATCAGAATAGTTTTATAATTTAAAAGTTTTATATTTAATTTAATTATCAATTAGTTTATTTATATTCCAATTGATCTAATAATGTATTCATTTTCGAATAAATAATCAATGATTATTAGTCTTAATCTACAATTATCAATCAGACGAATCCTGAGATAATCATTATCTTAATCAGATTGTTATATTTTGAACATTATTATAGTTAAACTATATATAATATAATATCTTTTAATCAATAATTTATTGAATTATCTTTATTCAATCTAATCAGGGTTCTTATTCAAGTTATTGTTATTATAGAATATAAATGAATGATTTAGATATTCATTCTTGATTTATTTTATAAAGATTATAATAAATATTGAATTTTTGTTATATAAATTGATCTTTATTATATCTTTAATAAACAATTTTTTTTGATTCTTATATAAAGGATTTTATAATTAATCTTCTTTTTTTATAAAATTATATTTAATTGAATTGAATTATTTTTTAATAATCTAATAATCAAGATTATAAATGATCAATTAAACAAGAATATAAAATCTGAAATTTATTATTTTTTTTTCAGTTATGAATTGTTTAGATAGGGATTTGATAAGGTATTTAGAGAAATAGATTTCAATTATATAATTGAAAAAGTATTATAATAATTCAGGCAGATTGGATCAATTATAATTTATATTATCAAATTTCAATAATATATTAGGTATATTATCTGGAATAATGATTATTTAAAATTACAATTTTATAAAGGATTGAAAAATATTATCAAAGACAAATTAACAAGAACTTCGAAATTATTTAATTTTTTCGAATTAATCGAAATCTTTATTCTTATTGATAATCGATTTTATAAATGATAAATGAAGAAAAAAGGAATTATTTAGGAAAACAGAAAGTTTCAAAAATCTTATTATTAAAATAGATATTATGATATCGATAATTCAATAGAATTAAATGATATCGAATAATATTATATAAAACTAAATAATCTAAATATTAATGAAAAGAAAAAATATAAAAAGAATAATTTATATTTTATTTATAAAAAAAATGAATATATATTTTAAGATTGTTTTTAAAAGAAGAAATTATTTATTATAAAAAATAGAAAATAGATAAGATTTGGAAATAAAAAACAAGATTTTCGAGAAACGAAGATTTTGAAAGAAAATTTAAAAGAAATAGGATTATTAGAAAAAGATTTATTTCAATTTTATTCTGAATAATTGAAGGAATAAGATATTAACAATTAAAACTTTAGAATTAGTATTGAAAACAATATCAATTATAAAAAAGAATTTTTAGAAGATCTTGAATTAAAAGATAAAGAATCAATCGAAAAATTCAAAGAAGATTAATAACTAATTGAATTCTGTTATTTGTTTTAAGAAAATAAATTATAGTATTTAATCAATTATTTAAATAAGAAACAAATATAATATTATTATAAAAAGAAGAAATCTGATTTTATTGAAAAATATAGAATTTATGATTATTTTATTTTGTTAGTATTTTATATTATAATATATAATGATATTTATTGTATAATATTTAAGGAAAATATTAAAGCAAATAATATTGGAAAATATATTATGGATATAGATTCTTTATTCTTCGATAAAGTATAAGGATATAACAAAAATAATTTGAAAATTGGAGATATATAAGAAATCCTATTATAAATCAAAACTTGTTATATTTAACGAAGAATTAATAGAAATAATAAAGAAATATCAAACTAAGATTATTATCGAGATTTCTAAACAAGATCAATAGAATTATTATTTATTATATTTTATTAATTATTAAGTATAAACAAATATTAATATAAATAATTAAATCTTTTTATTGAAGAACAAATTATCGAATCATTATTGTTAAAACTAAATAGTATTATAGAAATTGAACAATTAATTGTAAAAATCAAATTAAAGAATCAATAAATCAATGTTTTGATTGATTCCAGAATTATAAATATATTTATAGATTCTAATTTTGTAAAAGAAAATAGAATTTCTATAAAGTTAAAACAGAACTTTTATCAATTGATATTATTAAAAGAAAAGAAAACTGGAATTGATAATTGAGTATATAAAGAAATCAGTATTATTAAGATGATTATATCAAATAAATATATTGAATAAATCAAAATGGATTTAATATTATTAAATAAATATATAATTATTCTTGATATCTTATAGATTAAGAAATATAATTCAAATATCGATTAAATAAAAAATATTTTAATATTCGATTATTATAATTACAATAACAAATAATTATATAATTTAAAGAAATAGATTTCCTAAAAGATTAGATATTATATTATAATAATAATGAATCCTTTATTAATCAATAAAATCGATAAAAAAGAAATTCTAATATAATACAAAAGATTCATTAAACTTTTCAAAAACTTCTAAGATTTGAAAATTTTACTAAAATATAAACTTTGAAATTATAAAATCAATTTCAAAAAAAGATTTATATTCTTTATTAAAAAATTGAAGTTATATAACTCTAATATTATACAAATATAAAAAGAATACAAAACCAAAATTGAAAAGAAAAAATAGATTAGGAAATCTAAATCCCTTTATATATTTAATATATTATTAGTATTTAAAAAAGGCAATTTAAATAATCAATTTTGTAAAGATTATTATTGAATTAATAATAGAACAATCAAAAATATATATTCAATACCAAAAACCCAGAAATTTAAGAATAAATTGAATAGAATTGTAATCTATATAAAATTAAATCAAAAAAACATTTTCAATTTGATACAAATAAAAAAAAGTTATAAATAAAAGATAATTTTTATTCTACTATCAGATCTATAAAAATACACAATTATATTATTCAGACTAATCAATATATCAATTATATATCAATAACAAAACAATAAAATACTCAAGAAATTCAATTTATTTATAATCTATTATTTAAATAATATTCTAATCTTTTTTTAGAAAAAAAAGAAATACAAAAAATATATATTAAAAATATTCAAAACATTCAAAAAAATAAATTCAAAACTCAAATTATCGAAATACAAATTTGAAATATAAAAGATAATATTTCTAGAATATATTATTTAATCAAAACAAATAAATATAGATCCTAAGAAAACAAAGAAGATAAAGAACTAAAAACGATTTAGAAATATCAAGAATATATAATTTATATTAGAATTCATCAATTTCTATTGAATATTTATAAAAGATTTCTCGAAAATGATAGAATCTTTTATCAAAATAACTAAAAAAGAAATAACTTTTATATAAAATAAAAAAACAAAACAAATTTTCCAAGAAATTAAAAATAAATTTACAAAGAAACTTATTCTTTATAATTATTATAATAATCAAAAAAACATTATCGAAATAAATACTTTTGATATTTATATAACAAAAATCCATTTACAAAAAGATAATAATAAGAAATTATATTCTATTGTTTATTATTCAAACAAAATAAATAAAATAGAACAAAATTATAATATTTATAAAAAGGAATTTATAATTATCATAAAAACATTAAAATATTAAAGAATCTATTTTCAAAAAGTTAAATTCCCAATAATTATTTATATTAATTATATAAATCTTCGAACTTTTATCATCATTAAGATTTTAAATAATTGTAAATTGATTAAATAGATTAAGAAACTAACAGGATTTGATTTAATAATCAAATATATCAAAGGAAAAAATAATACAAAAATAAATACTTTAAACAAATTATCAAATTATAAAGATAATAAAATCTATCAGGAAATAACGATTTTGAAATCCTTATAAAATAAAGATTTTATTTTTAATCTAATAGAAATCGTTATTATAGAAAATAAATTAATAAAGATTTGAAAAAATAGATTTATAAAAGTATAACAAAAAAAGGAAGATATTAAATAATCAAAATTATCAATAATTATTAATAGATTATTTCGAATAAGAAACAAAATATAATTATCAAATAATATTATCTCCGAATATATTATAGAATAATATATATTATTAATTTATAAATATCAAAGAATATAAAAAATATATCTAAAAATCAAAAAACAATATTAGAATCCAGAACTTTATAATATAATCAATAAAATAATTATCGAATATAATACTTATATTAAGAATAAAGTTTTTTATTATATTCTTTATAAACAAATAAATATTATTAAAATACTATTTATATTATAAAAATCAATATCATAGAATTTCATAAATCTATTACCAAAATCTAAGAATTCAATAATAGAAATAATATATAATTACCTTTTTATTATAATAAATAGATTAATAAAATATCTAATATTTATACTATATCAAATAATTTTAATTATAGAAATACTAATCTTTATATTTTTGAAAAAGATTATTATAATATATAAATTATCAAAGGAAATACTCTCTAATAAAAATAAACTTTTTATATTGAAATTTTGAATTATTTTAATAATATTATTAAAAATAAAAAGAAAAATGTTTATTGTATTTCATTTACAAATCAATAAAGGAAATAAAAGAATAAATCAAATTATCAAAGTTTATTTCCGATATTATATAAATTATCAATAAAACAATTGAATAAAACTTTTATTCTTAATATAATTCATATACAATAATTCAATATTAAAAATAATATAAATCATTCCGAATTATATCAATTATAAATATAAATTAATTATATATTACAAATTAAAGATTATAAAAATAAAAAATCAATTTATAATAATATAAACAAAAAGATTCAAAAAAATCCATAAAGAAATAATAACAAAATTGAAATTTATTATCGAAAGAAATATATATTATTACAATCAGAAATATAATCAAAAATCAATATTAAAAAAGAAGAATAAAGTTTATTTATTTTGAAAAAATATTGAAATAAAAAAATTTAATACAAAATTGAATTATAAAAAATTCGAATTATTCAAAATCAAAAAAGTTAAAGGATTCTTGAATTATAAATTATTATTATTAAAAAATATAAATATA